ACGCGGGGGCAGAGTCATGGAGTAGCGCAAAGTTAATTTGGAGAGTTTTGCGGGTCGGATCGAATGTCTTTTATGTGCTTTTAACTCATTAAGTCGACGTGACACAAACTCTAAACTTCCATACAAAACCCTGGACATTTGAAGGATTTTATAAACTTCCCTGGACAAAGCCGGACAAGGCCAGACAGCCAAACAGTCCTCAAAAAAGAGGACATGTCTGGGTAAAAGAGGACGTATGGCCACCCTATTTAAATTTATCTATTTTTTCAGACAATTTCAGATACAGCAACCGTGAAACAAGCTAATGAAAAAGTTCACATATTTACACCAAAGTCTGGGACATGAGGTACAAAAACCAATTCCAATTGATTCCATTATGAAAAAGGTTTTTGGAAATATTTGAGATGTTGAGCCTCAAACCTCAAATATTTGTCTCCCCAGATTTGTTGCAAAACTGAATACTAACATGTACTGAAATGCGGCAATGAACTTCATCAAAAGGTGAGATTTTCGGTGTGCTTTCTGGCCAAGATCTCACAGCAGATAGCGCAAAGTGAATAGGAGCCCTTGTGATCACTTATGCTAGTTAGATCTTATGCTGCATTCCAGTTGAACTTGGAAGTTGGAATTTCCGAGCTCCGAGTCGGTAATTCATCTGGAATGCCCCCCTGAATTCAGATTTCAGACTTGGAAAGTCAGACGTATCTCACCAACTCCAAATTAACAACAACGTCATAATAATTCAAGATGGCAGCGCAGTGCATCAACAGTAAAGAGTAACAGTGAAAGCTCTCGTAATGTATATTGGCACTTCTGTTTTGTTTTGGTGAAATTAAGTATATGTTGTACAGCCCAACGTCTAACTGTGAACACAGTGCTATGGTGTTTCTAAGACTAAAATACTGTGTTATGCCTTGTTTACAATTGGTATCACTAACAACAACTAACAACAGCTGACAACCGCTAACAACCGCTTACAATTGTAAACAACAGCTAACAACAGGTAACTGTGGGCGTCCATCTTGGTTTTCCGACTTGTTAACTGGAATGCCGTCAACTTGGGTGTAACGTCATTCCCAGCTCCGACTTCCAAAGTAACAGGAATGCAGCATCAGTGTTACATGGAGCTCAAGGTGCAAAGAGCTGGTATTGAGGAATGTGTGTTTTGGACTCTTATGCCCATCTTCCAGTCTGACTCAAGCACCCTCTAAATACTTGGTAAGTGTTGCCCTGCTTACCTCAGACTTTTGATCCAGTTTTTGTTGGCATAAGGTGCTTTCTGCCTCCTCGAAATAGAAACACATGACCACACCTCATTTTAAGACCAACACACCCTGATATGTTTGCGCAAGTTTACTCACTTATAAAAACTAGTGGGTGCTGGACGTAAAAATGGAGGATTGGACAGGGCATAAAATAACAATGACCCATCTGATCTCTGAATGAAACCCCTAGACTTTCAGGCATAAAAGGTTCACCTGGAAAGTTTCCTGTAGTTCAAAAGTTCAGTTGGTGCTTATCTTCTAACCACAGGTATGTATTAATTTGGCTGATTCCCCTTGTTTGGTGAACACTAAGTAACAATCTCGATCCAATATTAAAAACACACCCTGAGCTGTCAGACACTCAGCACGGATACATGTCATCACCTGTACAGCCAGTAAACTGACGTGGAAATAAGTCACGAACACAAGAACCAAACCAGGAGAGTGTAACAAGTAAATCAGTCATCAGACTATTTTCCACTTTGGGTTTTACAATGTTATTTAGACAACTGGAATCAATGACTTGATCTGAATGATTGTGTCTAATGGAATTGAGGTTTATCACAGATTCCAAACCCATCGCTCATCACTGTTCTCTGTACGTGTTGGATGGTCTACCATGTCCACATGTCGACTCCAACGAGATTTAGTGGAGAAGAAAAAATTTGGTTCAGTTTGGGGAGAGTTTTTCGGGTGAGTGTTTAACTGAGTTGGAAGAAACTAGAGGCCTGTGATAGACCGACAGATGTTTTAGTTTGCAGACACGCTGTCCTCGCTGCTTAGTTGAAATAAAAAGAACCATTTCATCTCAAAACTTCTTTCAGGGTTTGGTTTATCGCAGCCGTCTGCAGCGCTGCTCTGTCACTGAGAGGTTTTACAAACTGAGGTTTGACCTCCGCACCACATTTACTCACCCTTCTAACCAAAATCAAACAAGTTTATTCAGGAGGGCTTATGTTTATGTGTCTGAGTTAGCTTTGACTGTAATGTTACCCTGTAAGGGACCGCCAAGGATCTGTTCAAAGCAGGAATCAGGCACAGATGAAAAATTAACCCTTGTACCTTATTAACACAGAATCCCTAATCTTGCATTAATGGCACGGAACTGCCACTGTCAATTAGTGGCCTATAAAATCATCTATAAATGAAAAGTTGCCCCTTTTTTTTCATGGCTGTCATCATTGACTTCTGCTCTAACCACTCATAAGAAAAAATCACCCAGTTTCAAACTTTTAACCCTTTTAATTTTAGTGTAAACACACCGTAAAAAATGCCCCAATTTAAAAAAAAAAGGGCTAAAAATAATAAGAGTAATGCAAAATCAAATTTCTTTGTGCAAGATTATCAGAACCTATGAGTGGTATAACTATGTGTAAAATTAGTTTTAGTTGCAGTTTCAGTTTTTGCGTCACAGCATAAAATAAAAAAAAACGACTAATCTTGCATTAGCGGCACGGAACTGCCACTGTCACTTAGTGGCCTATAAAATCATCTACAAATGAAAAGTTGCCCTTTTTTTTCATGGCTGTCATCATTGACTTCTGTTCTAACCACTCAAAAGAAAAAATCACCCACTTTAAAAGTTTTAACCTTTTTAACTTTAGTGTAAACACACCGTAAAAAATGCCCAAAATTTTAAAAAAGGGCTAAAAATTATTAGAGTATTGCAAAATCAAATTTCTTTGTGCAAGATTATCAGAACCTATGAGTGGTATGAGTATGTGTGAAATTAGTTTTAGTTGCAGTTTCAGTTTTTGCGTCACAGCCTAAAATAAAAAAAAAAAACGACTAATCTTGCATTAGTGGCAGTGAACTGCCACTGTCTTTGTGGCCTATAAAATCATCTACAAATGAAAAGTTGCCCTTTTTTTTCATGGCTGTCATCATTGACTTCTGTTCTAACCACTCAAAAGTAAAAATCACCTATTTTCAAACTTTTAACCCTTTTTATTTTAGTTTGAAACATGTATGTGCGTGTGTGGTTGTTTGTGTGTGCCTGCGTGCGTGCGCGCGTACGCGCGCGTGTGTACCTGCGAGCGAGCGTGTGTGCCGGCGTGCGAGTGTGTGTGTGCGTGTGTTTCTGTGTGCGTGTGCTTACGATTGTGGAGCTGAGGGGAGGTACCTCCAGATCAGGTGGCGCGGCACCATAGACATAATAAAATTTTATTATGTCTATCAGCGGCGGCTGCTGCTCTTTCAAGGAGGGGAAGCTCATTTTTCTGGCCTACATCAAAATTGTATTTATTAGTATGTAACAGAACAGAGTCGCCAAACACAACGGCAGTTGTTTTTAACAAAGACAAAAGTCGCTGAGGATCGGTAAAGTCTCTGGAGCAGTTAAGAACAACGGAATGAATGACTTGGAAAATGCTCTGGTAGATGTTTTATTCTTCAAGATCGCTGATTCGCTTGTTTAGCTGTCAATCAAAAAAGGATTTCGCCTCAGACAGCTCATCCAATCATGAATGCAGAAGCTTGGAGTCCGGGAGAAAGTCGGGACCGCCCTCTCGCCATAGAACTCCAGTGAAGCTTAGCTTCCGATGGGCGGGACAAAGCCCAGCATTTATCCAATGAGCGTCTAGTTTCGCTGCTGGAACAACCCACTTTAAGCTTCCACATTAAAGTCAGCAGAAGCCCAGCGTCCGACTGTTTGAAGCGCTGAGGCGCTGCGAGGATGAATGAGAACGAAGTTATGCCGGTTACCTGTGATTATCAGCTTCTTATCACAGTGTCTGAACAAAAGTTGAAGGCTTTCTAGTGCGTATTTAGTTAATGAAATGTACACACAGCCGTACGTATTTCACCACTTTTTCTTTTTTTTGGGGGGTGACATTTTAAGGGAAGCCGAGCTTCCCTTGCAGTCTTAAGCCGCGTTCAGACCAAACGCGACCAGGTCGCGTCGCGTCGCGTTGGTCGGTCAGGTCGCGTCGCGTGGTGCTCTGGTGTGTTCACACCGGGTCCGAAGTTGCAGTCGCAGGTCGCGGCTGGTCGCCGGTGACGTCATTCATGTCACTAGCTCAGTTTTCAGTTCATCAGTGCTGCCGCATATCTGTACATCCGCAGTAGACGCCGCCGGCGTTTATGGGTGCATGAAACCATCCGGAGGAGGACGGAGCTGGGTGAATTTCACCGCTTGCTCCAGGAACTCCGCCTGGACGACGGCCGCTTCCAGCGGTATTTCCGTGTGTCGAAGGCGCAGTTTGAGGACCTCCTCGCCCAGGTGGGAAGCAGCATCTCCCGCCTGGACACAAAATACAGGCGCTCCATCTCAGCTTCGGAGCGCCTGTCTATCTGTCTGTCCCTCATATAAACGTCTCTAAGCCCCTTCCACTGCTTGCGGCACACATCCACTGCAAAGACACACACACACACATACGTTGAAACATGTAGCCTAGCAAGCAGGGGCAGTTAGCTGGGTGGTAGCTAACGGATGTGATTAACTGCTTCTCCATTGTGATTCTTCTTCTCCTCTTCCTTGTTTCGCCGGTTTGTTGACGTCAGCAGAGCCCTGATTGGCTGTCGCGGCACGAAGTCGCTCCCAAAGTTCAAATATTTGAACTTTGGGAGCGACGCGACTTGGCGTCCTGCGACCTCGGCGACGCGACCTCGGGGACGCGCCTTGGCGACCGGTCGCCCGGTCGCGCATGGTCGCGTCGCAGGAAGCCGGCGGTCGCCAAGTCGCGTCAGGTCGCGGCTGGCCATAGACTTTGCATTGGGAGCCGTCGCCAAGTCGCGTCAGGTCGCGGCTGGTCTGAACGCGGCTTTAGAGCAATCGCCACTGATGTCTATGCGCGGCACAGCAATTAGCCTACGAGGTACGTCGGACTGCCGGATGCAAAACCCCGTTACCCGGAAGAAGAAGAGGTCGGGACCAGAGCAGTGGAGTAAACACTGCTCTGGTCGGGACTGACCCGCGATGGGGATGAGCTTTGTGTGTGTGTGTGTGTGTGTGTGTGTGTGTGTGTGTGTGTGTGTGTGTGTGTGTGTGTGTGTGTGTGTGTGTGTCCGTCCGCCGCGAAGCGCGTAAAATTCGCCGGCGACGACCATCCGACACCCCGGTTTCCGTGTGGTGAGGTGAGGTTACCACCTCCAGAGCAGCCAGCGGCTCTCCGCCTTTGCTGACGCGGGCCTTAGGCTATCTGATCACGGGTAACGGGGCGGCTGTACCCGGGGCAACCTCGGACGCTTGGGGCGCAGGTGCCATGAACGCAATCGCTGGCTGTGACGAGCGCGCGCAAGATCATGCGCGTGCACAAACATTTGCACACGAACACACACGACCATGCACACACGGAAAACACTAACACATGAAAAAAAATACATGCACACCTGATTTATTCACTTCTACAGTCTACTTTTGTTTTTTTGCAAAAAATGGCCTCTTACTGAAGGTCAATAACGGATATGAAAACAAATGAAATTTCAGCATTCATAATTTGAAAAAGTTGGATTGGAAATAGACTCAAGATAAAATGCAAAAAAATGGGGGGGGAAATCTGATTTGAACTCTTGTGGCAGTATATTACAAACAGGTAGCAGATTTTCCTTCCAAAAGACTGCATCTATCATAGGCTGTGGTTTACGGGTGTGTCAAACTGACAAAAATGGTAAAAAAAACAAAAAAACACCAGAATAACAAATTTGAGACAGTTTCATGCCCAAATAAAGTAAAATGGTAAAAATAAGATTAAAAATTGCTTAATTTTATTAGTGATAAAGATATGTGCATTTTTTGATTTTTGAATATTGTAATTTTTGCCAAATTCCCATAAGGAATAATGGGGTTTTGACCACCTGGCTAGATCAGCCTCTATTATTCATTAAAAAAAAGGTGCACCTTGTGGCTGAAAGTGCACAGTGCATCTTTAATGTCTTCAGAAAAGGGGGAAAACAGTCTCTGCTGAAATTCATTTTTTCCCACTGATATTGGTATATGTAAAAGACAAGTGGTTTCCCATTGGAATGCATGGGGCACTTGTGTGGCGCTAATGCAAGATTAAGCATATTTGGAAAAAAAAAACATAACCATAGGGTTTTTTTTCTTCAATTTCAGGTATATCATGCCTCATCACAAAATACACATTTTCTAGGAATTTCTTTGCAAGGGCATTAATAGAAAAAAAGTTATAGCATCAAAGACAAGGCCTTACCCCTCCAGAAACCTTAATAAGGTACAAGGGTTAAACAGCTGATCCCAAGATTCTCGAGAGTACTGTTAAACCACATATGTAGCGCCAACTCTTCACCTTTGAACAGATCTGGACCCACCTGGTTGCATGACTTTGTCAGGAATTTAGGGAGCGTGTAATAGGTCTGATCTTGCCGCCATCGGGCAAGATTGAGTCCTGGTTTGCAGGTTTTTGTGGTATCACCTAGTTGATGTCATGCAGCCCCGAGCTGAACCCGGTCTGTTTGACTCTGACAAACATCAGCAGATGACTGTCTAATATGAGTCCAGTTCTGCTCAAGGTTCCTGCCTGTTAAAGGACTTGTTCCTTTTCTGCTGTAACCTGCCAAACTCTTGTCCAAACACAGTCACCTCTGGCTCCAGATAAACAACATTTATGAGGTCAAAACACCAAAATGAGGCCTCAGATTGGCAGCTGTAACATTAGTGAGTGATGTCAGTATGACTATGTCCTCCTGAGATTATTGCGACCCATCAGTGTAGTCACGCTTTTATTAGAAGACCCATTTCCCCTCAGTGTTGCAGTCACCTTGGATGAGTCTGAGTCTCTGGAGTCTGGAACATCTGCACTCAATTAATTGAGTCATTCAGCAGTGACAGCGGTAAAATGGGAGCCGCAGGGTCCAATTCAAAAACCCAAAAAGAGCATTTTAATTTAAGGGACATTGCGTCATTTAGCAAACCTTTTGTAGTTTTTGGCTATTATATGAGGGAGAACAGGAAGCAGACTGAGCTGAGCCTCTTCTGGTGATAGATGAACCGAGCCGTGTCCCTAAAGCTGCCAAAGGAGCTTCATCTCTGCTTTTACTGTATCTGGCAGACTGTTTTTCTATGAGTTATTCATGGTTCTGCTGTTTTGACAGAATAAAAAGCGAAGTTTGCGGAGCAGAATACCTGACAATTAAAGTGAAGCGTGATTCTTTGCACGCAAATGCCTTGGTGCTGAGCAGTGTTGGCTCATTTGGGACGGCTAAAGTCTGGTTAGCCAAGAGATGACAAGTCAAAAAGCCAAAAATCATCTGAATGTCTTAAAGGTTTACAGTATGTGACTGTTTGTAAACACGGTTTCATCTCTTAGAGCAGATGATCGTCTGGTTTCACAGAAATGACATTAAAACAGAGCAGAGATCGAAGACGATATCCACGGAAAAGAGTGAAGCAGACAGTTATCAAGTCAGGTCTGATTTAAACGGGACATAACAGACAGAAGAATGAAGTCAGACAGAGTCAACCATGGAAACACTATTTTATAAAGTTTTCTCTTTATAAACACAATGAATGTCTCCCTTTTTGTGAAATAATACATCAGAAACATACTTTCAGTCATCTTTCCTCTTCTTACTTAAGTTTTCAGCCTCCACTTTACTTTTAGAATAACTCAATAAATGTTTCAAACACTTAAATAGAAAATAAAAACAGAAAAGGAAATCTTGACTGTCCCATAAAATGTCCAAAGTGGGATAAAGTTCAGATTTAGTTTCCTTGATAGACATAAAAGGACAAACCTGCAGGAGGAAATTTCTGTCAATACTAAACAACAAATTCATTTCTATGTTTGGCGCCATAATTAAAAAAAAACTCTTCTTTAATTTCTACAAACTGAAGCTGGGAAAACTTCAGATCTTACCAATAAAACTTCCATAAACAGTTTTTTTTTAAATTCTCACACTCAAAAGTTCCAAATCTGACAATTGTCAATGATCATTTGTGGTGTTGAAATCTTTATTTCTTGTTAAAAATGAGTTGTTTTCACTACACTGACAAATAAAGATGAAAATAATACAGATGAGACTAAATGGAAGTCTGCTTTCCAGATCTGGTGTTGTCTGCTGTTGGTAGAAATATGTGACTGTCTTTAGTTACTTTATTTTGTCTGGACAGAGTTATGTGAAATACTCATCCAAGTGTTTTGAGTAAATTTCAATTGAGCACTGTTTTTTTTTTTTTCTGTGGATTTCAGAGATTTTCACTTCCTGATTAAATATTACCGCACTGAAATGTGGGCTTTACTGTCACATGGAAACACCATAATTTGGAATTTGGATGAACTTCTGACAATAACATCAACCTTCCAGCTGCATGGTGGGAGTATTTCTTGTGCTATCATAAAAACAAACCTGTTTCGCAGAGGGAAAAAGCTCTTCCACTTTAGTGGCCAAACTGTTTCCATAACTTTGCTCCGTGATTGCTTAACTTTGGCTGACATGCACAGGGTGCAGCTTCAGCAGCCACTGGCATTACCCTGGTTTTTATTATTCAGCCTCAAACCACCAACCATCAACTCGAGGAGGAATTTTCATATTTTATAAAGAGAAACAGCGAATGCTATTATTTAGTGTGCTCGGGAAAACAACTAAAGCTGCCCTGATTCCACACTTGTCATGTGCCGTTTTTCACTCCGGTTTGGTGCTCTAGTTAAGCTGACAGATGTTTGGTTTCTCCTTCTGCTTGCCTGCTGCCTAGCTGCTCTTTTCTGTGATTTAACGGCTCAAGTTATCAAAATATTGTAACATTTCAAAGTTTTTAAGTCATTCTCAAATGAATCAGGAAAGATGTTCAGTTTTTGTTGAATTAATTTATCCTGCTGCCGTGTCTTCCATAAGGACTTATTTCTCACCACCAGGTGAAAAGGGCAGCAGATTGTGTGCCTACACAGCATGGGCAGTTCAGTATGTTTGGGTTTGTGTGTATGTATGTATGTATGGATGTATGTATAGTCCAAGTGACCCCTCCAGGACCCCTCGAAGGCATGAACAAAAGCAACTATTCAGGTACATTAGAACACTCTAGAATAACGCACATAGAATAGATAGATCATCAATATTTACACAAGATATGGCTCCACACACACATGCACAAACGGCCAGTTTAAACAAATATCACAGTATTAAAACAACACCAAAACATAACACAACTCTTTTCGTTTTTCCTTCCCAGCTTATGTGTAAATCCTTTCCACCCTCCTCTGTTTCATTTCATTTCCTATGAGTCCCACAGTCTGGCAGGCCAGTCAGTCTATACTGTAACTGATATGATACAGTAGAATCACATGGACCAGCTCTGATCAGGCTGGTGCTCTCCATCCAACACTCCCGTGAATCAGACCTCAAAATTTAAAACTATAAAGTCATAGTGTGCAACTGTCACAGACTGCCTTTTAAATATTTTGCACTAAAAGGCAAATTTTTGTCGATTAGCAGGCGCTTCAACACAAAGCAAAGACAGTGCATTAAGGTGGTGGCTCTAGATTAAATTATAGGACTTGATGTTGTGGAAAGCAAAACGTGACTTGTTTCCTGTCCAGCCTTTTCAGTCCTTTTGTTCAGTGAACAAAGAGCCTCCTATAACAGCTGCATATTCAAACAACTCCGCCAATGAAACTCAAAAATGCCAAAATAAAATGCAACACAGACTCAGAATCAAAGCTCCAGTGGCTGAGTGGAACAGTGGATATGATCTGGGTATTCTATATAACTGAGGTGAGAATTTAGGAAAAGTTCTGCTGATCCATTCAGACCGTAGATTATAGAATGATGGTCAGAGGCCTCTTGAAGTTTGAGTTCTAGATTCTTGAAAACATTCAGGAGCATGGTCTTGATTTTACAGGCACTGGAAGGTTCCAGAGAGTTCATAATATATGGCAGAACATATTTTCATAACGTTGGTGAGTTACAGGACTTCAATGGTTCTAGAACTATTTTATGGGTTGACCCGGTTCCCAAACAGTTCCAGAATATAGATCATTTCCAAGGATCTAGAATCTTTTTCAAGGGATTCCTGGATCCCTCGTGATTTCTGGTCAGTTGGTGAGATCCAGAGACATGGTGCCCTTGAGACTGTTTTTCAGGGATTTCCAGAGGCTTGAAGGATTCTGAATGGGTTCATGATACACATCAGGAGCTCTTTCAAACACCAGGAGGTTTTGGAATGTCTGTCAGGGACTTCCAGATGCTCACACAGTTCTAGAATACTTATCAGTCATTTACAGAAGCCTTGGGGGTCTAGATTGTTGATCAGAGCCCAAAAAAGACAGACATGAGCTTTAGATTGTCTGTCAAGGACTTTCAGATTCTAGTGTTCTAGAGTGTTTTACAGAAGCCTAAAAGGTCCTAGGTATTGTTTAATGACTTGAAGAGGCCATAAGGGTTCTAAAACTTTATGAGGGATTTCTTCATTCTTGCAGGTTTCTTGAATGTTGGTCAGACCCCCATGGTCCTGGAAGGATCTAGAGTCTTTCTCAAGGTCTTTCCAGATTCCTGAAGAGTTCTGGACTGTTGGTAGGATCCCGAGCTGTACCGCCTGCCTCTCGAATGTTTGTAAGGGCTTTCCAGAAGCTCGAAGGGTTCAAGAATGTTGGCCAGTGACCTCCAGAGGCACTAAGGTTCCTGTAATGTTTGTCTTTATAAATCCACTGATGGAGTCCACAATTTATGTTTAAAGCTTCTAAAAGCCGGTTGGTTTCAGGAATAGTGTCAGAGACTTCCAGAGGTCTTACTGCTCTGGTATGTTGGTGTACTTAAAAAAGCTAGAGAGCTCTAGAATGCTTACATGGGACTACTTGATATCTTGAGTGTTCAAGAATGTTGGTGAAGGACCTCCAGAGGCTACAAATTGTCTAGAATCTTGGCCATTCTCTTCTGGAAGCCCAAAGGTTCAACAATGTTGAAGAAGAACTTCAAGGAAGCTAGTGAGCTCCAGAAGGTTTGTCAGAGATTCCTTGATAGTTCTAGAATCATGTTTAGGAACAGCCAGAGGTCTGAGGAATTCTTTGATGGTGGTGATGGGGCCTGGTGGGCTCCAGAGTGTTTTTCAGGGGCTTGGAGCTCTAGAATGTCGATTTTGGAACCCCGACAGACACCTCCTTAGTCACTGAAGCTGCCGGGACTTGTACGACACAAACTTTGATGTTCATAGCCATCTCCCCAAGAACACTTGGGAAATTTCTAGAACCTCGTGCTGTGGGCGAAGCTGTCGGACATGATGATGTTCTTGTAGAAGTTGTCAGTGCGTGTGGAGCAGTAACCTTTCACCTTGTCAATCATCTGGCTGACAGGGAGGATGGAGGAGGAAGAGTTGGGCTCCACCACTGAGGAGGAAGGGGACGATGTGACGCACTTTGGGCTGATCGGGCTGGAGTAACATTTATCTGCATTGAGACAAAGAAAGAGCCAAGAATTATAACTTTAAACAAAGTATTCACCATCTTTAAATCATCAAACCAAGGACTCTTGTGGTGTAAAGTTGCAGACAGTCATATAATATCAACGCTCAAGGTTTAACAGTCAAGTAGAAGTCTTGCTCCAAACTCAAACAGCGCTGGTGCGCCCCTCGTGTTACAGCTTTAATTAAAGCAGTATGTTTGAAGACCTGTTTGAAACATTAACATAAGCAGAGGTATTCATGGTTATCATATAAAAAACAGATTTATTTACATAGATACAGATACACGGAAATGTTTGAATTAAAATTCCATGAAATTGAAGTTAGAGAGAAACGTGAGAGGGAGCAAAACTTCTCAAACAAGCTGCAGGTATTATATTCTGCACTGCTGTGTGTGTATATGAGTGGATATATCTGGCTCCTACAGTTTGGTATAACAACCATGACCATATTTTACAAAGGTATGAATCCCCAAACAGGTTTGTATTTAATGTTTTGTTTCCTGAAAATGAGCTCATGGTAAGACCTTTATCTTAATTTGGATTCTACCCATCGCTCATAATAACATTCCTGTGGTTCAAAAGGACAGGAAGGGGGACCCGCAGTAAGTCAAGGGAAACGTCCTCACCAACAGGTCCAAATACCACACCATAAATCAAGAATTAACCGTCCCTGAGAAAATGTACCAGCAGGGTGAAGTGGCTGAAAGAACACCTGACACTGACTGAACAGAGGTCAAAGCCGCGTTACTAGATAACAAGCTGAAGAGAATAAATGACCAAATATCAAAGGTTTGAGCAGGAACAAGTCATACCATCCTCTCTCACATAAATCACTGTTGTTATTACATTAAAATTCCATGCTCAGGTCTCATGACGACATGCGAGTTAGCTCCATCGGGCTGGAAGTATTTGGGGTTTGATCCTGAAAACCAATACAGCCTCAGACAAACAATGAAGGCAAAGATCCACCTCAGCTCTCCAATCTGAAGGAGAAACGCTGCCTCATGTTTCCCTCTGTGTGACAGCTTTATTGGGTGCAGAGCAGTTTGGGTGATCATGCAAAGCAGGTTTTTGGGTCTCTTCAAGTTTGCCAGGCGGTCTGGGATTTGTCTAGTTGATTTTGTTCAACGTTTTTCAGGTTGGTTTGCTTTCTTTATGTGCAATAAAAAAGCTCTGGAGTCAACAAAAACTTTTTAATACAACCGGTCAGCCAAAGCCAGTCTGGATAATGTCACTGCAGCATCTCTGTGTATAAAGGATTGTTTATTTTTTTCCACTCACTGAAAAGCTGATGAAGCAAGACATCTACAAATGAGGATATGTTTGGATATGTTATACTGCAATGCATCTCAGCTATCCTCATTGGTTTATCTGGATTCCTGTTTTGGTTTATTATAGAGAGGGACTGGAGGCATATGGAAACATGTTATACGTGCAGTTTGTGATGAGCCAAGATGCCTGGTTAGCTTCATTTCACTGCTGAGGCCGCCAATGTAAACAGGATGAAGTTTTCTAAAGAGGATCCTGTTATTCACTTAAATACGAGTTGTATAAAATCAAACTCCAGTCAGGTATTATTAAATACAGAATATGAGGCAAATAACATCACTAGTATCATCTCCTTGTGGACACTCCTCTAAACTCCTTCACTGCATTGAGCATGGAGCAAGTTCAGGGAGGCCACATTATCACCACAAAGACATTTTTGGCTTTGGAGCAAACTTTGGAGCGTTGTGTCACAATGGTGCCTTTGATATGTTCATGTAGATAATCAAACCTGGACCATCTGAGCTGCCAATAATCTCCTCAATAAAAGAGGAAATTTATCGAAAGCGTTCTGACCCGCTGAGACTCAGAGGACAGGAACGCCAACCTAACCAAACACTGCTGCATCTGCTGCTGGACGATTGTGAGAAGAAGGTTTATTTTCAGGGTTTGTCTCCTTGTTCCTGTAATTTTAAGAGTCCCTGTTGTCTTTTAGATTAATTTACAATAATTTGCTGATATATGGACCATTACCAGCAGCTTTTAAAGTTTGGACGTCTATGTTGGTAACTCAGCCAAAGCAGTGAGGCAGAACGCACATCATTTTCGGCAAATCAAGCATAAGCCCCTCTGTGTTTTGGAGGTCTAATAACGCGATCAGAAAGTTGAGTTTTATTTTGAAAAGAAGGCAATAATTTAGCTCGTCTTTGATTCATGCCATTCAGCTCAAGTCTTCTTTGGCCTGAAAAAGGAGCTCCATCGCTGCTCTGTCACTCTATGTGAGCCTAAGTAAACAAAACGCATATTAGTTGTCTTGCTCAGTTTACTTCTATAATTTCCAGACTCTTCCCAACAGTGTCCCTGTGCAACAAAAAGTCACAAGGTCATGAAATAGTTGTTTTCTGGCCGCAGCCACAGTCACGACTTCCTGGACAATCACAGCATATTATGACAGCTCCGATTACGCCCCTGGCTCCACACAAGAGTCTGTCCAGTAAATGTGACCTTTAAATCCCCTCTGATTGGAAAGAAGACGTTTGTTTGTGTTGCTGTGTTTACCCACACTGTTGGTGCAGTTTAGGACAGCAACAGGAACTGAGAGTTTAAGTGTTGCCACATTAGAGACCTCAGAGCGTCAGGTCTACGAAAACATGGATATTTTGACCTGACACATCTGGAAACTTTACATCGAGATAGTCTTACCAGAGCACACACTCTGTGGTCTTGTTTTACAGACACAGAGCAGATGAAGCAGGCCGTGTCCTGTGTTCGGTTAATAGGATCTACAGATGTTGCTCATTGGTAAACAAGTATGATTTATGGATCGGTTAGTCTTTTACTTGACATCTAAGATTTTAAAACTCCACAAATCACTATTTATACCAACAACTTATCAGAAGGATGGATAGGGAGGACTTAATTGACTGTAGATAACAACCTGTCTCTGTATTTTAGGCCCTTTGGGAGCTTTAAGGCTTCTCTTAACATGGTTTCGATTTTCTTTATAGCTGTGTGCTTTGCTCTCACCTCTCTGATGGAAATGTTTCTTGCCTTATTGTCTCTTTCCAAGATATACATAAAGTTCTGCAGTGAAAGCAGCAGAGAGACAGAGAGTGGTGCTATAGTTTAATTGATGTATATTAAACTTCAATACCATGTATAGTGACCATACGTCCTCTTTTACCCAGACATATCCTCTTTTTTGGCGACTGTCTGGCCTTGTCCAGGGGAGTTTAGAAAATCCTTCAATTGTCCGGGGTTTTGTACGAAAGTTTTGAGTTTGTGTTGCGTGGACTTACTGAGTTAGAAATGTGTATAAAACACAGAACTCTCAAAATTAACTATGTGTGACTCCGTGACTCCGCCCCTGCGTAGTCGTGTCCTCATTTTGGGGGATTCAGAATATGGTCACTGTAAAACCATCTTCCAGTTTAAAGTTTCACACGAGGACAGGATTTAGCTGTTTGAAAAGCAGCCAAACCTAAACCAGGAACAGCTTTCTCATAAAAAGAGACATATTCTCCTCAGCCTGTTAACACTGTTAACACACAAAAAAAAGATTAATCTCTTTCCAAGGCTGAGTTTGAGAGTGGTAAAAAAACTGAAGGTAAATGATCTTGCTGATGGTTGTGTTACGATGTGTCAGAATTGAGACAGAGTTTTATTGCAGCGGCAAATGTGGCCATTTAGGAAACTTTTTGTGCTGCTGGTTAGCAAAACTTTTGAGGCTGATTTGCTGTGATTTCCCCAGAGCTTGGACAAATACTTTTCAGCTCACAACGTTTGGTTACAATAATGAAGCAAGACTGGTCCTGCAATCCAGATGAGCATTTAAAGAAAGAGAAAATGACTTCTTACCAAGACTGAGACAAAATTAAAAACACAGAAAACATCAGATTCCTTTGGCGTTGAATCCAGTTAGGCTTGGCATACACCAAACTATTTACAGAGTCCCAGACTAAAAACTGAAAGTCTTAAGTAAATCTTGGAGTTTTACTGGAGTCACAACAGAGTCACAGCACACTCCCGTCATCTTGATGGTTAAATTGAAGATGGTAATCTGTGCTGTTTTATATCAGTCTATATCAGTGTTTGGTATTATCACAAGTCGCAGTGATGTAACACAACCAACAACCAATCGATGAGCTCTAACAAAAGCGGAAAAGGAAACCTGACAGTCAAAATAAGAACAAGAATCTCTGAAGAATTACTGGCAATAAAAAAAGAGCAGATAGTGGAGCTTTGGGCAGATCAGACTTGCCTATTCAACATCAACTGCAGGGTTTCCCCTACATGTAATGGTGCACCACCACAGCTAAATTAAAGCCACCACACCTCAACAAGAATTTTTTTTCTGCGCTTCCTGGGACTCAGTATGTGTCCCCCCCAAAAAAAATAATATATACAAAATATGTATATACATAATATACAAAAATAATCTAGTTGTAGTCTTGTAAATAGTAACCCTGAAAGATTCACAGTCTTTGTAAATTCTCCATCTGAGACTAGGCTGTGACTGAAAACTCTGAACACTTGTCTTTAGATGAGAGCAGGTATGAGCTGATAGTTTTCCAGGACTCTTTTTAAAATTTTCTCAAAGTCTGCTGGTGGATAGCTGGCATTACTCTGCTTAATGTTAGCAGCACAAACTGAGCATTTTTGAAATAGAAATGGAGGATTAGGGACTGAGAGCTGCATGGAAAATCTGTGACCCAGCAGTTGGATTTGACCAACATTGGATCAAAGTAGGTGCAGAAAATCAGGCTGAATGCACCGCTGACAGTTTAGATGGCACATAAAAGACTAGTTACCCAAACCTGTGTTGGCTGGAATATACTCATCAGAAGACAGTCCACACTCCATATGCTCTCTTACTAATGATTAAGTGTTAAAACTCAACCCATCACACAGGTTAGGAGAAGCAAAGCTGGACCCTGTGATCTGGATAATGAAGTCTACTATAAGGTCATTATTTCAGCGCGTTTTGTAAAGCTTCATTCTGCCAAACGCTGACAGAAAACTGGTTCATATTAAGATCTTAAACTTTTCTAGCAGCTGTGATATCTAAAGGAGATAAATGACCTTTTAATTTTACACCACACCTTGCCAAGAAAAGCCCCCTTTTAGCTTTTAAGTCCAGACGTGAAGAGCCCAGGGATGGAGATAAATTAGAGCTTCAGAGACCAGAAAACTCATCTTACCGTGTTTATACAGGAAAGTTTAAAGCTGCATCATTCAAACTCTCAAATTATGAACAATCTTTGTTTTTCTCATCATATCTCACTTTGTCTTGGTCCAGAAACAGCACAAACTTAGCTCAGTGACTGTTTGGCATCAGGGAGAACTTCGTGGATCACTGACTTTATATTATGAGGAGGAATTTCTCGGCCAAGAAGAGAAATGTGTTTGTATCTATTATTCACTGTATGAATGATGGTATGCCCTTAAAGAAAGCAGAGTTTGACTAAAAGTTAAGGGACACACCTGCAGCAACCTTAAAAACAGTTTATACTGTTACAGTCATCTGATAAGCTACTTAAACCCCAAAATATTATATGGGGAATTAAAGCCATAAAAATGGACTGAAAGGTCTCAGACTGATAACACGGGTGCTTTACAAAAAAGCCTTTATAATTTCTATAAATGTTGATTTCTTAGTCACCAATGAGTGACACTTTTATGTGGCTTACTCCAGAGAAGTAAAAGTTGAGACAAATATTTAATAATGCAGATAGAAGTCAGGAAGGATCTTCATTATTAAAGTGTGAAAATAAAGCTTTAAAGAAATGTCTATATGTTTGCTTTCAAAATAAAAGCTCATGATGGACCTGTCAGAAGGAGGGGGACTGGACACAATCAAAACACTGGAGACTCTAAAGACCCAGTCTCTAAAACCTGGTCTAAACTGAACAGATGACTCTTCATACAAAGGATGAGTGCTTAGTCATATCTTGAAAGATCCTCTCCCAATATCTGAGGAAGAGACAGTGAGCCAGCACTCTGAACCGGTCAAGGACTTATATCACCTTCCCACACCTGATCTCACTCGAACCAATCAGGCACTCCCACACCTGACTCTGCTCAGAGATGATTTCCCTCACCATCTCCAGGAAAGACCAAAGTAAACTGCCCAGCACTGCACCATCTCAATTTGACCTCATGTAGCAGATAAAATAAACATATAGGCCCCGTTTATATGTTATTTCTAAAAACTGAGACATTAACCGTCGCTTACACCTTTTGTTTAGACGCAAATGGAGAATTGGCCCCTGAAAATGATGCTTTTTAAAACCTCCGGCCAGAGTGGAGATTTTAGAAAATTCTGTTTGCATGTAAACGGAGAAAAATGGTGGAAATTTTGAGAAAAATGGAGAAAAACTGAGATATGGGTAGCAGACGGTAGATTGTGTGCAGGAAAGAAGGAAGGGAGGCTGTTGTTGTTGTTGCTGCCACGCGGGATTCTGATTGGCTAATGTTGTCTTGAGCCTCTCGCTACACTGCTACCTACATGTTTGATATACTCTTAAAGGCATATATACACGGGTTAGTGTAGACGAAAACTTCCCTGAAAACGTAGTGGTGTACACGCAGTTTATTTTTGTAAACGGAGAGGGTTAAATGTCCATTTATGAAACTAGCCGGGCAAGTGTAAACGTATTCATAATGGCAAATTTTCTTTAATTTACTTTCCTGATGCTCAGCTTTATTTTTAAATGTTTTCTAATGTGCCTGTAAAGTTTGAGCACTGACGTGTCACCTTTAAAGTTAAAAAAAAAAAAAAAAGAAAAAAACAGAAGACAAAATACCAAAATCTTAAAACAACAATAGAAAACACTAACCAGATAAAAATGTACAACCCACATTTCCAAAAACCTCAAACTCAGTGAAACAGTCACTCAAACTCTAAACAAAACCAGTCCATTTCAGGAGTTATCAGACATCGCCAAGATAGCTGCCAGCAACACGCTGTTAACCTGCATCAGACTGTGCTGATCCACATCCGCTGAGGTAATGAATGATCCCTCCAGAGAAGTCTTACCAGGGCTTAAAATTGAGCTCTATTGGCCACTCTCTGTAATCAAATTTCAAGACTGCAATTTGTTTCTAAACCATGAGCCAATTTGGATCCATCAGCTGCAAAATCAGACTTGAAAAGCTTTTTTCACAGCAGGCATATTGGAGGGTTAGTGACATGTTGGACAGACCAACAAAGAGTGCAAAGAGTGGGAAATACAACATGGAAATTCACCCAGAGGCGAGTGGTCGGAGTCCAAAATGAAAGAACAAAAACTCACCATTGGGTTGAGTAACCAAGAAGCCTTTACTGCCAAGACCTTACCAAACAGAGGGCTGCACTTTGACTCAAAAAAGACCAAAGAAAATATAGTTAATAGTACAACTGACCAAACTGCTATCAGACCTCAAAACAGAAATACGTGCCTTAAAACCTGCGATTGAGGCAGATGTTAAAAGAAACCCGTGAAACAAGAACCAGACCTGAACACACATGGAACAAAGAAAAGGAGGTCCAGAACCAGACTCTAAAGGTATCTTAAAACTGTTCCTTGAAGACACCTTCAAACACAGGGAAAAGGATATATGAGAACAGATGCTCATGGTTACAGCTCAAAAGACTGCAGCTGGGTAACTTCAAACAGACCAGGTATGAGGGAGAGAGACCCCAAAACCAAGACTGAGGAGGTCTTTGGAAATAAGCAAAATCGTCCTTCATAAAAACTAGAAAGAGTACCAAGAACTGAGGTCAAACAATAAATGCAAACCAATGTGCTGGATATGAAGAAAAAAAACTTCACAAGAAAGATGACTTGAAATAAATAGTAAGTGGTACTTGGACACGGTCTCTAAATACTGCTTTAAAATAGGAGTGGCTAAGGGGTTAAAAGAGGAAAGTAAAGAAAATTCAACAGAGAGATAATTAAATAAACATTTTAGAAAGATGCAAGAGGGTAGCCTAAAACAGACCCTGGATACTGCTTAACAAAAATAATTAAAGGAACCTTAAAAAGTTATAAAATTGTAAAAACACTGATGCAGATACCCGTAACAGACCCTTAAAACCACTTTGAAATAGGTGCTTAAAGGTTCCCCTTAAATAATTAAAAAAAAAAAATGACTTTTTGAACAGAGTACCTTTAAACGGACCTTGAATACTACTTTGAAATGGTGCCAAAGAATTTACCCTTAAAACAACATCAAAGAGGAGAGTTTACATATGGGACAAGTATAAAACAGACCGTCGTAGAAACCATTCAGGGTACCGGATACCACAGGGAACCTCTTGAAGGTGGGGTAGGCAGGAATCTGTTAAAGAAGCATCTTTTTGTGGTGTATATAAAAAAAAGCTTTTTAATATCAGTCAATAGCTATTAGTTATTGATGACATTTGGTAATATAATGATATCGCTGTGTTTTGTTATGTCTGTGAGCAGCCCACTCTTTCTAATTATAAAAGAGAGCCATTCTCCGCCTCCTCCAACCTGATGGGTTTTGAGGCGGACCCAACACAAGCAAGAAAACGAAGTAAATACCAGAGACTCTGGCGGAATAATGGGCTCAAAAAGGAGGTAGACCAACCAGACAAGAGCTTAAAAGCCAAGTCAACATCAGTGAACGCTTCGGGATCTTACGGACCCTGTAACTTTTATGCTGGACAGGTAAACCACTTTAACAAAGTAATCTGAGTGTCTGTGTTTCTTGTCAATCGGGAAACTGCTGCGTGCAGCGCCGCTAAACTGTTTACCTCGGGTCCTGGAGTATGTCACTTTATCCTAGTTTTAGAAGTCCTGAAAACATTGTGTTTGCTGGTAGTCTGTTGGCATCTACAGTAGCACCAATGCTTTTTACTTTCACGTTGACTGGGCCCCATTTGTAATTATCTGAAGTATTTATCTGCATTATATCTGAATTTAATTGGAACAGTACAAGCGAGCAGGAGTGTCTGTTTGTGGGCGGGGCTTGCTGAAGCAGAGAGGGAGGGGTAGAGTTTACATTCAAGATTTCTCCCAAAAACTGGCACTTCTTCGGATCCTGCCTACCCCACCTTTGATAGACCCTAAAATCTGCTACCTTATCATGTTGAATCTGGATTAGTGACCACAGTGGGTGTGACGGGAGGACAAGGGTTTGGGATAAGGTTATTGTTTGTAGATTTATGTAGAAATAAATGATGTAGATGTTCTTTATTAGATATCGGAGAAACTGCTCAGCGAGAGTTTCTTGTACTAAATAGCTTGCCGAACAGCATCAGGAAGCGTGGGTGGATAAGTGATTTGGGGTCAAGAGGTTAAAAACATGCTGATATATGGAAGATACTGATAGAACAAGCTTTAACTGACTGATAAACTTCTTAGGATCTGCAAAGGCTCGGACTGAGAGCCAGAGTGTGACAGCGGTTGGTCTGTCACGATTGGAGGGAAATCAGATGAAGCATCCAAATCTGTCTGACTGTTTCCCAGTTTCCCAAAACAGACTCAAGCTGAGCTCAGACAATAAACTCCAGAGTCTGAATGTGGGGGTCTCCTTGAGGTCAAATCTGTCTGGAACTCAGACAAAGTGCACTTCACTAGCGCCTCTCAGCTGCATTCATGAATACAGGACACATTATTCATTCGGTGAAGTCTTTGGCTGAATTGTCAGAGTCACTGGGTGACAAATGAGAAATAATGTAAGCAGGGCTGATAAGAGAGCCGTTCTTTAGGATAAGGTTAAGTTATGATAAGATAAAAAGATGGATGCCTCTAAAAAAATAAATTTAAAGTGAAGTGAAGAAAATTCAATCCAGAAATTTGAAAGCTTATCTGGCAAGAAAACACTGTTCACTAATCAGAAACGCTTCACGCTGCTGCCAATGTTGCTGTTTCCTCTTTAAGGTTTCTTGGGTCCAAAAAACGTGGATCCATAAAGACCTCAGAGAAATGGTTTTCCAGAAATCTTCAAACATTCTGCATGGTCTTAATATCCTCTAAAATATTCACATATGGATGAAGTTTGACATATTTTGATACTTTTGATCCTCATATGATCGGTACAGTGAAAAACACGTTTGGTGTAGCACAAGGATCAAGGCTAGGTGTCTTAATGTTTAACCAATATGATATCTATAGACGCCGATGACACCACTATGTACGTAAATAACAATAAATAAATAAATACATAAATACATAAACACAACAACCTTATTTTCTAGTCATAAGTTTACATCCACTACAGTTTCATTAAAAACATAAATCTAAACTTTTAGGACCTTTTATCACAACCTTCCTGACACATTGTTTAAAAAGTGGGGGATTTGAATAAGGATGTTGAATCTACAGTACAAAATTGTCAGGCTTTCCAGCCCCAGTTAAGATGATTCATTTATCCACCTTGGATGGGTGGGGGCTGACCCTGACATCCCCATCTTCAACAACCTTTTCCAACTCCCCCTTGAAGATTCTGGGGCAAGAGAAGATACATAATCCTTTAGGGTACATTACAGGTCTAATCCAAGATCTTCGTCTGGTGGGACGTACCACGGAAACATCCAAAAAAGGTTCAATTAGGGTTGAATTATAGTGCTCAGAACATGGCGCTACAAGAGACCCTGGGACTGAGCAGGTAAGGCAGCTTCAAATTTAGTTTTACCTCTTGAGCTTTCAGAAAAAAATGTTTCCAAAAAGAAATTCTTCAGATGTTTTTTATGGCCCATTTTTAAATCTCTTTTTCGTTTTTTATTACCTTTGGGATGCTAACATTGGTCCAAATGGTAATGATGTATATTTTCACCTGATAAACTGAATGATAGTGACAGTTTCCAAACATCTCTAATAATAGTATAAATTTAAAACCTTGGTGAAAGAGAGTTTGGAGTTTTTTTTCTCTTTATTTTCTTAATATTTTCTTTCTAAGAAAACCTGAAGTTAGCAGCTGCTTTTAAAACATTTCCAGTCCAGAAAGAGACGAAAATTCTCCATGAAATGTTAGTCCATGTGGTGTAATTGACCTTCTTTGCAAGTCATAAACATCCATGTAGGACACTCCTCTCTGGAGTAAATGACACGTTAAGGGCAGATATGGGAATAAGACTCTCAGCTCAGCAGTAGTTTTATTTCTTAATCATCTCTTTGGAGAAAACATAATTCTTCAAGCTCAAGTTTTATAACTTTATTCTACCAACAGTTTTATCCAAGAAAATAGAAATAATGTTGGTTTGAAACTGGCAGTCACAGCAAACTCCTCATCTATCTATGAAAGCTTTTTTGGTTTTGGATCCTGAAGGTGGTTTTTCAAATGAATAGAATATAATAAAACAAGATATCAATAAACAATAAATTCTCCTTTTTCAGTTAACATGTATCAGCACTTTATAAAGCTCCTCTGAGAGCCCTGACCAGCTCTATAAGGCCCACATCCGCAGCAGCTCTGCAGAGCAAATAAGCAGTGAACAAAAGATAAGCGTGTTTATGCAATAACACCAAAGTTCAACCACAAGTTTGTTTGCAGTGCAGAACGTGAGTATAAACATCATGAAATAATAAAATCTGTGCGGTGAAATATGGAGGCAAGTGCATGCATTCCTGTGGGCCTGGAACACACACACACCAAAACATTTAGACATATATCGCTACACTGATACAGCGAAATGTAAGACCTCAGGAATCTGTGTGGTCCACAAACCTTCTGCCTCAGAAACCACGAGGCGAGATTTACAGCAGCACACCCTGACATCCGTGACGCGCAGATTCCCAGAAACCCCTGAGGTCACAGGGATGAGTTCCCCGTCTCATCAACTTGTTTACCCTCAACACACCAGAAGGTAGATTCAGCTTCCTGTACACTAAGTTACAGCGCATCTATTGACAGGAACGTTTGGCTACGCTTTTAGGTACCCTTGAGCATCTGTTCTTAGGTTTGCTTTGCAGCTCTTCTTAGCACCTGTTTACAGATGCTTGTAATGTCTGTTTTTACCTTTAAAGACTTCCTTCAGTGGCAGTGTTAAGGTACACTTGCACGCCTTTAAGACTGTTTAGCAACTGTTAACCATCTCTGGTTATCACCTGTTATAAGGAACCCTAATGTGCCGTCTTTAAAGCACCACTGAGCCTCTTTTTTGAGGTACCCTTGGACATGTGTTGACTGGTACTCTCAAGAGTATTTAACTGAATAACAAGGTACATTAAGGCACCTTTTAAAAGTCAATGTTGTCTTAAGGTACTCTCCAGCTTCTGCTTGACTGTAACAATTATAACAGCCTGTTTAAAGATGTTTCAGGATGCAGTCTGTGCAGGTCCAAGTCTCCAGATACACAGATAAGAGGTATCGATAGCTATTTTCTTCACAAAGACCTTTCCTGTGTTGTGGTACCCTTGTATGTTTGGATGGTGACACATCAATCAATGCTTTAACTATGAAATTCAATACCTGCTTCTTGTTCTTCTGCCATAATCAAGCAAATAAAAAAAAACAGCCTGTTATTGCATCTGTTTCCTCCAGAACATGTTTCCTGGTACTTTTATTCATGGTATTTCTCAAGGTGCACTTGTTGGTGTCTAATTCGAGGTGAATTTAACCGTCTGTTATCCTTCCGTACCTGGTTTAAGTTACTTTTACTTTTTCATATGTTTCTAAAGTTACTGTTTGAATCTGTCTAAGTCAGGCATGCCCAAACTACTCCACAAAGGGCCGGTGCGGCTTTTCTTCCAACCAATCAGCAGCACACCAGACTTGATTCATTTCATCAGCTGATCTCAGTCTTCAGACAGCTGATTGGTCAGACTGTTGCTCTTGATTGGTTGGAAGAAAAACCTGCAGCCACACCGGCCCTTTGTGGAGTAGTCTGGACATGCCTGGTCTAAGTGAACCATAGAGGATGTTCATATTTACTCAAGCATCTGAATCATGGTAGGATTAACAGTTTTAGGTCCATCCTTGGTGTCTTTGTTGGGGTACTTTTACCATCTGTATTGAGATGCCTTTTAATGTTCTGTATTTTTGTCCTTTTTCAACATTGAATTGAAATTTTTCAGGCAAACAAACTGGTCAAGTTTAGGGAATTCATAAGATGTTATGGAGTCATACGCCTGTGTTGTTCCAAACTCAACAGAAATCTGAGATTTATAAAATTATGCCTGTTTTTTTGCTGTTCTGGGAAATCCACAGAGGATAACCAAAACCCCTCCCAGCTGTGGAAATGAGGGGAAAAAAAGAAGCTCACATGATGAAATTTCTCTGAGACCATAAAGAAAAAAAAATCTGATGTTTATTTCTTTTGCCTCATTTTTAAAAAGAGCAAAACAAAGTTTCAGGACTCTGTTTGTAGGACACATAGAAACTGCACACTCCCCTGGTATGTTTTAATAAAAACAAGATACCAATTTATCTGTTTTGTAATCCGGGATAATCCCAAATCTCTGGTATTCCTGTCGGGTTTATTAGAGTCCTGTTTTAAGTTTGAGTGTTTTCATCAAAGGTTTATTAACTGCTGTTTTTAAAGTATGATTTATGAAGACACTGCAGGCTGCATTTTGGTTTAAAGCTGATTCATCGCCAGAGACTTTTTCTCCATTATACTGATTTAATTAAAAAGGGAGAATGATGAGTATTTCATTAAACAGAAACAGTTTAAATGAATGTCAGACTGAAGCTTTGATTTTGAGTGTTTTCATTTAGAGTTTTCACTTATTTGCCTCTAATTTTGTCATGCTTCTTAAAACTTACGGCACAGATTAAAAGAATCAGTAGGAAAAAAAACAAAACTTTTTGGGATGTGCTCGTGAGTTTCTTTCGAGGAAAACTCTGATCTCTGAGACGGACTGGCTGCCTCACAGGTAGATAAATATCACATTTTTTGACTAATGGATTCAGGACACATTAAACCAGTTTGCTGTAACTTTAAATGAAAGAAAACGTGGGTGTTTGTCTGTGTTTTGGTGCGCAGATGTGAGATGTAACTAAAACCAGTGAGACATGAATCAGGACTTAATTGCTCAGAGAAATACTTGGACCCAGAACACAGTTCTTTGACCTCATGTTTGCCAACATTTGGTGTTAATTGAAGAAATCAGACCTCTATTTCTGACTTCAATTACTGCCTCTAATGCAAACCACAGTGTCAGCCTGTTGTTACTAACCCTTAATAGAGGTACAAACACATCACATACGGTTAAACGGGGCAGATGTTAGCGTGGATGCCATCTATCGAGGCGTGCTTGTTTCTGCATCCTGGGACACTCTGGGTGGGTGGAGTTGTAGTTTTTTGGTCGTAGGACAATTACTAAAAAAAAATAACCTCCCCTCACGCAGAGTGTCTCAGGTGCAACAGGATGGCGTGACATCACAGTGACCAGCCAATCACAACACAGAGTGGCCAATTTCCCAAAATGTCTGCAAATATATATATTTTTTAAAATCTTGTAAAATATTTATGCAGAATTTTGATTTTCGGAGACCACAGACATTTGGGGAAACAGAGCAGATCACATGATGCTTGAAGCAGGAAGTCACACAGCCAGTTAGCTTTAGCTTTACCTCCATTGGTCCTCCACTCTTGCTATTGATTGGATGAGAATTCTACACACCAAACACAGAGGTAAAAACATGAGATGATATCACAACCTTTAATAAAAACAAAGTCCTGAATGCTCTCTGTTTGTCCCTCAGCTGATATCTCAGTGTGTTTGTGTGCGTCTCACCTGTGTTACTGTGTCTCTTGGTGAACGGGTTGAGTGTAGCTTTAGCTTTGGACGTCCAGTTCGCTGTGCTGGAGCCGAACGAGCTGGAGGACAGAGACTTGCCCAGGTTTTCCGAGCTCACCTTCTTGGTGTTGTTGGTGGCTGTCTTACTCCAGTCTGCAGCAGACACACAAAGTAATTAATCAGTGCTTTTAAACCTCCCTTTTACCTAGTTTCCTTCCTTCATCCTGTCCTTCTCTCTTTCAGTAATTCTCTCCCTGCCTTTGTCCCTCTCTTCCTGATATCCCTGAATCGAATTCAGGAGTTCCCCCATCTACAAACATCCACACCATCAGATGTTGTCAGGGATAATTATACCCCAGTCATCAGTAACATGAAACAGATGTGCAACAGATGATTTCATTGGAACCTGGTGGCCTTATGAAATTTGGGTTGAATTCGATGTAAAACCTTTTGGACATACAATATGAAATTTAATGATGGATAAACACTGAGAAACTCCGTTACAAATCCAGCGCGGCTGGAGTGTCCAAAACCTGCATTCCTCCTCATGCCCAGCAGGGGGCAAAACAAGTCTGATTGTACTTAAGGCTACGAGTAAATATCCTTTCTTCTGGATTCAGTAAACAGTTTCCTCATGAGTTTCGAGTCTGCTTCAACAAAACATCATGTTTACATAGTGAATCACATTTAAAGAGACCAAAAGGAGCTGATTCAGGGTGGTCTGCGATTGACAAGATCCAGAGAATTCCCCATAGGAATTTTCCCTGTTTCAGTTTTGGTAATTAAAGCCGAAGTGGAAAGAACCTTAAACCCACTTTCCTCCTTTATGTCCAACAGGGGGCGACTCTTCTAATCGTAAAAATCTGTCTGGTTGCAATTAGTAAAGAAGTTCATGAGAAAACTAGATGACTTTGTCGTCAGCACTCTCAAAACTGGGGGTGGACGCTTGGTCTAAACCAAATCTAATGAAAATTTGGAAATTATTTATGAAAATGTTTTAGTGCTTCTTCTGGCTGAGAAAGGAATAAGATTAGGGGTGAAACTCAGGACAAAGACAAATTCGACACAAAATGTCCCACTTGATTTGTGTAAAAGACAGAGCAGCTAATCCTTTGGCTTTATCATTTCATGTAGGAGAACAGTTGGCACCCCGATGTCTCTATTATGAAGCTCTGATTTAAACTTATTCAAACTTTTTGATAACATCTGACCTCAGATCGCCCTCTGCTTCTCCACTCATCTCTTGCAGAACTCAGTAAATCTGATCTTTATCACTCCGCTCGGAGGAAAAGGACATTGCTCGGTCTTATTGTTGATTTATTATTAATTCTGCATGCTTGATTACATGCATGTGTTTACACAAATATTCTGCACTAAAACATGATGAACTCCTGCGAAGACCCGCAGCCTTTCACACAAAAACATGCTTACCCTGGAATTCCAGGCATGAAACCATCAAAAGATCACAAACAGACTCATTGTGCCTTGGACTAAATGAACAGGCACAGACTGAGCTCACCTGGAGGACTTCCTGCTCTTTCAAAATCAACTCTGTTTTATCTTTTTTTATTAGCTGCAAAGCTGCTCAGGGACTCAGGTTTTAAACTTTAATAAAGAGTTTTTTTCCGGCTGCTGTGGGAATCTGGCAGAAGTCCTGCAGACAGATTTGACAGGACTCCTGTGGACAGACGTGAATCTGCTCTACTGTTCTGATGTGAACGATTAGGGTCTACCCGAGACACACAAACACAGAGAGACAGACAGACAGACAGACATGTACCTGAGTTGTCTGAGAGTCTGAATCGACCACAGCAGAGGTATCTCCTCCACTGCTTCTGCACGTTTTCTTTCAGAGCGCAGTGAAAGATAAATATGAACAAACCTGGAAAATAAAATCAGAAAACAGAGATTTGGTTTTTCCAACTTCTGAATATTGTGCAAAAAAAAAGTTTCTTAAACCAACATTTCATGTGTACAGTGTTATAATGAGATGAATCAAACATTCTTGATTCGTTTGTGGGTTTTAAGTAAAAATGTGCACAATCAGCTGACTTCACAATGAGCCTCGTCATGCTGAAGATCTGCTTTATTTAACACGATCAAAACCTGATGTCAGACTCTGTCGGCCTGTTAGGACAATGCTAAAGGACTGAGCAGCTCAATCAGAGTAGCTGGAAAGTCTTTGGCTCGACTTTTTCCCTCCGTTCAGAAAAGTCACAGTTTCAGCATCAGAAACGGTGAGAGGATTTGATTTGATTTAGGACAACAGACACATCGTAGCTGTTCATGCCTGCCACTTCATTGATAACTCCTTTGTAAACAAAGGCCAAAACGAGCTGGATTTGAGTCTCAGCTGTTCCTGAAGCCTGGGGCTGTTCATCTAGAAAGACCTTGATGAAGCTCAGAGACACAAACTGGATGCAACATTATAACAGCAGAGAATGATGCGTTATCAAATTTGGCAGAAGCAGAAGCTAGTTGGCATCTCACAGCCAGTTTTAGTCGGTTTCTCATGACTTCAAAGCTGTGTAAAAAATAACACCCCAAAATGTGTCTAACTTAATATCAGTTAAATTAAAGCATTTCTGACAGTGTTGGTTCCGGTTCTGAGTGAGTCTTGTTACCTTGCAGCGAGTTAAAGATGGCGAAGAGGTACATGAAGGCCAGGTTCACTGGTCCCCAAGCGAAGAGAGCGAAGCCCCACGTCATCCCCAGCAGGAAGGTCAGGCTGATGACGCTCCGCAGGTTTCGTAGAACCTAAACCATGACACAGGAGTTATTAATTTTTACCACATAAAGGGAGAAGTACCTCTCAAGTCTTAAATACAGCTGTGAACTCTGGTGCAAGGTGGGTTTTAGTCTTGATCAAACGCTTCAGAAGGTTTATCTCCCATCCTTTGTTTTTTCTCCTTCAGTTGCTATTAAAATATCCATCCATCCATCCATCTTTCACTGCATATCCGGGATCAGGTCACGGGCGCAGCAGCCTGAGCAGAGAAGCCCAGACTTGCCTCTCCCCGGCTACTTTGTCCAACTCTTCCCTGAGGCGTTCCCAGGCCAGCTGCGAGACGTATTCTCTCCAGCGTGTCCTGGGTCTTCCCTGAGGTCTCCTACCGGTAGGACGTGCCCTGAACGCCTGAAGGCTTCTGGGAGGCATCCTCATCTAACTCCTCTCAATGTGGAGGAGCAGTGGCTCTTCTCCGAGCCCCTGCCGGATGACTGAGCCTCTCACCTTATTTCTAAGAGTAGTCGCCACCTTGTTCTTTCAGTCACTACCAACAGCTCTTGACTATAGGTGAGAGTAGAAATGTAGATTAACTGGTATATTGAGAGCTTTGCCTTTCGGCTCAGCTCCCTCTTTACCATGACAGATCTGTGCAGCGCCCGCATCAGAGCTGACGCGGCACCGTTCCACCTGACTATCTGCCAATCCATTCTTCCCTCACTCGTGAACAAGACCTTGAGATACTTAAACTCTTCCACTTAGGGCAGGATCTCATTTCCGTCCGGAAAAGGCACACCGCCGTTTTCCGGCTGAGAACCATGGACTCAGATTTGGAGGTGCTGATTCTCATCCCAGCCACTTCACATTCGGCTGTGAACCGATCCAGTGAGAGCTGAAGGTCACATAAGGTCGTGTAAAATCGACAAATAAAATCAACGCTTTGATTTTTCATTAGTAAACAGAGATTCATGGATCTATTTGAAGACCACATTTTGGTCAGTCAGGGAAAGGTGAAGCTGAAAAACACTCTTTTTTTTCCAGCAGCTGCATGAGGAACCTCTCAGCTGCTGGAGGGAGATCGAGTCAGGAGCTACAGCTTCTCCTTCAGAGCCTCGGGAGTCTAGTCATAGGGGTCATTCATGGGTCTGGACTCTTAAGTGTTGTGAATCGATCAGGCAAATTTTTCCTGTGGATGTGGATTAAATATTTCTGTATACTCTGTGGATGGCTCTGAGTGATGACAGCCCGAGGCCTCCTGAGATCACAGCTCAACAAAAATCTGGCAGAAGTGATGACATCTCTCCTTGCTCTTTTCTTCGTCTGCGGCTCATCCTCGCTTTTCTGAACACCAGATGGCTCTGAGCATTCCGCACTTGAAAGATGAAGAGTCAAAGTTTAACAACATTAATAACTGACGAGTGAAGTAGCAGTAGTACCTCCTCTCTCAGCGTGCGGTTGCTGCGTTTGCCGTTGCGTCCGCAGATCTGCAGCATCACCACCACGAACATGGCCACGTTCAGCAGAAACACCAGGCAGAAGTAACCCACACAGGTGACGTAGAAGACCACCGAATTCTGGATCCAGCAGCTGAGAGAGGACACACAGACAGACACTGGAATAAATAACAAAACTTACTACTAACTTGTAAAAAAGAATTACGGCCTTTCACTCTTGGGCGAGGTTGTGGCAGCTTGATTTCTTTTGATGGCCTGTCAGGTGATCCATAAATCAGGATCTCATTGAGGTGAATGAGGTGAGTGAGATTTCAACAGACTCTGAGGCAGGGTTGTTTCCATGCATGTCGACATGTTGCTTCAGGGGAAAGTTTCGAGGGATGTCTTAATTTTTCAGAGCTCACCGTTATGCAAATCCATTTTGATTTACACGTGTGGAGCTTTACAGAAGACCAGTCGGTTTACAGAGTCTGATGAGACTCCAGAGCAGCAGAGATGACTTTTACAGATCGAAGTTTAAACCGACCTTGGAAGAAGAAATCAAGCCAAATAACACTGACCTTAAATTTGTTTAAGTATATGAATTAAATCCTCTTTGTAAAGCACATTTTACAGGAAAATGCAGTTCATGATGTTTCCATTTAAGGTGAACCACACAGTCAAAAACCTCCTGCTCAGATGTTTCACAGAAGTTTATGTTTCCTCTGAGATCTAAGTACTTACAACTCCGAGGATCCTTCTCCTGACTCTCCTTTGCCGTACTCCTGCAGGCCGTACAAGTTTTTATCCACAGAGACCACGATCCCCACCAGCACCGCAGGGAAGCCTACAACAACAAGACACAGAGCTCTCAAACACACAATGATGTCTGCGCTTGAGACACTTTGACCCTTTCAGAGACGGTCATCTGAGGTGTTAAGGTCTAATTGAGGTCCAGGTCATTTTGGTAGCTCCTTCCACATATCTGTATTGTTGCTCTGGTGTCGCTCATCTGTCTCTTGATGCTACCCCAGAGATCCTCTATAGGAGTTCAGGTCAGACCACTTGGCTGGCCAATCAAGCACAGTAAAACCAGGGTCAACACAGCATTTAGATGTAGTTTTGGCGCTGTGGGCAGGTACTGAGGCCTTACATTACAGGGATATTCCGGCGTAAAATTAAGTTAAGGTCAAACACACCGTAACACCCCGTTGAGAGATGAATGTTAGCGACCCATTGCTTATCTAGTTATACCAACTTTAGTAACGACCATACAATAGCAATACACAGCGGGTTGAGGAGCCATGTGCTCAACCAAAAATCCACTCTATAGCCACAAATAATGCTCAGAACAGCACCTAACTTCATCAACAGTACATATAGGGTCCCAGCCACAGCACTAGCCACCAAACATCTTTTTAGCTTTGCCTAATTTCTTTAGCAAAGAGACTGAACACAACTCCCCTACTCTCCTCCAGCAGCCACTTGTTTGTAGGGAGACCTCGGATGAGTCCATTACTGACTGCAGCGGGGTGACGCAGCTCAAGGAAGAACATTTATGATCATTACTTCATCATTTCCTTGATGTAATTATCACCATATTAATCATTTTGCACTGCAGACGTGGTAGTTCTTCCGCCTTAGCGTCTCAGTCTGATTGCATTTCTGTGAAAAAATGATCAGAAATGTTCTTCCTTGAGCTGCGTCACCCTGCTGCAGTCGGTGATGGACTGGCCCGCGGTCTCTGTACAAACAAGCGGCTGCTGGAAGAGAGTAGGTGAGTTGTGTTTAGTCTCTTTGCTAAAGAAATTAGGCAAAGTTAAAAAGATGTTTGGTGTCTAGTGCTGTGGCTGGGACCCTATATGTACTGTTGATGAAGTTAGGTGCTGTTCTGAGCATTATTTGTGGCTATAGAGTGGCGTTTTGGTTGAGCACATGGCTCCTCAGACTGCTGTGTATTGCTATGGTGCGGTTGTTACTAAAGTTGGTATGACTAGAGAAGCAAGCGGTCGACTTGGTGTTACTGTGTGCTTGACCCTAACTTAATTTTATGCCGGAATGTCCCTTTAAATCTTTATATCTGCATTTTGAGTCGGTCCGTGTAAAGAAATCTACATTTTTTCTGAGACTTTAAATTTGCCTCAGTCCTAAAACCTGACTTTAGTCACAGTTCAAGGGTCTCACCCCAGCCAACGATGCAGAACTTGAGGATGTATCTCCGTATGTAGGTGTTGAAGACTTTGACCAGAGCGATGTACATGTGGATGGACTCAAGCCCCATCCAGGTGAAGGACGTGAGCAGGAAGTAGTGCAGGAGGACGGCCACCGAAAGGCACAACCACTGGGTTTCCAGACTGGCCAACCAGCCGTCCAATAGGAAGACCATGTTGAGAAAGAGCAGGGAGGTACTGAGGTTCATCAGGATCTTTGACGGGTAGTCACGACGCAGTTTCCTGGAGAGGGTAAGGAAAAAACATGATCAGACGTGTTTATTTCATGAACTTTTCACTCCTCTGTCGACTTTTTTATAGACAGAGCTTTACATGAGACTCACTCAAAGGCGATGTAGGTGAGCAGCGTGGCGGCTGAGAAGATGGCGGAGATACCGCAGCCTATGTAGGTGATGAAGGTCAGGATCTTGTTGTTCCTTGCACCAATGTGGGGTGCAGCTCCGGAAATGTCCTGGAGACACACAAAGATGACTCAACATGAGGTAAAAAAGAAGAGCTCATTATCCAGGATTATGTTCAGCAGTGTAAAAGCTCTTTGAGGAGTTAAAACCAGCAGGACTGAGAGACTTTAATGATGCATGAGTGTTTCCTGATTCGCTCAGTCTCACCATGAGGATGCCGAAGTGTGTGAGGTGGTTACACAGACAAACAGTTTTATTGTTGGTGGACTCTTTGGAGACTCTGCAGCCTTCACCATTCCAGCCTCCAGCTCCATCTAGTGGCAAAAGAGGGTATTACTCCACATCACAGCCCTGTCTGAACTAACCGCGTACAAAACTTTTTACAGAAATCTTGTACGATCAAACTTACAGGAAATCTTTTTCAGGTTTTGCAGGATAAATACGTCTGAATACAACAATCTTTTTTTCCTCTCTGCTCTCTGTATCTATATCCCCTTCTTTCCCCTTTCCTTCTTCTTTGCAGGAACCTTCATGCTCCTTTAGTTTCAGGTCAGCATCTTTAATTCTGCTGTTTTGTACCTTCATTTAAAGCATTTAAAGCGGAAACCTCAGAGGTAAAACAAGGACAAGCTCAAGCTGTGAGCAGAAGAAAATGGATGAAAACGGCTTCTTGGCTGAAATGTTAACAAATGGAAGTTTCCTCAGGACACCTGAAGTATCTTTCCTTTTGTTTGTTTTTCTACAGTGAGCTGAGGTGAACGTCTCCCTGAAGAACATACAGATATAAAACATAAAGAGCGACGTGACGACAGACGTACCGTTCATACTGAAATCCCAGAACATACAGACCGGATTCAGAGCCGGCTGCCAGGAGAGAAGAAGAAGAAACACAGAAATATGTCAGTATGAACTGGAGGAGCAGAGATTACAGGTTCGAGGATTCTCGTCAGAGTCAGAGCCATGATTCGAGGAGTGAGTTTCTAAACTTGATAAGAGTCCAGCAAACACAGGATTTATTTTAAGACTCATTCAGAGATATTTCTCTATATATTCATAATTATTACTGAGATATAATGAAGTTATTTAGTAACTTCAATAAAACCAAATTTAGAAATGAAGATTTTTTTTAAAAACTCAAAGCAAAGTACACTCAAAGTGCAGAATACCACAATGTGATAATGAACCTCTTTGTTCACACTGAGCTTTACCTGTTCAGACAGGTGAGCGATCTGAATCTCCACAGGCTCCTTCAGGTCGCTGATGGAGAAGTTTCCCACGCTGCTCGCCACCACGTAGCTGTTCAATGCACGGCTGTGCTGCTCCTTCTGAAAACATGGATGTCAAATATCAATTATCGATCCATTGTTTTTGTTATTCATAAGGAAAACATGCAGGTTTTCGGCTCCAGTTTCTCCTGAAATGTTTTTATTTAGACGCTCAGGTGTGGACTGACCTGGAAGAGGTTGGTGCTGCTGAAGAACATGAAGTTAATCCTGGAAAGAGAAGACCTGTCCGCCTCCGTCAGAGAGACACTGGACAGCAGAGACGGCGGGAGGACCACCTGAGCTAAAGGGTTAGTCCGCTCCGATTCAAAGTCAATCTGTAAGGGAGGAAGGAAGAGAGGAGGGGACAAGGATACAAGGAAGGACAGGTGGCAACGATAGAGGAGGAGGAGGAGAGAAGAAGGTGAGGTTGAGGATAAAGGATAAAAAAGAGGGAGTAAAGAAAGACAAGAGAGAAAAAAAAGGGCAGAGGAGAGGAAGGAGGAAGGAGATGACAGGAAAGAATAAAGCATAGAAGGAAAAGGTAAGGTAAAGAAGGAGGAACAGACAGAGAGAAATGAAGGTAAGGAAGGAGGACAGAAAGAAGGATGCATAGAAGAGAGGACATGAGAAGAGAAAGAAAGGAAGTAAAGAAAAAGAGGACAAAAGGATGGTAAGAAAGGAGATGAAAAAAGGAGGTAGGAAATATGAAGGGAATAGAGTAAGAAAAGAAAAAACAAGAGGAAACAAGGTGTTGAAGGAAGAGAGGGAAGAAGGTGAAAAGGAAACAGGAGAAGAAATGAAGAAAAAGGTAAGAGGTGATGAGACAAATGAAAGAAGAAAGGATACGATGGAAAGAAAGGAAGGGCAAATGAGAAGAAAAAGGAAGGATGGGAAAAAAGGGTGTAGGATAGGAGAGGAAGGGTAGCAGAGGGAGAGGAGAGGGGAAGGAGGGTGGGAAAAAGGAGTTAAGAGAGGAAAGGAAGAGAGGGATAAAAGAAAGACAAGATGAGACCTTTTTTGAAACTATTTTTTGTTTGTTATCTTTCTCTGGTTAAAGGATCCCTTCAAAATAAAAGCCTACGACAGTATAGCAGGTGTTGAGCTGACTTCCTGTTGTTGTACCTGGGGGTCGGTGGTGTTTGGGGGGATGAAAGCGCTGAAGGACGTCCCGTTGAACATGGAGGTGTTGAGGGCGGAGATTCCTACAGCCAGGTGTTTGGAGGTGATGCTGATGGACGGACCATCAAACTCGATCTTCTGAACCAACTCGTCCACCGTCTTCAGAGCTCTGAGAGGAGAGAGAGAGAGACAGAGAGAGGGAGACAGTTAGACAAAATACAACAGGAAATGTTCGTGTAAGAAAACATGTTCATGGTTAAACTCGTACTTCTCTGAGGTTGCAGCGAGCGCGCTCTCTGAGCTGCTCATCACGTTGGAGATGATGGTGACAACGGTGGAGGCCAACGAGCTGTTGATCTTCGCCACATTCACCAACTCCTTCACCTTCGTCACCACTTTGGACACCTAAAGAGAGGAAAGAGGAAGAAGAGTCAGGCAGAGGCGTTAATTCACAGATCTGAGCTCTTCTTCTATGGTGTCCTGCTCGCTCTGTGTCTCACCTCCAAATTGGACAGCTCATTATTGGTGATGACGGCGAGCTGCACGGCGACCTCTGCAGCATTTTCTGCACGTGAAAATAAAAGCATTTATTTCACACCGCGGGAAGACATTTTTTTTCATTTTTAATCTTCATGGGTTGTAGAGGGGAGGAATCAGGATGGAGGGAGGAGAGGAGGAGAGGATGGGGCTTACCTGCAGACACCAGGATGGTGTCGATGTCGGTGCAGTTACTGACGTCAGCATCCGACCAGTAGGAGGAGAAATTCTGAGGACTGATCAAACTGAGACAGAGAGAGAGTGAGAGTGAGGACGGGATGTTTAGATGTCCTGCTATGTTAATTAATTGGCTTGTTGGTTTGGACAGGAGCGAATGCACATCATCGCTTATAGTGGCATATTCAGGTTTCTAGCCATGGCTAATTTGCTTCATCTGCTCCTGGAATTTGAAGCAGACTTTAACCCAAAGAAACCTTAAGTCTACTTTCCAGAAAAAAGAAACAGCTCTGACTTTTCTTTATTGTGCAGACGTCCAACTGAGATGGTTTGATGTGCCTTACCAGGTCCTGGAGGTGCTCTGGTCCTTGTTGGGGAAACAGGGCAGGTACTGGGTGATGGTGGGTCGGCTCTCAGGCCAGCGGTAGTGGAGCGGGTTCTCCTCTGGACAGTTTTCTGCATGATAGGAAAAAAAAAAAACAGGATTTGATAACAACTCAAGACTAGCTTAAATGAACTTCAGACATGAAAACTAAAGAATAAAGAGGATGAAAAAAGAGAGAAAACTCAAATCGGTTAAGTCATTAAAGACCCACTCTAATGAAAATCATGTTTTTCTTGTTGTCTACATGTTCATGTGGCCTTTTTCTGATACTAGAGGACATATCAGGAGAAAAAGAAGTGTGAAACTGCATTTGAATATTTCTGCATTCAAATCGCTGTGAATACCTGGCAGACCCAAACAGCAGGATCGGATACAGTGAGATTTCCTACGTAACCAATCCAAGCTCCGCCCCTGAAACCCCACTATGCAGGCCAGGCTCGGAGGAATAGAGAGGACGGTCGCGGAACAAGCGTCTGCGTATGCTGATTGAAATGCTCGTAAGAAAGCGAATTATGATATTAGCTTTCATCGTGTCCCTAGACACAGTAGTGTCCAAGAGCTGAATAGCTCCTACGTTACCTACAACTTCTACTACACCAGCAATGTTAGGCTATAAGCTAGCATGAAGAGGAGTGTGCAGAACAGCACTGTCTCCGCCCACGACTCAGAGGTGAATTGCGAATGATCTACTGAAGCGCTGCAGCCCTTGAAAATGACACAGGTAACGTGATTTTTGGTGAAAACTTCACAATCACAATTTATAGACCACTGAGAACACTTTAAGTAGTAAAAAAAACAATTGGAGTGTGACTTTAAAGAGTTGGGACACCCAGTAAAATGTAAGTCAAAGTTTTTAAGTTCCTTACCGACTAATCTGACATTCGTAGAGTCTGGTTGGACCTGCAGTCCGGCCCCCATCAGCTCCTGGTTGCTGGACATCCTGGAGGACACAGTAGCCTCTCCCAGACTCTGGTTACTGATGTAATAATAAACCAGCAGCGCCTGACACGCATAGCTGCAGATAAATGATGAAAAACAAACTTAAAATTAGCTGCAGAATAAGACATATGAGAGGATGATGGGCTCTGACAACAATCAGACTAATGCTCCAAAACAGAAAATGTCAAATTCACCTGGTCGGGTTTCTTCTGCTCTGCACAGCAGGCTGAACGCTGCGGAGGAGAGGAGTCAGGATTTATTTGACTGTTTTTACTGGTTTGTTTAAGATGAACTGTATATCCCATATACACACACACACACAGAGGGATTACTCTCTGACATACTGAGCTCTAAATTAAAGGACCAGATCCAGCCTGTTTAAATCTCTGCGGGTTACCTGATGGAGTTGATGTGGACGGTGTGGGTCCAGTTCTGAAATGTTTGATTGAGCTGCAAAAGGAAAACAATGATGATCATTTTCTGAGTCAATAAACCAACATTATTGCTCAGGGTTCGAATACAAGGAGACAAAACCTGAATGGTCAACAGGTCATGTGGTTAAAGGTGATGGTTTTCTAAATCATCATGGGCGTTAAAAAAGAGGCCTTGTCGTCAAACTCTCTTCCTAAAACTAAGTCTCAAAGACAGGAAATTAGACTCATAATCAGGGCTGTGTCTTATATCACTCTAAATATGGTAGGCTACTTACCCACAGGGCCACTGCTCGCTCCACATCAGCCTGGCTCACCACCGAGCTCCCATCATCCACCAGGAAGGAAATCCTGTAGAACAACTCCTCTGCAGAAGAAGATGTGAGGAAAGAAAGACGGAGAAACAGAAATCATCCTTCAGTCTCAATTAGTCTCGCTGTGTTTCACACCTACAGCTTAATGGAGCTGGTTTTTGTGTCACATAGCAGGAGACGAATGGAGCCGTCAACGCCAATCGAGTTATATAAAAATCCAATTTCACAGTGCGACATGATTAGGAGGGAAAAGCTGCCAGTCAGATAACGGCAGAGAGAGAGAGAGAGAGAGAGAGAGAGAGAGAGAGCAGTTATCAGGATATTTAGTGAATGAGATCAAATTTAACTAAAGCTGGAGAGGAACACGTTTCTGTCGGCTGGAGCCGTTATGGAGATTTAGTCTCTGAGAGTGTCATTAAATCTTTCACGGGGTTTGACTCTGTGAGCCTGCAGCCTGAAACCTCCAACAGTTTACTTTTTTAAACAAATACAAGTGTGCAAAGTTAGCTCGGTTAGTCCAGACTGTGCTGGATTTCACCGTAGAGAGTAAAGGTATACATTGAAAGATGTTTTACTGGTTAAACTATATTAAATAACATCTCTTTTAGTTTGTAAGCTTGGTTACAGAATGATAAGTCCACTAAAAGTTTGATTTACAGTGAGAAAAGTTTTTATAATTCATCATTTTCTCTTTGGATTTTGTCCAATAAACGAATCAGGACAAAAAGGCGGTGCAGCTTTTCTCCAAATGGTAAATCTTTTGATTTTACTTTAGATCAAACTCCAAAAGAAACTTCCTCCTCTGTGATTACATTTTTATAAGGCTATCAATGCTCCTGCTATGCTGTACATTAGCCACTAGGTGTCGCTCATGTATTGGTAAATGTTAGTAAATGCTACTGTAGGGTCAGCAGATGTCCACGCTGCAGGTCTGGAGGGAGATCCTGCTGGCTGCTGACCTTAACATCTCTGAGATTTAGGGAGCAGTCTATCAAAGCAGTTTGTATAATATAAAGGGGGTATTATTCACGCTGAGTGTAAAGCAGCTCAGCAGGACATCCCAACCAAGAAGCTGAACCAAAAGAAAACCACAGAGAGGGAAAAAAGTATCTTAAGAGCATAAAAAGTCCTGATAAAAAGTGTTTAAATACAAAGAAAAAAGTACCCAAATGAGAATAATGATGGAGTAAATCTTAGAGAGTAAAGTGCAATGATAGAAAAGAAAAAAAAAAGAACCAAAATCAACTGATTCTAACTACGAGTATGAGTTAAAATGCTACCATTTGATTAAGCAACTACATCCATTGATCCTACATCGACCCTACATAAGGCCTAGAGTCATGGGGAACCAATCACCACCTGCCACACCTGATCACCGGCTTGACATCGTCTCATTTCTAACACTACAGTCTAAAAATGGATAAAACAGCTACTTTGATACTCCACAACCAATCCCCAACCACCACCAGAGGTAATTCAGTCATGTATTCAGTCCTAAAATCTTGTTTTCTTCTGATTAAAAGTGGCATTATCTGCTGAATCAACCATGATACGTACATCAGCTTTGATCGGATTTGACACTCAAGGCTGAACGTCTGTGGACACTTGGTTATTACAACTTTAAGTAGCAGCTGTATGGGACAGAGTTAAATCATTTCACACTGATGAAGAGCTAACAGCGGGCCTCAGACGTTTTCTGTAACGGAATAACTTTTGTTTAATTTTGCCACGACAAAGCTTTGTTATAAGTTGTAAATCACTCAAACGGCCGTCATCTGTGTCTCTTCTGTTTGAAAATGTGTCCACCGACTTTCGACCACGTTGTCTACATAACCTCAGTTAACCTCTCTCCTCTGTTGTATAAATTTTGACACTAAAACCAGATTATTGTGATTATTCTTCCACAGAACATGCCACTTTCTTCACAGATGATTCTTTTTTATGTCCTCTACTTCTACTGTTTTTGGTAACTGCATGACATACTGTTCCCCGATGATAGTCCACACAGACATGTAAAATGAAAGCGTTGTTTACATTGGCATGGAAACTCGGGCCCAGCTGCTAAATCCACAGGTGGGGATCCAGGTGTGGGGAGCACTGTGGCTTTTTTCAGGCTGCTACTACCACCACTGCTGGTTGTCATAGTGAGTGATTTGAATAGGGAGTTCTTTGTGGTGGTATAATGGTGAGAATTGATGCCCACGGGTGGTGTAGGAGAAAGGCGGTCATTACTGTAATTTTGGTGTGAATTTAAGGTCCCGTTCAGAAATACTGAGCCCTGGTTCCAACTGTGATTCGGCACACTTGGACTTGAGTTCAAAGCAGGATTTGAATCCGTCAAATTTGACTTTGCTGATGTGCCAGTGTCCACTCTGACATCTGTCATATTCCCCTGTGGTTCTTTCAAATGTCCATTTCCATCCTTTGTGATATTTGTTATGTTTTGCCTTGAAGATGAGTCAGCAGGTGTTGAAACAGTGGTTGCATTTGGCACAGCGGTATAATTTAAGTTTTCCATGAGGCTGTAACTCCCAGGAGGTGGCAACTCCTCTTGCCTGGAAATGAAGTCTTGACTCGGGGCTTGGATAGAAGAGTCACTGGGAGGTCTGGAGGCGGATGTGAAAGATGGGGTATTGAGGCCAGAAGTGTGCAGGGGGTTTGAAATAACTGGAGCACCAGTGAGATGTGCAGGAACTGCAGAGATTGGCTGAAAACTGGGTTTGGAAGTTGGAAAGGTAGTTTGCACATTGACAGGGAATGAGTCAGAGCTCAGGACAGTTTGGGCTGTTACATCCTGAAGTTTATTTGCTGCAGGAACTTGATCTGCAGCCGGGGCGGGTTCTTCTGCTGTATGTATTTTAGGAACAATGTCTGCAGGGTCGAATAAACCAGAAAAGTGCAAACGAGTCCAATCTGCTGTGAAATGATCAGAGGCCTCAGGTGACACAACTGGACCATCGACAAACCTGGAGGTACTGTCTGTTTGTGAGTTGTCTGCCAGCTCTGACATAATCTCATCTGTATCAGACTCTCTGACAGAAGCAAAAGGTTGTGAGTTGTTGGTTTTCGATTGGTTATTCGTGAGTGTGGAGGCTGGGTCAGGAGGTAGAGATGGACTGACTGTGGTAAACTGCTGGACTGCCTCTGCTGACTGGTTAACAGGGTACGTGGTAGATCTTTGGAGAGGTCCATGATCATCCTCTGGGGTTTGGGTTGCTGTGGGCTGGTGGAATCCAGCAGTTGTCCAAATGGAAGAGGACGCGCCAATTTCTACCTCCTCCATACTGGCAGACAGCGTTGGCAATGCCACCCAGCTGGGCAGCTGCAGAGAAGAAAAGGGAGGGGTATTAAGAGATGAGAGGGAAAGGGAAGAGACAGTCATAGAGGGATGGATGGGAGAGAGTTTGGGAGAGGGGGAAGGTGGTGTGAGTGTTACCGCCAGAGGAAAAAGAGGTAAACGGGAAACAATGTGGGATGTTTGCTGCTGCAGTTCTGCAAATTCATCATAGTCCTCTGCGTTTCGGGCATCCTGCCCCGGCCTCTGACTCTGTAGTTCCTTACTTGCATCCAAAAAATGATGCTGGGGGTGGTCAGGGTTTATTTGTGTCACGTCAAGAGTGTGCTTGAGGGTCGTGAGGGCAGGACTTTCACTAGGGGCGCTATGCAGTGCCAGCATCAGGGTTGCTGTCATGGCAGAGCGAGTGGAAAAGGATGATGTGGGGTAATTGGATGAATCATCATACCTTTGGAGTCCCTGTGAGCCTCTCAATATGCTCTTGGCACCAGTGGGGGTGTTTGTGACGAATTGGTTATTGCTTTGCAAATGAGAGGTTGTTTGTTGCAGCCTCCATGGATTTCTGTGAAAGGTCAGGCTGGAATTATGGCCGTCTTGTGAAACTGATAAAGATATGTGAGCCAAGAGAGAAGAGTACTCAACTAAAGGGTTACGGGAGGGTGAGGAGGGAAACATCACAGCTTCTTCTCCTGCAGTTTCTTCTCCTACTATCTGTTCAGTCGCCTTGGCAACTTGCAGGAGGCTGTCAGGATGATCGTGATGGGGACTACGAGTTGACAGGAGAGGATTTGAAGAAATGGCGGATAAAGAAGACGAGAGAAACTGTTGGTTCCTGTCTTTTAAAATCTTGAGGAAGCCTCGAGAGGCCCAAACGCCAGCTGTTGCCAGAGATGCAAAGCCAGTTTCAAAGTCATCTGGCAGACTATCAATGTTTCCTAAACCTCCCTGGTCAGAATTAACCAAGAAATGACTAACTGATGGACTGGCTGGATGAGAAGAAGGCCACAAAACCACGGGTGAACCCAATTCGAGGTCAAGCAACTCCAATTGAGACGGATCCGTCTCTTTTTGAGGTGGTAAATCTGGTGTGAATAATCCAGAGGAAGTTGGCTCAATGTTACTGAATGAGGAGTGGACAAACTGACCCACCTGATCAGTTTCAGAGCAGGGTAATGGGTTTTTTAGAGATTCAGATATATCATGAGGGGGCTGCAACAGTGCATCATCAATAATAGGCATCTGGGAAACAGCCGGGACTTCAGTAAAGAGAGGAAATGACAACCAGGATGATGTTTCAACCCTTGACACCTCAAAGTTTCCTCGAATGAGTGAAGACAGAGACGGCAAAACAAAAGGATGAAAGTCCCCGCTAACTCTATCTGATTCCTGAACGTGAGTGAATTTACCAACACTGTCTGTTTCTGAAGGCCTTCGCTCGGACTGCAGGGGCGAGGATGGTGGGAGGAGGGTTGGCTGTTTGGTATCAGCAAGGAGAGGAATGATGGTGGTCTTTAGAGGAGGAGAGGATAAACTGTGTGATGTAACCGGGGAGACAGATGATGAAGCAGATGGAGAGAAAGATGGGAGGAGAGATGCCACTGACAGAGTGGGAAGAGAGGGGAATAGGGGGATAAGAGGCTGGTGGGTTGAGGAGGAAAGAGGATGAATATCAAAGAGGTTTGTAGAAAGTGAGGAAATGTTTTCCTTCTGTGGCGAGGAAGAGGAATAGAACTGTTTGGGGAAAACCTCCTCTGCTAAGAAAGCTGGGGAGCTTAGCTGTACTATGGGCAAAGAAGGTGTTGGCTGCACAGAGAGAGTGGATGAAAGGGAGGGGATAAGCAAAGATGCTGCTGGCTGGGAGGAACATTTTTCCATCTTTGGAGAGAGAGACTGTGTGTGGGAAGTTTCCTCTCGCCTTTGTCCACTTGAGGTGGTTTTACTCTGAGTCCTGTGGTGGGTCTGATCCTCTGTCGGCGTCTTAGGGGTGGTAATTACAGACTTGTTGAGGGAAGTTAATGTTTCTTGCATCAATCTATCAATTGAGTGTGTCAGAGAGAGGTTGCTGCCATTACCTACATCATCTGCAGGGATTCCTGAATTATTATGAAAATGCATTTGGACTTTCTTTTCACCCTCACCTTCAGAGGCAGATATCAGCGAAAGAAAAGCCCCATTTGGGTCTGATCCGTTCACAGATGGTTTCTTTTGGAGCTCTGTGCTGATAAAATCTGGATGGACAGTAGAAGGTTCATCCAAAGACAGGACAGCATCAAACTCATACAGGCCAAAAGCCCCGCTCTCCTCTGTCAGTTCAAACATAAACGGCTCATACCCAGACGAGTATTCCTCACTTAGTTCTTCAGAGGAATCTGAAAAGTTAGCGATAACAGCTGTTTGGTTTTCTCCATCACTCAAGCTCTGCAGCCACGCTGGCCTGACGGGTTTGTTCTTCCTGTTGCTGAGCGCTGATGATGGTGATAACATAGATGTTGAAGAGGAGGAGGACTCTTTTGTATCTACTACCCCGTCTCTACGGTGCCAGAGAGATGACATAAGTGAAACCCCTGATTCTGGGGAAAGTTTTGAGCCCTGAGTGGTCATATGAGAGTTTTTGTTGGAGTTTAAATAGTGTAAAAAGTTTGGTTGTGTTGTAGGTTCAGCTGCTTTGTGGAGTGCATATCCCAAAGTTGGTGTTGCAGTCCTTGGATCTGGTGCAGCTGTAGTGGAGACTGGATTAGATGTGGGAATGAGTCTCGTTGTCTGTGCAGCTGGTTTAGTGATGTAGACCACTGGTCTGTGTGGTGCACCGGTTGAAGTTGGAGCTCTTAAAGTTGTTACCTTCTTCCGCCCCTTCCTGATCAGAGGGGTGGAGATGTACCCAAGAGAGGTCTTTGAGCCGCGACGACCTGCTGACCTGTAAAAGACGGCTGGATGTCTGGGGTGAGAGGGCTCAGGGCGAGCTGGGTGACCTGTGGCTGGAGCTACAAGTCTGGGGTGTGATGCTGGAGGAAGTCTTGGGGATTTAACTGGAGGACTTGAGTGACTTGACGTAAGGGACCTACGAGGTCTCAGTCTTCTGAAATAAGGCCTGGACTTGGAAACACGGGGCTCCTGTCTCTGAGAAGTAACCGCAGCGCTGGAAGAAGCTTTGGGTGAAGATTTCTCTGCAGACTCCTTCACTGTCATTGAACCAGATGTTATTTTGGTAAAGAAAAGCAGGTTATAGATATTACTAATGTAATAACAAGACATTAAGCAACATCAAATATGAGTTAGCGAACAGGTGAGGCGAATTCATGATCAGTTCTTAAGAGAGAAGACACATCTAAAGGAAATTAAACTACACAAATAAGCAACTTGAGCATGAAAACAGAGATCAAATATTACAGAATAAAATAAGAAGGAAAACACACCGGACGAGCTTTTGTGTTGAAGTGTTTATCCTTTTGATTATACATTTAGTACCACCACAGAGCTTCTTGTATCTATCTAAAGACCTAAATGCATTTTTAAGAAATCAGAGAGTCAACACCTCAAGAGACTAAAGGAAAAGTCAGTATGATTTGGAAAATGAGTTTTACAAGAACACTGCTTCAAACAACAGCTAGATAATCAAAACCTCTACATGAGAAAAGCCAAACCGAAACTTCATTAATGCCAAAAAAGAAGAAACACGCTCAAAATTTCACAAAGCTTGAAAGACCAAAGAGGAGGTAATGACCAACAGGGACGACAGAAGAAGAGAGCACCGACCTCCGTTACAAAACTACCGATTTAAATGGGTGTCTTACCGATAGAGGAAGCAGCAGATACGGCTATGTTAGTGGTTGGTTGATTAGTAGTTACTAACAGCAGTGGACGCAGAGTATTTCCTGGAACTGTTAGAGGCAGTAAAAGACAGAATAAGACAGACGAGGAGAAAGATGAGGTGATAAAAATCTCGACAGGAGTGTATGAATAAAAACCCTCTGGGCAACAGAATCGCAAATTCAGTAACAGGAGAGTATTTTTGAAGAGTCGATGTTTGTGTAACATGTCACCATTGAGTGTTTTAGTCACAGGGAGAACCAGGATGCTACAGTTCCTCTCCACTTCACATAGAAGTTTCTCCCTTTATGCCTTTGCCGCATTAAAACATGTCCTCTGTAAGCTAACTCTGAAGACTAAGAAAAGTGCAAAAACAAAGAGGCTTTTTGACTGCAAATAGATGAAAATCTTCTCAGTAGGGTGCACACTTCCACAGAGATAAGCGCTTAAGTCTGAGTCTTTTAAAACTATCTACATTACACGGTAGAATTGGCCCCATCTGCGTTAAACTGTAGCCTAGCCTGCATCCTGGTTCTCCTGTAAAGGGGTCGAGCTGATCAGCATCCTCTTTGGCTAAAACACTTAGGGCCTGATCTACTAGGATCCCAAACAAGGGGCGCTAAATTGCTTTTGCAAACTAAAAAATCGCATGTGCTATTAGTGGGCATGTTGCGGGTGATCTACTATCATTGCATGTGCAATTGATAACAGGTGCGAAAGTGGACTGCCCTCTTTAAACAAGGATTTTGCAGTTGGCTGTCACCATGGAGCGTTTGTGAAAGCAGAGTAGTCGTATCCGAAAAATGACGTTTGAAGCCATGGGATACACATATCATTTTGAGGAACTGCACAAAAGGCAAGGCAGGCAAGGCAAGTTTATTTGCATAGCACCATTCATGCACAAGGCAATTCAAATTTGTCAATCATTGCTCTTTTGCCTCCCCTTCACAATGACCGTAGCCATTTGTTCATATCGCTCTGCCAGTTTGCACGTGCCTTTCATATGTGCTAAATATATACGCAAAACAGTGATTGCAATCGGTAACCGGGTTTGATAAATCACATTGCGGGTTCCTAATGATTACATTTGCATATCCTCCTCCAAGTACTTTGCGCATTCTGACAATCTACATACACTCTGCATATTCATGAAGGCAAACACGTTCAATCGATTGCACGTGCTGTTTTGCGCAATTGACAGACACAATCCTTGCATGCGCTATCAAGTTTGCACGTGTTTTTGTATACTCAAACCTTTACTAGATCAGGCCCTTTAGTTGTGACATGTAACTGATACAACCTTTCTTCAAAAGTACTAAAATATCTGATTAAAACTTCCCAATGGAGAGATTTTTACTATTTCATTTTGTACCAAACAGAATTGGCAGACTTGAAGCAGAAATGTTTTACAGTCTAATCTGAGGCTTTGCTGCCGTCTGAGGCTCTTACCATGAGTTGCAGGGTTAGTAGCTGGGAGGTTAGTGGTAGCAGATGAAACAGTTGGTGTGCTGCTGGTTGTCTGTTGGGCTACAGGGGAATTAAACAGTCACAGAGTATCAGTCAGCTTATCAGGCACAGTATGCACCAACATACATGAAACCTCCAGTATTTTGACTAATCGGTCAAAATCCAAACCTTGACCTACAAGGTTAAGCTACAATATTTGAAATGGTTAGCTACCTTACCATGTGGTGAACTGCTTGCTGAAGCGTTGTTAGTGACAGAAGATGCAGGAGTAGCAGCGCTGGTGGTGATGGTGATGGTAGTGGCAGGCATAGCTGATCAGCACAGTAAGTCAGCATGTCATCAACATAAAGCATAAAACCACACCGCATTACAAGGACAAGCTTATAGCATGTTTGGTTACAGATCCAAATGTCTCAAAAGTCTTTCTTGAAATGTTGATCAAGGAAAGTTTTTTTGACATTTGGCTCATAAGCTGGGTTTGCCAAAAGCATCCTGGATTTAAAGTGTCGGTTTTGTTTTGAGCCCCTTTATCTAGTTCTGTTACTTTGACTTTGTCAGGAACTTTGAGGCTGAACCTGTTCAACTGTTCTCCAACTAACATTGGCAGTAAACAGAAACACAGTCCATGTGGGGTAAGGTCACGGTGGAAGTAGGCTAAGCTAGACAACCCAGACTTCTCTATTCCTTGTCAGCTCCTTCTGGGGTATTTCCAAGTGTTTCCCAGACAGGCAGAATATTTAACCCCACCAGCATGCTCTGGGTCTACCCTGTGGTCTCTAGGTTTCCTTACAGTACCATGAAACCCTTCTTCTTTAGGGTTATAAACCTTCTTTTGAAGTTGTGACATATGAAAAACGTGTCCTTGACTGTTATTTACTCTAAACCACCACCCAGAACACAAAACTGACTTCCCTCCTCAGCTAATACTCAAATATATGTAGGCTTCCACATCTATGACCAATTGTTGCCAAAAAGGAGTCACAATCATGGTAATGGTTCATGTGAAGTCCAGAGATGCTCATGGCAAACAACAAAGCAGCAAAGCAGATGAAGCCTTACCAGAAGAGGAGCTGGCTGTGCTGCTGGGGGATGTAGGAGCGCTCGTGGAAGTTGGGATTAGTGACATGCTAGTGGTAGGGATGATGGATGGAGATGGAGTGATGGGAGGAAGAACTGGAGATGACAAATCAAAGCATACAGCAAAACCAAAAGGAGCACACATGGAAAACAAAAGGGTTTTAATACCGCCAGCTGAGTTCCAGGTTCCGAAACCCCCTTTTTTTGGAGGCCAAGGTTTATCACGTTTTTAAAACTTTCCTCATACAATTATGTGTCTGGTATTATCTTTGTCAATTGAGTTAAATATCCCAAATCCCTCTCTGAAAAGTGCGGTTCAATGTTTGAACAGAAAGTTTAGAGAACAAGAGCTGATTTTCATAAAATCCTGGGAACATTAATCGCAGTTAAAACTCCTCAAATGGACAAGAGTGACAGAAAGGTTAATTAACTAATGAAAAGATTTGAGGAACTCATTTTTAAAGAAGTCATAGATAATATTTATCTAGTCTCAGTCCTCTAGAGTGAAACACGCTCATCTCAATCACCAGAGTAATATTAGCTGAGTCTACTCCTGAGTACGAATAATGAAGAGAAGAAGTGAATCATAATGGTTTTTACTCTTCAGAGGTATGAAAAGTAAAATAACTCCAAGCAACTTTAAGGTCAGACATTTCACAGCTCCACAGGATTATCATTTTTATGGGAGATCCTTTTCCTGGGAAACCATCTGAGATAATTGGTTTCTGAAATAAACTGTAAATGGCTTCCTTAAGATGAAATCTGCCTTACTTCCAGGTGAAAAAGAAGGAAAAAGGTGTCAGAAGGAGGCAGAAGAAGGAGTAAGAGCGAGGAGAAGGGTTGCTTACCGTGGGTGGTGGCATTAGTAGCATGGGTGGTGTTAGTGGAGTCAGTGGATGAAGTGGCGGGAGAGGAAGCTGGCGGTAATGACAAAGGGTTCGGGATGAAGGGGAGAGAGAGAAAAGATGCAGAGGGTGATGAATAGTTGGGAACTAATGAGACGAAACCATTTAATGTCACTCAAATAAAACTTGACCTTAGGTGAGTGAATATTAACCAAAATATGCCACCGAGCAGGACAAGAAAAAGAAGTGCAAAGACAGCCACTGCAGGACAACAGTTTCAATCCATAACCGAAGTATCAGCTATCAAAGGTGGCAAATTTTCAGACCTCAAACCCCAGACTGTCCTCAGTCATAGTTCATAACAACAGCAGTGGAAATGAGGCATCATAACTCATATCTAACCTACATAATGTCTCGTTTTCATGCAGTAGAGTTTGGTGATGCTGACAGCTCTTCTCCACGCTCAGACGCAAAACAAGAGCAAACAGCACTTAGCTGCAGCGACCCTAACTGTGACCATAATTTTACTCAGAAAAACACCAATAGTGATGTTAAAGAAGTTAAACCATGTTGATGTTTGGAAAGTACAAATCTGGTCACTTCACCGCTTTGCAAAATTTATAACATCCAAATACAAAGAAAGTACAGCTTATTTATGCTTTCAAATGTAACTTTCAAGGCTTTTAGTTATGGTGTGCCAAAAAAGGCCAGCCAAGGTCACAACTGATCAGGTCACCGATTAAACACACTGTTCCCGTGGATGCCAAAAGCAAATTAAAAAAACATATGTGCTTCGTTGACATTGAGACATAGACCATTTTTTGATCTTCAGTGTGTAAAGACACCCTTGCTTAAATCCCATCAGAACCTTCTCTCCTGGCATTTTTGGTCGATCTCATCCACTGAACCTGAGCCATGAACCTGATTTGTTCCACCTTGTTGATGCTATGGTTGAAGCACACATACATACGTACATACTACACTCCCAAAGTCCCAGGGCCTTAGCACTACTCCCTGAGTGGGGGCTTTTCAAGGGGTAAATCTTTTACCCCAGAACTAAAGTTAGATCCCCGTTCCTGCCTTCAATGGTTTCTTGGTTCCTGCTGAAAGTTTCTACAGTTCAAAAGAACCAAAACACTCACCAGGAATCCAAGTGTCCTGTTGGACTGAGGCTGCAGAGCTGGCCATGCATTTAAAAAGAGCAGCACACTGATTTCCTATCAAGTCCACTGATGCAGTTTCTTGGATGACCTTACACTCTGGACATAATGCAGTTTAACGACCCTTTGAGTGCTCTCTCATGACCTTTTGACCTTCCTGGGCTGCTGTAGTCATCTATATTCTGGAGCGTAAGCTGGAGCTTAATTGGCTGGACTCTCCACTACTTACAGTACAATCTTAGAAAAACTGACCTTTAGAAAAATGTCCCTCTGTGGCCTCTGTAGCACAGGGTAGTGTGAGAACTGACATTCAGGGAGTGGGTTATGTCACGTCGTCAGCTGGCCCCCAGCTACTGTCCTGACCAAATGCAATAAGTTATTTCCAGATCACATGACCTCCTGGATAAACGCTGATTAGCTGGAGTGAAATATTCTTCAGGATTTGATAGTGTGTGCAGAGTTTTGCAGTTTTGATGGATTTTGCTGAGCAGCTTTATGACTCTCAGGAGGCTTTCCTATAAAATCACACTGGTGTTCTTCCACGTCTGTTCCTTTCAGAATTCAGAGGGTCATTCGAGGCAAATATCATCAACAGGTCGTACAATAGGTGATTGTTTTCCACTTAGTTTGGAGAGAGCAGGCGGGAGAGGGTACGTGCTTTATAAACCAAAACCTTTGCGCTTTTCTTTTAATCACAAACTCTTTGTAGAGAGGTCAAGTGAGAACATGAAGTTTAAACATCTGTTTTCTTTTCTATAATTTCCTCTTTTCTGCAAACTTGAATGTGATTTTTCTCTTTGCTTGACTTCTCTTCTATTTTCCTCTCAAGCAAACTACATGTCCTTATAAAGCCCACAATCATAAATCTGAAGGCCTCAATACAAACTCTTAGACCCTCTGTTCGAATAAGAAAGCCGTGACACAAAAGAACTCCAAAAACATCATAACTTCATTTACAAAAAAACAAAACAAAACATGTTTTAAAGAAAAGTTTCAATCAGGTCTTAAAAAATCAGAGTGAAGACTTTGGAAATGTTGGTGCTCTCCTCTGCAGCGTTTTAATGGCACCACTTGGAGAACAGCCCTGCATTCATGTGGTGTGGGAATAATTGGAAAAATGAGTTTCCATCTCCTAATGTTCACATAACAGCAGTGGATGGAAATGAACATTTAAATAAAGTGTCCTCTTAACATCCTTTTTGAATGTCCTCTGTCAGTTTGGCATCAAAGTGACATGAACACAATCCTCGAACCCTCAATCTTCTACAGTGTATACAAATTTAAACCACAGAAGATTTCAACTGACAGGATGTCCAAGGGATGGTAGAAATGTAAGACTACATAATCATTCCATTTGTTACATGTCCAAGATGTATTTCAAAGTCTGCAGGAATGATGGTGAAACCTGAATGTAAGAATGTAATGTAAGAAAAGAAACTGCTTGGAAAGAGTTTCGCCGATCCATAACTCCTAATTGGTATTGATCCTCAGATCAAAAGATGGCTCGACCTTACGGTCAAAGATTTTTTCTGAACAGTCAAAGTTTAATGGTTTGGCTTGAACATCAAATAAGCTTGATTTTGATCAAAGGAGCTGGGGCATTTGCCTGGTCACTACATCATTTCTGCTTCACCAGAACAGAGAGTGAATATTCAGTAAATTAGAAAGTTCTCATTAAAAATGGATAAGGGTGATTTTCCCTGTCAAAGCAGAGAGGAATAGGAAATTACAAAAGATTTAGTTTAGTCAAACACGACTGAATGGGAAGGTTTGGGCTGAGAAAAAAGAAAATAAAGTCAATATAAAAGTGTAAGAAACTGCAGTTCCTTTAGTGACCAAATGAGGCTATCTCCAAAAGTGAGTCGATTCCCATAGAGCCCCATTCAAAAAATCATAAACTGTGTAAAACATGGTGTTAGGCTTAGCAACCTCACATATTAGCTGCTAAAAGGGAATTTTAGAGATCTACACTCTATTTTCGAAGTAAAAAAATATTTAACATTCATTTTACCAGGAATATTCATACTGAGATACAAAATCTATAATTAGATTCATGTCTGAGTGTTTCTCAAGTTTGGGAGCCAAGGTAACTGCTTTGTTAAGTTTCAAACATGACTGAAACTAAGAAACAGCAAATTTATCTCAGTGAGAAGCTGTGGAGGTCAGTGTTAACCATGCAGGTGTGTTAAATCTTCCTACCTGGGCAGCCCAGTCCAGGGGAGTCACAACTGGTGGTGAGAGGTGTGTCGCTGGGTGGGGAGACACCTTCAGGGAGGGGAGGAGAGATTACAATCAAAATATTAATAGATTAAAAAGTGGTTATAATTAGAGACATGTAAGTGCGAAAACTTATTATTAGAGGAAAATGTTTAAGATACTTTGATACAACTGTGGGAAACTGTAGGGTGCACTCTTACAAGACTAAAGTCAGTTGTTGGTTAGTTTTATATTGTGTTTATAGATGGGAAATACTTTGTTCTAATCAGATTGGATCCATCCTTCCATTATCTCTATAACAAGATCCACCCTTCCTGCTGTCAAACACTGAAAACCTGAATGTTCTCTGGATGAACATGCTGCGCTCAGGAAACTTTCTCACACTTTGTATTTCATAAAAGCATGCAGATTTCCAATCAATAACACTCTGTGGGTTGCGGTGGGACTCAGATTGGCTTCTTGCTGCTTGCTCAAATTCCTGATGTTTTATTTCAGGGACAGTCTGTCTGACCAACCGAGCGCCTACAGCAGCCAAATTCAAGCACTCCTCGAGTACTTTGGCCATTTGAAATGTAATCCTGCGCCCGGCTCCGGCCCACACATGCTGAATATTCACAGGCCTTTAAAGAGAGTGGGAGAACAGGCAGGGCAGTGAAAGCAGAGACTTTGTTCACACACACACACACACACACACTGTAACAAGGAATGTGTTTGAGAGAATGTCAGCAAATCATCACAGTGATCAGCCGAGTGAACAACCAGGAATTCAGTAACCGGGGACGGCATGAGGATCAAATGAGGTGAGAAAGGCTGAGGATTTCGCCCCGTCATAATCCACCTCTTTTTTTCTCCTCCTCTCTCTCTCTCTTCTAAAGTATTCACCAGCTCCTCTCTCCTCAGCTCCAAATATCCCTCTCTCCTCACTGAATTGTCTTTTTCTGACCTTCTGACAACCTCACCTCTTCTATCTTTATGTTTTGCATGAATTGGAGCAAGCAGTGTAGTAAAACAGGTGATATGATAGTATTAAAGGGAAATCCTCAAATTTGTAATATTTACCCTACTGAGCATCTTTTTCAGGGTGTACAGATGCACACTTAACCATTTTCCTGCAGACCAGACTCTCAGGGTCTGAAGTAGAAACTCATGCTTAAGAACTGTTAGGGCCTGTGTCCACTTACAATGTTTTTGTGCTCCTTTTTGTTTGCAGTTTATTGCGCTGTGTCCTAGGATGAGGCACACTGAGACTAAAGTATAGACACAGCCAGCACAAAAAGTCAATAGTAAACACAGGCCCTGAGTCTATACACTAAAATGGTGTAAGACTGAAAATTACAATTGCTGTTCATGGACACAGGCCCTAAGCTGGTACTATAGTATGATGTTGAAAAATGCAGTCAGTGAACACAAGTCCTAAACTGGTACTATAGTATCATATTAAAAATGCTGTTAGTGGACACAGGCCCTATGATGGTACTATAGTATGATGTTGAACAATGCTGTGAGTTTACACAGGCCCTATTCCAGTTCTATAGTATGATGTTGAAAAATTATGTCAGTGTACACAGGCCTTAAGCTGGTACTATAGTATGATGTTGAACAATGCTGTTACTGAACACAGGCCCGAAGCTGGTACTATAGTATGATGTTGAAAATGCTGTCAGTCTACACAGGCCCTAAACTGGTGCTATAGTGTGATGTTGAAAATGCTGTCAGTGTACACAGGCCCTAAGCTGGTACTATAGTGTGATGTTGAAAAATGCTGGCAGTGTACACAGGCCCTAAGCTGGTTGAAAAATGCTGTCAGTGTACACAGGCCCTAAGCTGGTACTATAGTATGATGTTGAACAATGCTGTTACTGAACACAGGCTCTAGGGCAGCCTTTAACCTTAAATTCAAACATCATAAAACAGATTAATATGTCAACAGGAAAACAGGTAGTAAACATAACCGTGATTTAATGAGAAGAAGGGCAGAATAAAAACATCATATTGGACGTGTGAAGATTCAGAGCTGTGCCTGTTGTTGAAAAGGTTCCAGGTCAATTTTTTTTATCATTTATAGAGTGTATGACTCTGACTGTAGATGGTGATGTGTGGCCCCATGTGAAAACTTCTCTTTCGTGCCAACTCATCTGAGACTTTGTCATAAATTTTGATGTGGTCATATCATTACCCTCCCCCTGCTCCTCTCCTCTATTTCCCCTCCCTCCTCTTATTTCTCCTGTCCTCTTGTTCCCTCCAATCAGTTCCTCTGTCCTCTCCTATCTCCCTCTCTGCAGCCTGTTGTGTTTCTTTAAAATGAATGCATCTTTGTGCTGCTCTGCTGAACAGGAGGACATGCTGGCCAGGAGGCAGATAAAGAAAACCATCACTAATAATGAGCTTTAATTAATCTAAACATTCAGCAGCAGGTGGCAGAGTAACATTCACTCTTAACACTGCCAGAATATTAGTGTTATCTGCAGGGAAAAGACATGCATTTACATCTTTTTACCATCTAATTATTGGAAAAATGGGAAATCACCTCTACACATTAAGATTTCTGGACAATAGGAGCAACAGACGGAATTATGAGGAGCAAATTTCAGTAAAAAGACGAAATTATTATTTTTCTTATGTTTCGCCATCAGAGTGTCACCGCTCTGACGGCAGCTGATAATCTCTAATTTGTGTAACAGCAGGCGAAGGATTATTCACTGTCAATGCTGGAACAACTACCTATTATACACAGAGAGGAGCTGTTATAGTTGGCTCAGATCTGCTTTTGTGAATGTGGTTCACAGCAGTAACACTGCAGCCTTTTTATTAACTAATGGACACTTGTCTGTTTGGCATTTTTACCAGAACACACTTTATTAAGCTTTTCCGTGTACTGTTCCTGATGGTTTGGACGTTTGATGGGAACATATTTTCATCTAAAGTTGCACTGAAAGAGTAGGATTTAGATTTTATATCACGGTTTGGAAATTATGAAAAAAAAGTTGCTCTGAAACTTAAAGCTGAGCATACGCTCTTACTCTATCATTATTAAGTAAAACCTTAAGTCTTGGGGGTTATGTGAATCTACATAAAGCAGACGTCACCTCATGAATAATCCTGTTAAATAATCTGTTCAGTGACCTTAAACCCTGAATGGACTAAGATTTTAACAACTGCTAAAGACCGGGTTTGGACACAGACTGACAGGCACCATCACTAACTGTTTGAGTGTGTAAGTGTCCATGTTCCCCCTCTACATGAAAGAAAACCGAACATGCAAACATGTAAAGACAGAGAGTACACGGAGAAAACACAGTTAACCCTAATGAAGCCTGGACACACATGCATATATTTCAAATGCACACACGCTGCTCTGCAGGCGCCAGGCGACAGCGCTCGCTCTCTCCCTCTCTCTCTCTCCCTCTCTCTCCATCAGCTGCAGCCTCATTACCGACCAGAGAGGAACATTAAACCGACCTCAGATGGTTCGCAGCGGTTTGGTCGGCTCGTAAAGACAAAACAAGATTTTCAAGGTAAACAAATGGAGCTCAGCCCTCTGTGGGGAGAGGAAAAGAAGTGTGAAATGTTCCTGAGGAAAAGTGGAGGACTTGGAGTCTTGGATAAAGGCGAGGGGGGAAACATCCAGCTTCAAGCCTTGATGGTCTTTTATTGATGGAAAACCCATTAACACAAAAATCATTAAGAACTGGAGGTGTAGTTCATTCTTTAGTGAGACTGGTTTTGACCTTTTACGCTGGATGAACAACGAGCCTGTCAATATATAAACTGCATTTTTCTGCAACATAGTGTTATATACTTGAATATCTGCAGTGTTGTCATCTTTGAACATTTGCAACCTCAGCTTAAAGGTTACACAAGTCAATAAAACAGCTTCATTAATGAGCAACCAAACTTTCATAGATGGAAAACTCTTAAATGTGAATCTGCTTTTTCAATATTTATATTTTACATTTATATTTTTGCTCATTTTGCCATTTTTTTCAGTATCTTCCAGTGGTTTCTTTTCTAAACATCTGAAAAGATTCTGCAAAATTTGGTAATTAGGTCTAACTTTCAAAGACCTCCCAAACATTTTCTTCCACTTTTAGTGGACTGGATCACAGAGGCAGCAGTCAAAGCACATCCACCAAGACATCTCTCTCCAGCAATGTTTCCAGCTCATTCAGGTGTACCCAAAAGCCTTCCCTAGCCAGATGAGATATAGAACCCCTCCGGCAAGCTCTGGGTCTACCCTGACACCTTGTCCCTGTTAGACATGCCTCACCACCCCTTTGGTGAAAACTTATTTCTTTCAGTTAAAACTGAAGACCTCATGACCACAGGTGAGTGTCAGAACCATAGATTGTATATAGAATGGACGCCGTCTGCCTCGTCGCTAGGTAAAGCCACTCTGAGAACAGCACCCTCTGGTGACGGGCTGCAGTATAGGTCATGAATCCTGCCTCCTCCAGCAAAGCTTATGGGGCTGTGGACAAACTTTAGAAATTTATTACATAGAGTATAAATTTTTCTCCCCCCTGCTTGTGATGTTGACATGTAGTTACTGTAAGACTAGTTTGTGCTCAAGTCCTCTTTTTTTCTGTACAGCTCCGTTTTTAAAGGTTATTAGGGGGTTCATGTTTTCTAGGGTTGACACGTGATACAGCCGACGGATGTACAAAGATTGCATAGCTCACCTGGGGGATACGCTGTTTGAGCCGAGCGTCATCACAGCGACTCTCCTGCCAAATGCGTACAACACTACTGCGCAATGTTGGTTTTTAGGAAATTTAGAAAAATCTCAGAATTACTGAGAGCTTTTCGGCTTCAAATCCATATACTGGCGGAAGGGGGAACCTAGTTGTCCATAGTGCATACAGTCTATGGTCGGAACATAACCAGGCTTATAAATAGAAAGCTTTGCCTACTGGCTCAGCCTCCTCCTCACCACGACAGGTTCCATTTTGATTTTTTATTCACTTTTTCTATAAACAACATTGTACCCTTGCTGCCAAATTCTCATGCACACCTGAATGCAGATGACACGCTAGTCTATGGCTTTCACCTTGACATTCTTATCAAAAGAAAATAAGCATTAAACAGAGTGTGGGATCAATAAAATAATCTATAATCAATAAAAACAGTGCCTGCCACAAGCTATGTGGGGTAATATCTATCAAAAGCACCTAATCACTGAGTACGTGGAAGTAGGGGGGTAAAATACTCTAACTGCAAACAGAAGACCCTGCATTTACAAATATTGTTATCCATTAAAGAAAGGACCCTTAAGTCCTTTAATTTTCCTTTTTTAATGTTGTGAGGAAACCTCAAAGCTCAGTGGGCCAGCTGCAGCTCGAAAACCTTGACTACAGGAGGATGGAAAAAGTCAAAGTTTGTTGAGTCTGAAGCTGTTAAGTTTCCTGCTGTCTTTAGATGTGAGCTCAGATATCTGAGTTAATCCTTCCTGTAAACCTTCATGTTTAGAGACCATCCAAAGACTTAAACACATTCTTTGTAATGATCCTCCAAATGAAGCCCTTCTTTGGTGCTCTGGACATCTCGGTGTCGTGTGGTCAAATTAATGAGCTCCACTCACCTTAATCTCTGCACTGCATACAGCTGTAAATGATGATTCAATATGTCAGCTTTTGTTTTTCTAATTAATCCTCGGTGTCTGTTTGCTGCTGTTGTAATTACCCTGTTTCCCCTTTAGGGATCAATTAAGTTCAGCTCATCTTTATGTATTATGAGATTATCATGAGATGAGACGGTGCAGCTGAGCGAGCCTGGAGATCCAAAACCGGTCAAGAGTGGAGGCTGCAGTCATCTCATTAAACTTCCATTTTTTTTCTGTTATTTTTAGCCCTTTATCTTAGAAATGTGGGTCTTAATAGCCAATAATTACAAAATTACTGAAAAAACAGGATTGTCTCATATTGAAGGATCAACTCTGTCATTTAAAACATTTTTAGTGTGTTTACAGTGACAGCTATGAAAATTACATGGTACAAAATATTGTAAAATCCACACGCTTCATGAGGCAGACAGCTTTACGGGATAAATGCTGCGTTTAAGCTACCTCGGAAGTCAGATGTCCGAGCTGGGAATGAGGTCACACTCGTTTTTTCCAGTGTTTCAGTTACCAAGTCGGAAAAAAGCAAAATCGGAGACGGAAACAAGATGGCTACATCTATGAAAGTTATTTTAGCGCTTGCCTTGTCTTTGCTTATATTCAGACAAGGCAAGAGCTAAAATTACTATTGTAGATGCATCCATCTTGTTTCCGCCTCTGATTTTGCTTTTTTCTGATAAGGTGACTTAAACGCTGGTAACTCAGGTGTGACATCATTCCCAGCTCGGACATCTGACTTCCGAGGTAACTTGAACGCAGCAAAACTCTGTGTTTCTACAACATCCACGGTCTTATTTATGCCACAGAGAAAATCTGTGTTTTTTGAATATCTGCCTCCATCCGCTGCAGTATAGATCTCATACTGTGTTTGATGGTAGCATGTAGTCGGCAGCTTTGAATGTCTCTTTAGGGAAATTAGAACCCAACATATGGACCGGGCCCCTTTGGTGGGCATCAAAGACCTGAGGGGGGAAGTAAAGTTTTGTCTGATTTGAGGTTTTCAAAAGTAAATTTGTACAGAATCGTCCTGTCTCCACACACCAAGTGTGAGAAAAATCATTTGCGCGAATGAATTACATGTTAAGTTAATGCAAAGATGCGGTTAGATGCGGTTAGTGGCTCCTACAAATCTGGTGGCGCGAATGACGTGAATTGGGCAGGAGCTGAAAATGTCTCAACTTGAGCAGATATTTGCGTAGCAATAACTAATCAGCATGAAGGTTGCCGGATGACGTATAGAAACAGATGGCTGTTCACTGATATCTAAAATGGAGGACGAACTGATCGTGTCGGTGTGTGGGTGCCCCGAATTATATGATACCTTTTCTTTCCATTACCGAAACCGAAATAAAAAGGAGCTCGACTTGAGGCAAGCGAGTGAGGAGGTCGGACTACCTGGTAAGCTGTGAAAGACCTTTGTCTATCACTTGATCCTGCCGGTTGAATTGGCAGGGATTACCGTTGAAACTAAATACTATTCATTCACGTGTCTACATTCGCGCGAATTAAGCGAGTAGATGATTTTACTCGCGCTTGGTGTGAGTGCCTCATAAGGTACTTGCTGAGGAGTTTGGATTGTTCAGCATGCAGAAAAAAAACTATAAATGTTTTTTTTCCCTTCAATTCTTTGGGTAAGAAATTCAAAACTGGTGTATTTTCTCTGTTGGGGCCTCAGGCTAGACTCTGTTTTTCTCCGATACAAGCAGGGGGGAGTGAGGCGTAGGAGACTACCAGCTTTAGGAAAAGCTCTCTGAAGGGGCTGATGAAGCAGCAGTGAGGCTGGGTATCAATGACACAGTCAGCTGCAGAGAAGGGTCTGTATTCTGTCACTACGGTGTAAAAGCAGGACTTCCATCATGGTTATCATGGCAACAGAGCAGGATCTAAAGCAGTCTGTTGAGCATGATGATAGCTAACCCCAGAGCTTGCTACAGATCCTTTCAACTCAGTTTTGTCCTCATGTTTTGCAGACGATGAGGTGAGTTCTCTGCAAACCTACTTATTCAATCCATTTGTTGTTTTTGCTTCATTTAAGCTTTTGCAGCTTGACTTTCCATTATTGCATTTGTTCCAGATTTTTGCACGTGTGTCTGAATTTGCAGCACATTTCTTTCCTGATGTAAATCCTTTTGACTGCTGCAGGTCTCTCTCCTCTGTCTTGCAGCGTTCAGCATTTTACCAGAAACCTTGGGACACATTTCTGCTCAACGAGTTCAATCTTTAAACTCATCCCAATCCGACACTCCAAATGATATATTTTTGCTGCTACAAATGCATAAAAAGATCTCCTTTTCTGGAACAGATATTTGCACATTCTCCTTCATGCATCAGAGCTCTGTTAGGACAAGCAAATGTAGACGTACTTCAAGTTTTAAACATTCAAACATACAAGCATGGACAAACATTAGCAGGGTGTTAGCAGCACTCACCACTAGTTGGCGCAGCAGTAGTTAAATGAATGCAATGAGGGTAGCAGACTGTGAAGAGAAGCACAGGTTAGCAGACATCCATCAGGGCGGTCCGTCACTTCAGGAAGAGAACACTCAGAGGTATCACATCATTAAAGGATCAATTAGTGGATGGAGGGTTCAGTTAATAACGGCTGCAAAATGAGAGGCTGGTTAATTCGACAAGATGGTAAAAACAGCAACAACCTCAGACAAGAAAAACTCATTAACGGTTCAATAAAAACAGGAGGGACACGAGCCATCAGTCATCTCAGCAGTCAGGACATAATGGGTTTGACATGGAGGGTCAGTCACTGAAGCAATCGAGTGCAAAGAAGAGGGTGTTTGAAGGTCCAGGAATTAGACAGAACCAAAACAAAAAACATTAACATTCAGACTGACACTGACTCTCTGTTCGGTTTTGGGCTTCTTCAGGACCTAGGATCACATATATTGTGAGCCCACCAAATTTCATGCATGTGGATAAAACTTTTAGCAGGAGCTGAATTTTCTCATTTTAAAGTGGTGCTGTGTATGCCATGTACATGCACAAGAGCACCATCATAGGGAAATATTCATGTTTCTGAAATTTCTGCAGAATTTAGCAAGTCTGGGTCAAATTAAAACCCCCTAAAGTTCAGAGACTGAAAAGGGCAAAAAAAGTGTGTGTGTGTGTGTGTGTGTTTGTGTGTGTGTGTGTGCGTGCGTGTGTGTGCGTGCGTGTGTGTGTGTGTGTGTGTGCATGCACTGACATTTGCAAATCTTTGCAAATTCATGCATGTGCCTACAAAGAAGTCAGGAAACTTTGTGCAGAATCCTGCATACCTTGAAACCCACAATAGGTCTCTAAGGCATACGAGCATGCGCACACACACACATGTGCACAAAGACGCACACACATACATACAAGCAGGCACACACAAACACACTAACACACACACACACACATACACAGTGCGTACATCATTGGCAGAACTTTCCCCCAAACCGCTGTGGCTAACCTCCTGTGGGTACACAGTCATTTGCAGCTTTTAAAATACGAGGTATTTCACTACTCTGCACACACACACACACACACACACAAACACACACACACACACACATACAGTGTACTGTTGCACTGTCTTTCATGGTTAACACTAAAATATGGTGAGAAAATAGTCGATTATGTAAACGTGGTTTCAGGTTCTTAAGTGTGTAACAAGAGCCCTCTGCCTTTTGTGTGCGTTTACTTGTGTGTGCTCTGTGTGTGTGTTTGTGTGTATGATGCATTTGCGATGCTTGTGTATTAGTTAATTTAAAATAAACACCATGAGAAATAATGCAATATCCAAACTGTGTAATTAAGCATGATTCGGTCTGATTTCCTCGCCAGGTTTCAGAAGAATTTGCATGAAATGTGTGTATTTTTGTTTTTGTAAGTGTGTGTGTGTGTGTGTGTGTGTGTGTGTGTGTGTTTTAAGAAATAATAGGTTTATTGAACAGAGCAGGGAGACAACTGGTCTGTAGCCAAGATGGTTGCTGAAGTCTATTAACTCTGCAGCCACAGAAATGAGCTGAAGTCTGGGTCTAATTTTCCACCCTGATAGCGAACACACTGAAACATTTAGCACCCGACACACTGTGTGTGTGTGTGTGTGTGTGTGTGTGTGTGTGTGTGTGTGTGTGTGTGTGTGTGTGTGTGTGTAGTACAGTATTTTCCATCTGCAACAATTATCTAAAAACCTGTCCACTACATTTGGTACTTTGTTGGCTTTAACCTCACGAGCCGGATCTGTCTGCAGCTGAAAATCGATAATAACACATTAAGCATCACTAAAGGTAGTAGCAGCATTCTTGTGTGGATTTAAAGCCCATCATAATAAAGTGGAGCTGGTTTCTTTCTAGACTCCGGTCTGATCTGGGCTCAGTCTGTACTCACTGCAGCTGAGCGTGGTGTCGGTCTGGGCCAGAGAGGACGGGATGGTCCAGTGGCTGTTGTCCCAGTCGATGACGTTTCCCGCCATGTCGCAGGTTAGCGCCTTGAGCTGCTGCACAGTCATAGTGTAATCCCACAGTCGGAGGTTATAAATGTTCCCTTTGAAGTTGTGCTGACCTGAACATGAGGGCGAAGCGAACAGGAACGACATGAACAGAAGCGTTAAGGCTGGGACAAAACATAGATACAGCAACAGGACGTACTGTTGTCTTACCTCCTAAGCGAAAAGTTCCCCCAGCTGGTACCAAGTGTCCGCTGGAGCTGGAGCAGGTCTTGGCCCAGTAGTTCCCATTGTAGTAGACCCCAACCCGGCCGTTTGATGATGTCCAGAGCACGCAGAAGGGCTTCATCGAGGAGGTGAACTCAGAGGCGGGGAGGATGGAGTCGATTGAACAGACCACTCCGTCAACGACTATCCTCATCCCGCTCTGATCGGATCCTAAACTCAGAGCCACACCCCCGCTGCTGTCCGAGTAGGTGAAGATCCACTCCTCCTTTTTTTGGGAAAAAGGTCATGAGGTCAAAACAGAAAAAAAGCGGATGCCTCATAAGGGTGCGGCGGTATCAGTAATATTTACGTTTTTCTGTTTGGTGCGCTCCAGCTCGAAGCAGAGCGTCAGGTGACTGAGCGAGGGTATGGAAACGCTCTCAGAGACTTTGGTGACCTGGCCATTGCCGCCAGTTATGGTGACCTTCTGGTTCCTCAACGCCACAGCGACTAGAGGGGAGAAGGAAAGGACAGAGGGAGTACATGGAGGAAGGAAACAGCAGAGGATAGGAAGAGAGGAAAGGAAGTAATAGTGGGATCAAATTTGAATGAAATAAAAGGAGGAAAAAAGTAAAAACATGAAGAAGATGACGCAGAATGAGTGAATGTAAATAAACAAAAAAGAAAAATAGGAAAAGATAGACAAGGAAAAAGGTACCGAGAAGTGGAGGATGAATGCAAAGCATGTAGAAAAAAAATGATGAAGAAGAAGAGGAGGGAATAAAAATTCATTATTACAAGACAAAAAATCTTTCGAGTATCTAAACTTAAAAAAAATAGTTTGAATTATATTTTAAAATTTGGACAGCTTAGTTTGATTGGAGGAATCTGTAAAGTTACTTGAAATAAACAACAATCAAAAGACGAGGACAAATGAAAAAAAAAACAAAAACAATAATGCTTAAAGAAACCTGCAAATTTACCGATACTATCACTGAACCAGAAACAACTAAAAGACTCTCCCTGCAGAACGACTCTCGGCTGAAGCTGCACCTCAACGTAAAAAACAACAACAACCAGACCAGAGCGCAATGGAAAAACATTAACACACAGCTGAACACAAACACAGACGCACCAAACAGCAGAGCAAACCCTGCTGCTATCAGAACAGCTAAGTCCTCAGTCTGTGAGCTGCTGCTGATTCCATCAGGCTGTCTGCTCGAGTTAGAGCCGCTGAAAAGAGTGGGCTTAGGTGTTCAAATTTCTGTCATGTGAATTTGGTTCCTGACAGAAACACCAGTCCTTCAGGATTAAGCCTCAGAGAGAATTTTGAGGATTTACATCAAGTTTTATCGATCTCCCAGGACCTGCTTTGCTTGTTTAACATTACATCACCTGTTATGTCGAATATAAAAAGTTCATAGAGGAGAATCTGCCGAACTGCAGCGATCAAGTTTGACGAAGCTTTACGAAGAAGTATTTAACACCGAAAAGGAAAAAAAAACTTATTGTGTGAGTAAAAAGGTGCAGCGATGGCAGAGCTTAGGGCTGGGCGAAATGGGGAAAAGTTTATCAAGATCTATTGTTTTCATATCAGTTGATATTGATATATATCACGGTATAAAAACTCACTTGTCAATCTTAAATGTTCCCTGTTACTCTTTTTAACAGTGCTAATTAGTAGCATGTCTTTTCAATACAATAAGCTACTGCATCTGTGAGGTCTAACCTTTTGCATTGCACATGCTCTGCTGCGTGTCACTGCTTCAGGTGGTGAAAAAGATTTGAGTTATACCCCGACTTTGCCAGAACATGTACTTGACATAATTTGCAGTGCACTTTATTCTGCTTCATGTCCGACCCGAAAAACAAAATACCTCCACACAACCGATGTTTCTGTGCCAGCGTTGTCTACGATTAATCATCTGTTGAGCCTTCATCTGCATTTCTGCCGGGGATAGCACTCATTTTCTTTTTTTCTCACCGACAGTGCTGTTGGCTTCACGTGTTAAAGTGCTATGGTTGCGTGTGGCTGCAGTCTGCTACTACACAGTTTGCTACTTGGTTCTAATTCAGCACATGATTGGTTCAGTGCGAAGCGGACCCAGGCAACTCCCCTTTTCATTGGCTATTCATTTTGTCTACCAAAACATGTCAGAATGCCAACTATCGAAAAGCATATTGACCATGTTTTAAATTGATATCGAGGGAAATCAACTCTTGATATATATTGTTATCGTTATCAGCCCTAGCAGAGCTCTATTCCAACATGTAAACACACAGTGTGCACCAAGTTCAGACGAGTAAGTTATTTTGTGACAAAATCGTCCCCACCCTTGAGTCCTTTCTTGGGATTGAGTTAGCCTGTTTTTGTTAGTCCACCTTTGCAGATCAGGATCCTGAACCTACCGTGTCTGAAGCTAACACTGAACCCCCTCTTCTGAACGCTGAAGTCGGAGGTGAACGATAATTCCATCATATCCCCGGTCGAGTTTAATGTCAGCCCATTAGCCGTCGGACCGCAGAACCTAACGTCCGTGCTCCCGGTGTTCACCACCACCCGGTCGTAGATGCAGCCAGGAGCCTCCTCCAAGTCAAAGTCCAGGAAGGTGAGCTGGATGATGAAGCCGGCGGGGGCCTGCATGGTCCACTTACAGGCCTGAGAGTTGGGGTATATCTGGGGGTAGCAGGGCGACGTGAACTCCCCCTCCACTTCCGTCAAAACCGTGTTACAGTTCATGGAGCTGCATCCCAGTGCTGAGGGGGGTGGTAGGGGGGTAAATTCATGAACTTTCAACTGAAGCTGTTAAGGCACTCAGAGGACAAGGACTAAAGGGGACAGGACAAAAGGAGACGAGGAAACAGGGCCCGTGAAAGGGGCGGGAGACAAGGAAGGTAAAAACCAGGTTTGTTCAGGAATCAGGAAGCAAGAGGGAGAACTTTCAAGCATCTTTCTAGGCTACCAAAGAGGTTGAGGACAAATAGTTTCGGACTACAAAGGCTGTGAGGATTCAGGAGACAGATTCACAACTTGTTTTAAGGGGTAAGACAACAGGACACAAGCGGAAAAGAGTAATAAAAAATAAAAAAAAGTGTTTTTTAGAGGTTGCACCACGGGAATGAGAGGGAAAGACAACATCAGCCGTGCAGTTAGGGAAAAGTTGAACAGCCCAGAGAATCGATCAGCCAGGAGACTGATCGATAGAGACAGACGTGGACTGAAAATGCTCACTTCCATGAGTCAGCATTGCTCGGGATTCCTCACCAGACCCCTGTCCCATGCATGTGCAGATAAGTTTTTACTGAGAGAAAACATGACTTCCTTTTCTGTCTCCAGTCCCACTTTGGAGGAGTTTGTCAGATTCGTCTGTTTAATTTAATCCTCTAAAAACTGGAGCTCTGTCAAACACAAGTAGGAAAGATTTCAAGTGTACGTGGACTATGAACCACAAAATGTGAAGAGGAGGTACAGAGTGTTCTGACAAACCCAGCCAGGGCACTCTGTACCTTTAGACTGTATGTATAGTGTCTTACTGTCACATTAAAGGGGAATTCTGCTATTTTTTTTTTTAAATCTTGGAGCTATTTCCAAGTGTTATAGAGTCCATTACAGACCGAAAGGTGCTAAAAGTGTTGGAGTCATTCAGTGAATTGCCTCAGTTAGCAGCAGTTAAAGGGGCTGCATTTGAAATCCTGAGGGGCTGAGGTGCTAGATCAAATTTCCTCCTCTCAAAGTTCTTGATTATGTCACTGACAGGCTCAGACCATTAGCTCAAGTGTCTGACAACATTACAGGAACTGTCCCAACAGAGGAAGATCATAAACGACTGGCCCAGACTCTATTGACAGTAAAAGTGTCATTTCACTTTGTGTGATTTTATTTTTGTCATATTTTCTGGAACTTTTAAGGTTGTTTTGCGTTCAAGAAGAACTGCCAACATATGGGTTTCAGAAGGGAGGAGGTGGCGGCGGGTGTGACGGACTGACAGGTTGCCTGAACTTAATAAGTCCAAAAAATTCCAGCTTGTGCAGAGGGCAGCCAAATGTACGGTATATCTCTTAAATCATGTAGAGGCCAGGTCCAGCGGAGGGAGGGGTTCAAATCTGCTGTAGTAGTGACTTTGTGTAGAGATTCATCAATATAAACCATGTGTTTTCACAAAGGTACTATGGGTTGATTTCAATAAGGTTGTAGGGCTGTGAAAATGCAGTGTGTTTCCAAGAGGAAGCAACAATAGGAGAGACAATGAGACATCCTTCACAAACAGGAGGAACCAAAAAACAGGAGTGTTGGGTCTCAGCTCAAAACTAAACAAACTAAAAAGTCATCTGGTGATAAAATTACAACTCAGAAAAGTTAGGACTTCTTTTTGGAAGTCATGGACCCTGTCCTGGAGGAGATGGACTATTCAGCTTGTTATCAGCGCACAGCTCATGATGAAGACCTTCATATTTCAGCAAGACAATGACAAACCACTATCAACATGGATCTGAAGTAGAAGAGTCCTGCTGATAAACTGGCCCGCCTGCAGTCCTGACTCGTCACCTGTTGAGTTGAGAAGCTACAATCCTCTATCAGGAACTTTCTAGACTCCAGAATCTGGTCTCCTGGGTTCACTAACGTTTACAGAGTGTTGGGAAAAGAAGATTCACTGCTGCCAGATGAAAATGATAAATGAGGCTTTTCAAAAACTTTTTACACATTTTAAAGGCATGGTTGACGATTGGAGAGATTGTTAATTACTATGAACCTTGTTTATACGGTCCTATCATGGTCCTATAGTGTGATCTCCACAAAGTGAAGAGAAAAAAGAAAGGAGAAAATCCGTTCACCCTAGAAGGTGTAGGGCTGCAAAAACATTGACCAATGGGATTCTTGCATCCTGGACAGCTCCTATTGGTCAATCTCCTGCTCCACCTCTCCATCCAATCACTTCGCTGTATTCGCCAAGCCCCTCTCCCGTAGTTCCGACTCATCCCCTACCACTTTCCCGACCCTCCTAGGAGGTCTAAGCGGCTAAAAGTAGCGCAGCAGCTTAGCTGCAGGAGCTGTGATGGGGATGGATGCAAAAAAACACTTCTGCTTGCCCCACCACAAAAAATGCTAAGAAAACGCAAGCCAACAGAAGAAAAGGCAGAGACGAAGCGGAAATGTGACAAAGTGAGGAATCTAACTCTAATAAACCTCAGGTCATCCTTCGAGCGATGGAGGAAGCTCCGCCAGGATTTGGGCCTGAAAACATACGCTGAGACAACAGAGTTCTTGTTGAACAGGTAATTTTTGCCTTTTATCGAGACATGTTACATAAATAACTCTCATTAGTCTCTGCAATGTCAACATGGTAGCTGTCCAGCCAACTGCAAATGGTGCTCGCTAGCAGAGCTGGTGTTTACTGCCGCTTGTCACCAGCAATCGGACATGGTGAATATTCGAAGCCAGTGTAGGATCTTCTGCCGGCCGGCTTCTTGTTCTGCCAGAGGGGGTGTGTCGTGGGGAAGGCAATACAGGTTCGGGGGTGAAGTTATCATGGAGCACAGAGGGGAGAGGTTTGTGTGTGTGTGTGTGTGTGTGTGTGTGTGTGTGTGTGTGTGTGTGGGGGGGGGCTTTTTTCAAATTTGCCTTAATGGCTCAGATTTTTTCAACTGCTTCTCAGATCGTCAACCATACCTTTAAGTCCTCTGGACCCAAAAATTTGAAATAAGGCCTTGGTTAAAAAATAAGTAGAACTACCCTTTAAGCGTTTCTTGTGCTCTGTTTGCCGAGTCTGGTCTCTTGTTGTGGGTTGATCAATTCGCAGCAGAGACAGACGCAAAGTCTCGTCAGCTTCACTATGCAGGACTCTACATGTCGAACCTTAAACACACATTCTGCTGTCCTGAAGTGGCAGTGACTACATGAAACTGATTCAGTTGGATTTATTGATGATTTTTCACTCCACACGAACACCATCTCACATTAGAAAAATAATGAGAGACGAGCTGAAATGGAAAGTGGAAAGAATGGTCGGGTTCTCTCACTCGGGGTAACAATGGCCTCCGTTGATTTCAGACTCGGCCCTCGCCGCAGCCAAAACCACAGCCAACGCACTGCCAACGTCAGAAACACCAGAACATGTGTGTGAGCGCGTTTTAACCCTTCACTCTCTGTGAAAAGCTGACATTTTTCCACATGCACAGCTTCACTGCAGAGACTGAGGGCTCGTGGGAATATTTACAAGAATCCGTTCATGCTTGTGCACTTTCCCCCACATTTCAGCCATCGGCTTAGGAAGATCACTTCTCTGCTCTTAACTTCTGCAGCTGCTAACAACATCATCACACTTTGATTAAACAGCACAAACAAGAATCAAACCAAAATTAATATCATGATGAAATGAGAGATTTTTCGTCTTTGTACCAAACTTAAAGCAGCAGATAACCAAACCAGGTGAGGATATCTAAGACAGAACAGTACACTGACGCAAAAAAGGACCGTCTTAGCTTCCTTATGCAACGAAATAAAGGATCCAGCTCCTATGGTTTTTATTTTAGACCAGTTTCAAGAGGATTATGGGAAGTTTTCAACAAAAGCTGCCTATAAAAACAACACAATGGCATCAAAGGATGAAAAAATCAAAAGATCCAGATGACAAGGTTTTCTTTAAAATCCGTTTTAACAAGATCAATCTGCTCAGAGCTCTCCTGTCAAGAGTTTCCACCACTTTAAAGCAGAACATCATATAATAAACCAAGATGTCCACTTCAATGAAATTTAACAATGCACATCAAACAATTTCTCAGCTTTCTGCTTCAAAAAAAAAGAGACTTCCAGCTTCGGCTATTCTTGTTTAATGTCAGTTGAAACAGGATTTTGCAGAAGCTGCCCTCATTGCATGAAATCCCCTGAAAAACAAGGTGTTAGCACAAAAGAGGAAGATCTCAACCCTCTGTTGCACAAAACGGAGATCTGGGTATCATGGCCATGCAAATACCACTTAGATGCAGCCAGATGAAGCTTAAAACTCAGAGTAACTGGTGATTCTTCCGTGACGACCAAGTGCTTTTCGGTGTCACTGATTTCCTGATTTACACATCAGTGACAAATGACCAAAGAGATAATTGTAAATATTGATGGTTTAAGTGTTCATGAAAACACATCAAATTTATTTGGTTTAATCTCTTTGGCTTTTTCTGTTTTGAATATTGCAGAGAAAACCCGTTATAGTTTTTTGTTCTGAGTTTTAGGGCGCTGTCTCAAAGTTCGATCTGATCCTGGACCAGTATGAAGACTGTAAACTAAACATCCTGTACTCTATCTCTTCTCTTTCCTCACACCTCATGCTGTGGAGGAACCTCACAGCTCCTCACACACTGGTCCTCATTGTGGATCCAGAACACCTCCCTCTGTCTCCTCTGATGCTGCAGCTGTGCCGCATTACTGCTGCACGGCGTGTCAGAAAACCCCCTCATCTGTCATCCATTAGAAGCAGCCAGAACTGTTTCTTTAACATTATACAGTAAAAGCAAATCGCCGCTTTGCAATTCAAATCTCCCCAAACTATCAAACAGCTCTGTCTCTGTCTCTCATTCAAATCTGATGGATCAGATCTGCAGAGATTTGACTTTTCCTGTTGGAGAACCAACTGATGCTGCAGCTCTAACCTTTAAAAACAATGTCAGAAAGATTTTTAAAATCCTTTTAAAATAGAAAACATGTTTATATTCAGGTTAGAGGATCTCAGGGTCTTGTTGACATTAACCTTCCTCCTGTGTTAGCTTTTACTACGCACCCACTATGTTAATGAGTAGATTTCGACCCCTGTCTTAAATCACTACAAACATTTCTCTTTCATCCAATTTGGTTCTCATCTCTAGGTTACCTTGTTAGGCTTTGTTATCCATGAAAATTTTGCTTAAAATTATTTTTGTTTTGGGCCTCTGGGTCTTTCTTTGTCACTATACCCCTCATACAGACATCCATACTGACTTGATCTTACATGTCTGGACATGCCAAATGTTGTTTTTTGTGCAGGGAAAAACATGGCAAAATGAGAATTTCCTAAATCTCACATAATTGGAAGAGGATCTGACTGTCAGTGTGGTGCCTGATGATGATTTTGGTTTTTGCTCTATTTATTAGATATTAATCTAACCGGGTCAACAGCCACCCTAACACAACAAGTGCCATAATTTTAATAAGAGCATTTTATAATTTAGTCAATTAAATGTTTTTGTTTTTAAATTCATGGAAATAGACTCCTGACAGAGTCAAAAAGTCCTGATGCGAAAAAGCTAATTTAAGTGTTTTTTTTAAGCATTTAAAAACAAAAACGTGTCGGTGCAGACTCTAACACAGGAGGAGGGTTAAGGGTTAAACCAATTGTGATTGGACAGGCAGCTTGGTATAGTGTCAGCATGAATGCAGGCGTCATACCAGACCGCCATGGTGAGGATGGGGCTTGGCCCGAAGGCAGAGCTTTCAATTCAGTTTCAACCCTCAGTCTGCAGGTAATTTGAACCAGATCTCCCAAAAACAAATGAGATTCACACATGAATCTGGAGAGCTGTGCATCCAGTACACATTCAAATCTTGCAAGTGCTTTACAGTAATCATGTGCAACTTGTCTCTGCACACGAGTGACACTTTGCAGCCTGTGGGGTTACAACTATGTCTCAGGGACATGCAAAAATGGACCAAGCACGTGATTGATTTCTCAATGCTCAGTTTGCTCTGTTGAAAAAATTTGGTTTTGTCTTAATAGATGAGAGTAATTCTTTAACCCTCATTGATTTTCATGCAGGGATTGACATATAACTGCCCTCATCTATGGGCTTGGTGTCCTTGATTATGATTGGCTGTAGTAATAGTCCTTCTCGTTTGTAATTGGACTGATAGTTTGCCCCCAAAGAGGCAAAGGATGGAAAAAGATGAGTTATCAGCAGCATCAGCTCCAAAGTCTCATATTGTGTGTTTGATGTAAAAATAATTAAGTATTGATCCAAAGTCTGACCACGACCAGCTCCAATAAACTCTTTGAAACTTCAGGAACTTGACATGAAGGCTGTTTTTCTGCAGAGTGAGATCATCTTTGAGCTGTTTGTGTGTTTGTGTTTCAATAAAACTCTGAGTGAACCTGAACTCCGAACACCAAATAACTCAGGAGCAAAAACTGACTCAACAAACTCTGCTTTACTTTCACACTCACACACCGTTTCTGTTTGTGTGTTTGTGCATGTGTTTGTGCGTGGCTGTTTTGTAAGACGTGAGAGGTGAGATCAGGCTGGGCTCAGGCTGCTGGGATAGCCTGCTGTTTTATAAGCTTCTGTGCATGTGTGTATATGTGTGTGTGTATGTGTTTGTGTGTTTATGTCGCACTTTTCACTCACAAACTAACCCTCCAACTTTCCTCCTGACACCTCAGAAACCCAGTGACAGCACCAGCTCCGTACAAACAACATGTCGCTTTAATTATCAACCTTCATATAATGTGAGAAACACGTCAACAAGCTCAGAGGCTAATGACTGCCATTCAGACACTGTCTCCCAGTGTGTGTGTGTGTGTGTGTGTGTGTGTTTGAGCTGGTAATTACTGCCTTCACTCCGAGCTGACTGTGTGTGACAGAAAGTGTGTATCTTTTGACTGAAGGCTGCTTTATACCAAGGCTCTCTCTGTCTTTCATAACTTTTACTGACAAGAGAACACGGACGAGGTCTGACAAGTATTTCTTGTTTGTGGCACTTCAGTATCTAGAGTCAAATAAAGTCCAGTCACAGAACCTGCTGGGTATTATCTGGAAGATATATAGACCTCTGGGAATGATGCCTAATTTCAGAGTGATTACCGAGGATCCTCCCCTCCAACAGCTCTCGCTTAAACTTCATCATAAGCAGCTCTGATCAGCGAGAAACAGAGTAGTGTGTCCAACTAAGATTAATGGGGGACCGCTGAGAGAGGAGAGCAGGGAGAGGAGCAGGAGGAGGAGAAGAGAGAAGAGCAAGGAGAGGAGCAGGAGGAGGAGGGAGAACAGCAGGGAGAGGAGCAGGAGGAGGAGAGAGAAGAGCAGGGAGAGGAGCAGGAGGAGGAGAGAGAAGAGCAGGGAGGGGAGCAGGAGGAGGAGGGAGAAGAGCAGGGAGAGGAGCAGGAAGAGGAGAGAGAAGAACAGGGAGAGGAGCAGGAGGAGGAGGAGAGAAAAGAGCAGGGAGAGTAGCAGGAGGAGGAGGGAGAAGAGCAGGGAGAGGAGCAGGAGGAGGAGAGAGAAAAGCAGGGAGAGGAGCAGGAGGAGGAGAGAGAAGAGCAGGGAAATGAGCAGGAGGAGGAGAGAGAAGAGCAGGGAGAGGAGCAGGAGGAGGCAGGAGGAGAAGAAGTAAGAGCAGGGAGAGGAGCAGGAGGAGGAGAGAGAAGAGCAGGGAGGGAAGCAGGAGAAGGCAGGAGGAGAAGAAAGGAGAGCAGGGAAAGGAGCAGGAGGAGAGAGAGGAGAGCAGGGAAGGGAGCAGGAGGAGGAGAGAGAAGAGCAGGGAGAGGAGCAGGAGGAGAAGAAGAGAGGAAAGCAGGGAGAGGAGCAGTAGAATGCAGGAGGAGAAGAAAGGAGAGCAGTGAGAGGAGCAGGAGGAGAAGAAAGGAGAGCAGGGAGAGGAGCAGGAGAAGGAGAGAGAAGAGCAGGGAGGGAAGCAGGAGGAGGAGAGAGAAAAGCAGGGAGGGAAGCAGGAGGAGAAGAGGGGAGAGCAGGGAGAGGAGCAGGAGGAGGCGAGAGAAGAGCACGGAGAGGAGCAGGAGGAGGCAGGAGGAGGAGAGAGGAGAGCAGGGAGAGGAGCAGGAGAAGGAGATAGGAGTAAAGAGAGCAGGGAGAAGAGCAGGATAATGAGGAGGAGTAAGGAGAGCAGGGAGGGAAGCAGGAGGAGGAGAGCAGGAGAGTAGAAGGAGGAAAAGGAGAGATGAGTGAAGAGAGAAGATCAGGAGGAGGAGAGAAGAGAGCAGGGAGAGGAGCAGGAGGAGAAGGGAAGGGAGGAGATCAGGAGGAGAAGAAAAGAAGCAAGGGAGAGGAGCAGGAGGAGAGGAGAGTGGGGAGAGAAGCAGAAGGAGGAGAAAGGAGAGAAGAGACCAGGGGGAAGAGCAGGAGAAGGCAGGAGGACAGAGGAGAGCAGAGAGAGGAGCAGGAGGAGGAGAGTGGAGAGCAGGGGGAGTAGAAAGGAGCAGGCAGGAGGAAAAGAGAGGAGAGCAGGGAGAGGAGGAGGAGGAGAGAGGATAGTAGGGAGAGGAGGAGGAGGAAGGTGTGTGTGTCAAGGGACGGAGTGAGCACAATAAGAGAGAGGCCCATAAGCTCCTACATGCTAACCACTGCCAGGTAAAAAAGTAACCCACACCAGTTAACGACCACCATACTGACTAAAACTGGATGACCAGAAGCATCCGCATACCGAAGCTTAGACCCACGACTGCAGATTCCTCTCGACTAAGTGCACTTAGGTTATCTAATGGACCTGTGCTTTTGGAAAGTGGTGTCTCTACTTAGCTGCACTCCTCGACTTTCATTGGGATCATGCCATCATGACCAAACATAGGTTCTCGATGTGGTGGTAGACTCTGTCTGTCAGCCTCTGTGTACAGCTCTATTCAACAGGACAGCTGGGAAAACCAGAGAAGTGAGTGATGACACTCCGGGATGAGCCAGCAGCCGCTTCTGCGGCTGAAAACGCTGATGAAATGAGGGAGATTGTTTCCCACACAGAACATTGGAACCAGGCTTCACCAGAACCACAACATGTGGGTACATTTCTCTGCCAGGCAGCAACGGACCACAAAAACCCAAACTTCTGTTCGTTTACCGTCCGGCAGAGGAAGAAACAAAAGCTCTTTGTTCCCAAACTGACGTGGGAGAACAGAAGCTGGACAGACTGAGGTCCTGAAGGAGGAGGAGGGGCTCTTTTAAAGGAGGAGAAATGATTAAAACTGTGAATTAGGAGGTTGATGCTGAAGGAGAGTCTTCTTTTGCTCTATGGGCAGATTTATATGTTAAAGTTTGAATCTTGAAACAGAGACGAGAGAATCTAAGTTTGCAAGAGTTTCTGATTTGTGTCTTATTGGGTCAGCTGGGTTAGCTGCACTCATATATTTCTTTTTTTCTGCTGCATGACTGACAATTTAAATGTGGTTAATGGGCTATTGTTAGCATCAGCAGGACAAAGAGCCAGAACATTAATATCAGAGTAATGCCAATATAGGCTGCAAATACAATGGACTTTGACGGATTTAGGCTTACAGTAAGGGATAGAGCCCTGGTAATGCTGCTTTAGGTTGAAACTGCTGCTATGGGCTCAGGCTTTAGTAGGAATAGGCATTAAGTAGGCTAAAGTTGGCTTAGGCTTGGTAAAGTCCCCTCGGTGTATACTGCTGTGAGCTTGCATTGTTATAGGCCAAGTCTTTGATAGGACTAACTAAGGCTTGGGCCAGACTGTATTTATGCTACGCGAGGCTTAGGCTGCTATGGACGTATGGTTGGGGTCAGCTCAGACTTTGAGCGGCCCCTAGGCTTTGACTGCTGTAGGCTTCGACTAATGGCTAGGGATGATTTAGGCCTGAAACATCCTATAGTCATGCTGCTACAGGCTGTAGTGCTAAGTTTCATGGTTATAGTTGTTTAATTCGTCAGCTGGTGTTTGTTATTATCATTTTAATCATCATTGTCGGCTTTTCCTTTCTCCGTCTCCTGCTGATGACAGCCGTATTGGTGGTCATGGTGGCAGTTGTCTTTTGCAGCCCCAACTTGTGGGTAAAATACTTTGAGAGCCTAAAAACCTCTGTCTGCATTTTATACTGATGTACAGGATGCATCACACCTGTTAAATAAAACGGGATATTTAGAGTACGTCTCATACACCAAAATTTCACAGAACTTAAACCGATCATTTGAGGTACCAAACAGCTTTCAATGAGCTGCTGACATTTCACCATGACTCCAAAGGATCAGTGATATTTCAGCTGATAAACAGGATTCTTGAAAACCTAAAGATACTAAAAATACCCTCCTCTCCTCTCTCCCTCTTTTTTAGACTCTAATCCTGGAGATTAGCTGGCTTCCATCAACCTGCCCTTCTCTTTTTTCACCTCTCTGTCCTTTCTAGCGTTTCTCTCACATTCTTTCACTCACATTCCTCTCTCCTCCCTCATTCATTCCTCTCCCTCTCCTCCTGCTCTATGTTGCAGTCTATTTAATGCTTTCTTTCTTTATCCCTCAGTTTGCCTTTTTTTTCTGGGCCACATGCCGAGTAAATATAATTTGATCCTCAAACTTTGAACACCTGCTGCAGCCTCCTGGACATGTTTATAGAAATAAATGTGTGTTTACAAAAAAAACTGCCTGAGAGACAATAAAGAAATCTTAATACAGATTCAAGCCTGGTGGAAATTAAAATGAACAAACTCATTAAAGGTTTTTCTACTTTAATGCTGAAAGATAAAGAATTCAGGTTTTCTACAGACCCAAAAAAGTTCCATCAAAGCAATCAAAACTGTACTGGAGGTGTATTTCAACTGTGAAGCATCTCTGCAGAGTCTCAGTTTCACTATTTCTGTCTCTATTAAGTCTCGGGTTTGCTGAATCAGGTTCAGGTAGGACTAATTTTGACCAAATTTGTCTTTGCTGAGCCTCTGTTTTACTGTATCTGCCTTATCTGAGTCCAAATTTCCCTGCATCTGTCTATCCTTAGTCTCAGTTTCACTGTATCTGTCTCTACTGAGTCTCAGTTTCACTGCATTTGTCTATACTGAGTCTCAGTTTTACTGTATCTGTCTCTGTTGAGTCTCAGTTCCACCGTATCTGTCTATACTGAGTCTCAGTTTCACTGCATCTGTCTATACTGAGTCTCAGTTTTACAGTATCTTTCTACACTGAGTCTTAGTTTTACCGTTTCTGTCTCTGTTGAGTCTCAGTTTCACTGTTCCTGTCTCTGTCGAGTCTCAGTTTCACTGCATTTGTCTATACTGAGTCTCAGTTTAACTGTATCTGTCTCTGTTGAGTCTCAGTTCCACCGTATCTGTCTATACTGAGTCTCAGTTTCACTGCATCTGTCTATACTGAGTCTCAGTTTTACAGTATCTTTCTACACTGAGTCTTAGTTTTATCGTTTCTGTCTCTGTTGAGTCTCAGTTTCACTGTTCCTGTCTCTGTCGAGTCTCAGTTTCACTGCATTTGTCTATACTGAGTCTCAGTTTTACTGTATCTGTCTCTGTTGAGTCTCAGTTCCACCGTATCTGTCTATACTGAGTCTCAGTTTCACTGCATCTGTCTATACTGAGTCTCAGTTTCACTGCATCTGTCTATTCTGAGTCTCAGTTTCACTGCATCTGTCTATACTGAGTCTCAGTTTTACTGTATCTGTCTACACTGAGTCTTAGTTTTACCGTTTCTGTCTCTGTTGAGTCTCAGTTTCACTGTTCCTGTCTCTGTCGAGTCTCAGTTTTACAGTATCTGTCTCTGTTAAGTCTCAGTTTTACTGTATCTGTCTACACTGAGTCTTAGTTTTACTGTATCTGTCTCTGTTGAGTCTCAGTTTCACCGTTCCTGTCTCTGTCCAGTCTCAGTTTAGCTGTATCTGACCCCTTGACACAATGCACTGATTCAATATTAAACTAGGTATTTGTTGCTGAGCAGACCGGAGTCAGGATCTGAATTCTCTGTCTGTCTCTGCAGGTGAGCACTGACTCACTCCCACAGGTGTTTAAACTCCCCCTCTCCTTATCCTTCAGTCTTTCAATAAGAGATAATTCAGAGAGGCATCCAGGGGCAGGAGGAGGTGAAAGAGAATGGGACAAAGGTACGTAGTATAAAGGTTCAGAGATTCAGAGACATCTCTGTACAAAAGGAGCAAAGCCATAAAGCACTGGATGGCTGTGAACATTCTCAGTCCAAAGCCGGCATCCCTTATGGTACGGGGATCATCAGAGTCCATGTCATGGGTAGCTTCCACATCCATGAAGGCTCTATTAATGCTGTACAATATCTACAGATTTAGGAGCAACATCTGCTGCCATCCAGACAATGACTTTTCAGGGAAGACCTTCATATTAAAGAAGACAATGACAAATCACATTCTGCGGGGATTATAACAGCATGGCTCTGTAGTAGAAGAGTCCTGCTGATAAAGTGGCCTGCCTGTAATCCTGACTTGTCGCCCATTGAAAACATTTGGAGCACCATGAAATGAAATGCATAACAAAGGAGTCCCCAAGCGGCTGAAAACCTAAAATCAGGCAAGAATGTCTCAAATTTAACTAACTACAGAGTGGACCGTATGACAGCTGAGGGGGCTTGTTTTATTCTCCGGATTCAGACCCAGATGACTCATCAACTCGTTTATCAGCAGGTTATATCTACCTGTGTAAGTGGACTGTCAAAGGCAAAAGAGTAAGAGTTGATTTAAGAAGGAAAGTGAAGGAAAGTAAACAAAAAGTGATTAAAAGAAGAAGGAGAGTAGTGAGGGGAGGATGGCCGATTAAATCTGTCTCGTCCTCCCCACCAGCAAATGCTGACATTATGTGATTAAATATGTATGAACACAAACACCCAGCTCTGTCTGTCTATTTTCTTCTGTGTCCTTGTCTGTCTTTCTATTTCTATCTCACTCTCTGTCTCTTTCTCTTTTCTTTTTAAACCCCAAATCTCTGTCTCTTTCTCTTTTTGTCTTTCTCTCTCTCTCTTTCTCTCACTGTCTCTGGGTGAGGTATTGCAAAGATAGTTTTGGTTTATGCATAATTACTTCAAATGTCACTGCTTCATAAATAACCGGTTGCTGCAATTAATCTTTGTATGTTTCCATGGACGGTTAGGTTGAGCAACAATCTACTGTCCTTGTCCCAGAATTAAAGATAAGATGGGTGGGATCTGATTTATTGAAAGTCCCCCTCTGCCGAGATCGCTGGTGATCCGCTCCCTCAGAGCATCTTACTGATGGGCCGTCTCCAAGTTTGGTAGATATTACATCTTTACAAAAAAGTTTTTCCCACCTAACCTGAAACCATTTCAGCTTCCTGGTCTTGTTCTACACACACACACACACTCACACACACCAGCACACTGTACATGTGTCGTGTTCCTGTAATAAGAGTAGAGCTTGTGAGTGTGTGTGTGTGCTGTGGTTTGGTTCTGCTGGGAACTTTATGAGTGTGTGAACTGCGCAGTTTGGCTTAAGGCTGCTGGTAAAGTATGGAAAATACATTAAACTCTCTCTCTCCCTCTCACACACACACACACACAAACTCCCCCTTTTTTCTTGCTCTAATTTTTCAGTTTTAAGTGATTTTGACGCTAAAATGGAAAACATAAGCAGCCAAGATTCTCCACCTTCCACCATCTTCCCACTGAACTACTTTCCCCATCTCCAACCAAGATGATCTACGTTTTATCCCTACCTGGGATGTTTGTCTTGGGCTGGAGATTTGGCTCTTGCAGGCGAGGGTGTCCTTGTCTTCTGGCATCCTAATCAGCCCGTACTGAGAGCATTATAGTGATTAAAATAGATGAGTGCGACAATAGCTCTCCATCTCTTCATCTAAAAACTCAGATTCAACAATCACAGTGTTTTTAGTGGATGCTAACAGGCAACTCTCCTCCCTAGATATGCTTCAGTAAATAAAAAGGCAAAACTGTTTTTCAAGTTTTTCAGAGAATTAACCTTTTAAGATGTTTTAAGTAACACACAACAGGGCTTGACACTAACTTTATTCATAAAGGGCACATGCGCTGCTAAGTTGAAAACGTAGGAAGCACACAAAGAACTTTAGGGGCACAATGAAAATTGACCAAATAATATTTGTCTTATTGGTCGACATAAGTATTATTTGAAATCAATTTTAGGTCTTTTTGTCACATGACATGGAAGCTATTGAAGAAAATCTTCAAAATTTGCCTTTAAATTTAACACAAAAAATTCATGAGGACAAGTTAGTGAAATAAAGAGGTGTGTCTTATTGGTCGACATAAGTATTTAATTATTTTAAATCAATTTAAGGCCATTTGGTCACATGACATGGGAGCTATCAAGGGAAAACATCCTTTTCTGAGAACATCAACCGGTAATTTATTGATGGTCCCTTATTCAACACCCGACGTTGACAGTGAGGGGGGCCGAGTAGATTTAACTGTTGCTATAACCGGTTATGGAGCGTTAGAAGACACCAGTACATCCGCAGTGAATGTCCGTCAAATAGCCAACCTGAAACTAACTTCACCGCAATATTTACATGAAAAAATATTTGTTGCCTCGGCTAATTTTTTTTATGTGCACATAGATACATTTTACAATTTGCACACATCTATTTTAAGTCGCAAATGCGAGTGAAATGGTCGCACTGTCGAGCCCTGCACACACTCCACAGTGGAATGAGCTATACTTGGTGTGCAGCACAGTCTCTTTTTGTATCCTTCAAATAGCAGTGCACCACCTGTGCTGTGAACCACACCTAGATCCAAGCAGCCAAAATGTGCAAAGATGGGTGCATTATATTTCTACTCAAAGTGGGGTCTGGGGGGTAAAAGTGATGACTGGATGAAGTGGCTGCATGCCGACACACACTGAGAGTTTAAGGTTGAGGTTTGGGTTGATTGATGAAATGGACAACAAAGGCTCTTCACCGATTCTAAGTAATCTTTTCCAGGCGCTTTACCATATGTTTATCCATGTGTTCTGAGACAAAAGCACGTGTAACCATTATGAAACACCAACATAAGAGCTATTATGAAACAAAAAAGGTGTGTCGAGACCATAGCCTAAGAGAAGAAAGCCCTGCTCTATCAGAGAAACAGCAGAAATCTAAATGTACCACATGGCAAACAGTGTCTGGACCAATCAGAAAGCATCCGAGTTGGAACTCAGTGAAGCCAGAGTGAGCAGCTCTGCAGCTGGTTCAACATCTGCTGGAGGAGGTTTTAAATAGCAGCTTTATGAGCATGATGTCACAGTCGCAGGTGGAGGGAGCGTCCAGGTGTCTGCAGACTTTTGGCAGACACACAAACACCAACACACAGTCGGCTCTTGTTCAACCGCAACATGAAATTATTCATGAAAAACTGAATGTAAATGAACTGTCTGACTGTGTTTTTGTGCTTTTCCATTTTTAACTTTCCAGACCGACCTACTGACACACTGACCATGCAATGACATCATCGGTTACATCATCACTGAGTGCGGCACTGCCCGACTGCACACACGTATAAAACACACACATAAAAAACAGCTTTAAGATGTTAAGTTTTCTGGAAGACCAGAGGAACAAGGAACAGTCATTGGTCGAGCGAACCAACTTTTTAATAAGCAAACAAGCAATAAAGAAACAAACCAGAACAAACATGTGACTCAGCAGCAAAGAGCGACTAATAAGATGAAGATGTGAGTAAAACTTAGTCTAATAATGATGCCTCTATAGCCCTGTGGATTATCAGAGAACTATGATAAGCACACTGCAGACTCAGCTCTCTTTTTACTGTAAAAAGCAAGTAAGATCCACTTTAAGAACTTACATTTTCCTGATATGAAACAAACTTGCACTTTAAATCTTGCAGTAGTGTTATTCACAGCATGTGGAGTCATAGGTTTTGAATTATAATCTGCGATCCGACTTCATTGGAAAGAAAATAAACGTGTGTGTGAGCCAGGAAAACAAACACCTTCTGTTGCACAACATACGACATCTGTTGTTTTGAATTCTCAGGCTGTAATCCAAAGCAGAATGAATGGATTGATTGGCAAAAGTTGTGCGATCATAATATGCAAACATGCACGGTAGTTTCTATTATCCCTGAAAGAGACGGTATGTTTTGCAGTAAATACTAAAACATACAATGATCAAGCCAACAAGAAATACAACAGTGTACCATTACAGCCCACTTCCACCCCAGCTCCTCCTTTTTTATGCTGTATATGATTTTACTAGTGCCATATGGATTGTCTTTGATTCCACAGTCATACCAACAAGTATACATACTGCATCTAATCTCTGAACTAAAGGAGGTAAAGGTCGTCTTGGACACTGGATACAAGAAGCAAAAAAACAAACAATTAACACCACCATGTAGCTCTGTAGTTAGTCACTGTCTTTTGGTGCATTTTAGTCTGGATTGGTCTAGTTGGGTCTGGTAAATCCCTTTCTTTCCTGACTGTACCCTACCTTGGATATTTACATAACAGGCATGTCGGCTGTGTGAAAGCTGACTTTAAATAACAGATGCACCAAAATTGTACCAGCTCATACTTGCTTCTCTTCACTTCTTTACAGCTCTTTCCAAAATCCCAGTTTTGAAACATTAACACCTAAATGGCCAAGGCTACTTCTTCTGTCTTTGTAACAAACTGAGTAAAAATCAGTTGCAGCGACTTTACAGGCTTTATAATGCGACCGTGTGACTACAGAAGCAAAGTAAGCAGCTGGAGATGAATGTCTGACAATATTTGGAAAGAATGAATGGAAGCATCAAAGACTGGAGATGAGCTGCAAATGCTTCAACATGGTCTCCGAATAAAATCTCCCCACATCGATGAAAGCCTAACCCAGATGGAAATGATTCCTGCGGCAGATTTCATGACTTTTTCTGCATCATGGCATGGAGTTTCATTGATGGGAGCACGTGACATGGAGGAAACGAGGCATGCTCAGGGGCAGAGATGGAAAATATGAGTTTAAAAAAACAAGAAAAAGTAGAAATGAGACGAGGCGAAAGGGAAACAAGTGCATGGACGGTGGAAACATGGAAGGAGGGAAAGACACAAATGAAAGATGGAAATCTGATAAATCACTGCTGTCAGATGAAAATGCTGCATCTCAGAGGATAACAGCTTTCCAGTATTTACACACAGAGCTTCTTTTCGGCTCGGAGGGATCAAGTCTCGTGTTTCAAATGAGTTTATTTATAAAGAAACTGATGGCAAAACTCTTTTTAAAGAAGAAATGCAGCTTTTTCTTCAAACAGCAGGTAAACACAACATGGAAAACATGGATGACATGACAAATTAAACATGAATGGAGGCATAAACATGGATGAGAACAAAAGAATCAAACAGCAGCAGCATATAACCAAAGTGCTGAACTATATTCATAATGTACATTTACTTAACCTGCTAAGGCTGAACTATAAAAGGCATCCAACAATCAGAAATGTAATTAAAAGCAGCACTTTTCCCCTTAAGCCCTAAAAACTCTGTCTAATCAGCTCATAAACATAAAAAAATACATTACACTTCATTTTGGGTCATTAAAAGCAAAGTTGTGTCACTAAGTATTTAATTTTCTTGCTTCGGGGTGAGAAAAAATATAAAAAGTATAATTTTAAAGCCTGCTAGACCCTTCATATGAAGAAGTAGTCTCATTTGGCTTTAATTAAACATTAAATATCATACTATCTCCAGCAAATTAGACACTAAAATCATTACATTTAATGACAGAGTGTTCATTCACAGCTCTACCGCTCGTCTAACGGAGGGCAATGGAGGATTTTATGGTTTCATTCAGTTACAGAAGTGGGTTATTTTCTCTGTTTCTGCAGCGTTGCTCTCACAGCTCTGGAAGTTTCTGCAGCTGTGGTGTCATCTGTCTGATTAACCGCAGCATTAATCATCAATTTTACCAACACCGTAGACCACAGCTCACAGATCTGTTCCTACACTTGTGAGGACACTTACACTGTACGAGTACTTTAAGAGCTCTGTAACACAGTGATACTATTTATATTTGGAACTTTCAGTGTGTTTCCTACTTTCAGATCCACATCTGACTTCTATGGCACAGTGTTCAGACCACAACAACTCCATCTTTATAAACATGTCTCCTAATCCAGCATTTGTCAGGTATCTGTGGCTGCAGCAGCTTTGCGACTCATACATGTTTACATTTTACAGTCATGTGACACACTATTACAGACTGAACAGCGTTTATTTTCTCTGTGTCTGAAGGTAAAAATCGAGAAAACCCCTCGTTTCCTTAACTCCGATTTTAAAAAGTCCCAGGATCTAGGACAGCTTTATGAAAGGGTTTAGGGTAAGACAAGCATGGTATTCGGAGAATTTAGCTTCTCTTGCTAGGCTAATATAGTTTAAATTAATGACTGCGAGACAACCTTCAGCTTCTGTGATAGTCTAAAGACCTCTGACCAACTGGATGGTTTCTTGTATGTAAATAAGTATGTAAATTGATTTATAGTCCTTTATTTTACTGATGAAGGTACTAAACACATCTATGGTTCTGCTGTGGTAACCTATAATATATTGTGTTTTATAATAAGGAAGCTCAAAATTAAGGTGGACATGTTTGTCTTTAAACTAGATTTACATTGAACTACTTCAGATTCAACCTTGCCTTGTATTATTGGTGAGAAAAACAAAAAAATGGGACACAGACTTGATTTAGAAGCAGAGACACCAAAGTTAGCTTCGACCGTACGCTGATGACACCACTGTGTTTCAGAAATGCCTTATTTTAGCTCCACAAATGCTTTTCCATCTAAAATGTTGAAATTAATAAACCATATATGTTAGAGCTTAACTCCTAGTTTAATTTTTTTGCTGTGCGTTCGGTTCTTTGTCCAGTTAAAGCGCATTTCATAATTAAAATTTTGGGTCTAAATGACGTAAAATCTTTTCTGTGGCACATCTGTTGGTTTCAAGCTGTGAGAGCAACTCTTGGTGATCAACTTTTTAGTTGTAAAAAACAACCCACCCTGGTGCCCTCCATTTTGGACCACATGTATGACAGTTTCCTACCGTTTCTATGCAGGGTCATCCACAGCAGGACGACCAGGACCACATGATGGAGCCTCCACCTTCCTCCACCTCCACCTCCTCTTCCTCTGCTGCCTGTACAGGACTCCCTGCAGGAACACAGAAAGCATCAGTCAAAAAGAGAACAATATGAACCTGCTGTGGTTTTCACACCAGTATCCAACATAGTTTACATACCAGAGAGGAAGTGTGGTCGCACTTGTTTACTGACTCAGCCTGTTTACAGCCAATACATGTTTTTGCAGTAACTCAAGATCGTAGTTTACTTTCTGCTCAGGTCTGTTCCTGGGGTCTTTGCTGCTGCTCTCCCTGCCTTGGCTTTTTGTATGAGTATGAAATAGATATAACCACTTTAAACAGGAGATGATTTAAGTATTATTTAGAAACAAGGATTAAACTTTTTGGCCGCTTTAATCCTTCAGTATCTCTCAGCAGGACAGATGAGGTCAGAGAGGAGCAGACCACACTGTTCCTCAGCTTTAACTCTGTTTGAGCTTTGTGTAACACATCTACACACACACACATTTATAAAACACAGTCTGACAGCTGAGTTTCTCCTGGTGTTGAAGGAGGGGAGGTCAGACGCTTTTATCTCCCTGCTGGAGGTTCAAACTGAAGGTGGAGGAGCTTACACAGCCTGAGGAGGGAGTCACTCACAGGTCAGGAGTTTAAAGACTGATGTAAGAGATCAAACCTGAGGAGGAGAAACTGCTCATTTTGTCGGGGGATCGCCATGGAAACAGGCTGATGATGACTGTTCGTTTCCAACTGTTTTTGTACTGAGTTTATTTGTGTGAGAGCAGACTTCCTGTCAAAACTCATCTTTGTTACATCAGGTTAAATTTCACATATCGGTTATAGTATGTCTCTAAATTTACTGATTTCTAAGCAAAAGTAGCTTCTGGAGTGACAACAAACTTAGAGGGCAGTTGTTAGGGATAAAGGAAGACAGCCGAGGCTTTCTTTTCCATACACCAGGGGTCACCAACTATATTTGTCAGAGGGCCAGAATTTTACCAGACAGTCACCTTGGGGGCCAGACCTTCAAATAAAAAATTTTAAAAATCAAATTTTGGCATACCATTATTATTTGATGTTTATTGTTTATATATTTTTTTCCATTTCATGAAAAAACTGAAGGCCTTTTTAGCCTTTATGAGTCAGGCTTCTATCACCTATAGAGTCATAAATGGTGGGGATTACTGATAGTTCAGAGTCTCAGTTGTTGCTGTTTTCAGTTGCTTTAATAATGTGGACCACATGATATTTTCTCTTTGATCCTCATAATTATGGAATCCAGTTGCAGGCCAGATTGGAAGGTTTGGTGGGCCGCCAGTAGATGATCACTGCCATACACTGACTTTGTTTACAGCCTGACTTACTGTCTCTGCACACCAAGCATGAGTGAAATCATTCGTGCGAATGAATTACATGTTAAGTCAATGCAAAGACGCGATTAGACGCTCCTACTATTCTGGCGACAGGAATGACGCAAATTTGGTGTGAGCTGAAAATGTCTCAACTTGAGCGGATATTCGCGTCATGATAACTAATTAGCACGAAGGTTGCCGGGTGGCATATGAAAATAGAGGGTTGTTCACTGGTATCTAAAATGGAGGACAAACTGATCATGTCAGTGTGTGGGTGCTGCTAATTATATGATACCTTTTCTTTCAATTATCGAAGCCGGAATAAAAAGGAGCTCACCTGGAGGCAAGTGAGTGAGGAGGTCAGATTACCTGGTAAATTGTAAAAGACTTCTGGCTATCACTTGATCCCGCCGGTTGAATTGGCAGGGATAACCATTGAAATTACCTGATGCAAGAATAAAGCGAGTAAATACTATTCATTCGAGTAGATGATTTTACTCGCACTTGGTGTGAGTGTCTGATTAAAGCTGGAGTTGTCACTTCATCAGAATTTCCAATAAAGCAACAAAACATGAAGTACTTGCACCAAAGTGACCAAACGAAGAGCGACATCTGACCCTGAATGGTAATGTGGAACGCCAAAGCTGGGGCAGGGAGAGCAGCAGCAAAGACCTTCAGTACAGAACAGCAAGCATCAGTGACACCACATATGAGAAAAATGAGCCTGCCTGAACTAACACTGTGCTCAATTGTATATTCATGAGATGCCAAAGGACTCATAAAAATATTAGTTTTCGCTAACCTGTGAAATAGAACAGTTAACTCTGAAGCGTCTGTGATGGAGGGCAGAGCAAAGACACACAGCAGGCAGGAAGAAGCACAACCACAGCAGCAAATGACACCCAGCAGCCAGTTCTGCAGGTTTATGCTGACATGTGGATGTCTGCAGGTCTTTAAGAGTGTAGATAAAATATTTCTATTTCACTGCTTTGTTTTCATTAGCAGCGCTCTCTTTACAGCAGCTTTGGGTTCAAAATAAAATTGCTGATTTTCTTTTGTATAACAAGCTTAGGTGCCTCTAAAGATATCAAACATGATTTTTTTTCATCAGCATCGACTCTGATTGTGCTCCCCTCCATCTTTTATTCTTCAGCTTCACTTTGACTCTGAAGGTGATGTCATCATTTATTTCTGGGAACCTGAGTGGTCAGGAGCGGCTGCTTCTGCTCCAACCACACCTGACTAATCCTGCACACAATATCTGTATTTCTCCCGAAACACTGCTTCAAAGATATCATGAAAAATCCGCCTGATCAGAGCATGATAGTGTTGTTAAATATAGTTTGATTGTTCGTGTGCTCACTCGTGTTTGCCTTCAACAAATTTCTCCCAGCAGAGAAACCGCTAATCTAATCTAATCTGGCTAAACACCTGGAGAGCATGACGCACCAACAGAAAGCAGGTCACTGTCATTATCAGCTGATCTGTACACTCCTGTCTGCTAATGAACGCTGAACCTGCAGCTCCAAACTGTCTTTCTGCTGGTTACTCAAGACGAAAAAGGAATAACGTCCTGATTTTTTCCAAACAGAAAAGAGAAAAGAGATGAACATAAGGTGGTGTCTCAGCAGGAAATTATATCATCAGTGTCTCCTCTCCTCTTTAGTTTTTTCTTCAAACCTCCAACTTGGACTTCAGCACCCTGAGCCAAATCTCAGTTTGGCTGGTTTCACTGAAACATAAATATCTGTCAGCAGACTGTAAAAGCGAGCGGTGACAGCGGTGATGTCAGACACTCAGCTCCTCCTTCACACTCGGAGTTACAACATAGAAACGAAAAAGAAGTGGATTTCTCGAAAAACTCGGTTCAGAGATCGTCACAGCTTTATAAAAAGTTTGGCGAGGACTGGCAGACTCCAGATAAAGTCTTCTGAACATTCAGCTTCTGACCTTTAAACTTGAACAGCTTTCAACAAGTTCATGTGGTTCTTTACTTTTGCTAACTTTAGTGCTGACGGTAAAACTTAAGCAAACTCTCAGAGCTCCTCTTGGATCAGTTTGGACCTGCTGGAGTCAGAGATACTTTTTGTCAGAAGTCACAGAGTTCTCAAAGTTAGTCTGGTTGATCTTTAGCTCATAGAAACTAATCTGTTTGTCTTTGGAGGATCTGAGTGAGTGTTTGACTTCCACGTTTGCTCTCTCCGTCTGATTAAGCCTGATCAAATACTAAAAAGTGCAGAAGGTAAAAAATCAAACTTTGAGACTTGTGAACTTTTAATGAAATCTTGCTTTCTCTCCCTCCATTTGTGCTGAACTCAGCCCTGCCACACTCTGACTCTCACTGTGTGCATCATAAATATTTAAAGCAGAGAACAGATTTCATTTTCAGCGTCCGGCTTTGTCGAGCTGAAAATTCATGCAGCTCCTGACATTAAAGAAAACTCGCCTCTTTGTCGACTCGTGTGGCGTGTTCCCTTGTTTCCTCGTCTCCCCGCCTCCGGCTCAGCCGTGGAAATGGGAGTGAATGACAAGAGGAGCGAGGTCAGCGGACGAGGCCGCCGACACCACAAATAAAGAGGGTGATTCATGTGTCCGCAGGGTGAGCCACAGCCGCCCTGAAGTCAGGGATCTGAGTGGATTTCACACCTGAAAATATCTTCGATATTTACCTTTACATGAGGACAAATCCCAGCTGAAACTCAAACTCATGTTTCTCAAAGAGATTTCAGACTTTCTGGGCTGTTTGGACAGAATTTCTTTGTGATTTTTACACTTTTCATCAATATTAATTTTGCTGCGTTGGTGTTGTGCTGTAGTCTCTTCATCTGGTATGTGCGGCACTTCTGCTTTTATGTGCTGTTTTGCTATTCTGATCTGATCTGAGGGTGGAGGCCGGAGTCGTAATAGGGCTCTAAATTATCCGGCGGTGTACCCACAGTCTGAAGTGTGTCGCAATTTTAAGAATCTCCCAGCGTTGGTGGAGGACTCTGATTTCTGCCAACATCCAGTTATATGACGGGCAGTAAATCTGTAAATCAGTGTGAGTGTATTTACATAAATCGGCTCCCTCCTCCCTCTGAAAACATTTATACAGAATAATGACTGTGGAGCGGCAGCATGTTTGAGTTCGGTCTGTTCTCTGTTATCCAACACTGGTGCAGAAATATGGCGTCAAAATGAAGACAAAAGGTCAGGAGTTAAGCCAGATTCAAAGTTATGGAAGAGCTGTGCACGCAACGTGTAGACCGTGCACTTATTAGCATTGTGAGCACTTTCACTGCAATCCATCGCAACATTGCTCTGCTTTGCAACCTTTGTGGAGAAAACCACATTTTGAGCATGTGCAGAAATGGACTGAGCGTGCTTAGCTGCTCTCTTCAACCTTGCTGCTCACAATACTAATAATTACAAATGCTTTTAAAACAAGTTACTAAGCACTTAAAATGTAAAAAAGTTGATAAGATATCTTAAAACCCAACAAAAGTTATAAAACAATTGAAACAATACCCATACTCAACAAGACAAAACGGCTATCTTCAGTTATCTTTCTGTCGAACTTCTTGTCATCAGTCTAATGTCACTTTTAGAGGACCGAAACTATGGAATAATCTGGATTGTATCTCTTAAATCAATATCATCCTTTAAAATATCATTAAAATCACATCTAATCATGTCTTAAACATGTCATTATCTGTTATGTTCATGCTTCTTTTCTTCTTATGTTATGTATACTTATAAGTTCTCTATATCTGGATGGGCTGATTGATGATTAGTCTATGTTCTATATATGAAAATTTGTATATGTTTTGATCTTTCTCTACTCATTGTATTTCTATAACCTGTCTATGTCTGAATGACTTTGTTGTTTGCACCCTATGCCTTTACTTCCCTACCGGGATGCAAACTTTTTATAAGCCTATCAGTTTCACTGCACTGTTTTTAATCTGTGCTAAATAAATAAATACAAATACGAATAAACTGAACAATCAAAAGTATACTGAGTTTTTAAAAGTGACCAAAATAAAAGAGCTCCTCAACTGGTCAATTTAAGGACCCAAACAAACTCAATCAGCTCTAGATTCTTAATTCACCTGATGAATACTGGTGACCTTCTAGAGGATTCAAGGTCACAGAAAGGCTTGTAGGGGGTCAGGAGGTCAGCTGACTCCTCACTGAAACAGATCAACGTGAGACAGGCAGCTACAGGAGGAGAGAGGAGAGCTGGGAGAGGAGCAAGAGGAGGATGGTGTTTCCATGTGTGTCTGAAAAGCTGAGGGATGGAGTGAAACACATTAGTGTAGTAAACACAATCTAACGACTGACGGGCTAAAAGTGAGAGACTTTGGTCTGAATCATGATAAAGTAAAAGCTTAAGTCTTGACGTCGTAAAAATGTCTGGATTTTGAAACTCAACGGATCATCTATGAAACTTTTTTCCGTCCATTATATCATCAGTGAAAACAAAAAGTAAATTCACATTTGGTGATTTTTCTTTGCTTTTTTTTTTTGAGGGGGAGGGGGGTTGCAAATCTTTTTTTTTTTTGAAAAAAAAAAATAAAAAACAGTCAGAGATTTCATGTCCTGCAGAAGCAGCAAAAAAGATCAGTCTGAAGTTGCCACTAAAGGGAGGACGTCTCCATCTCCTCCTCAGACTAATGTCATCAGGATCAAACTACACCTGCAGGGTCAGAGATCACACCCTCACCTTTATTTTAATGAAACCACATTCCTTCCTGGTCCACCTGAAACTCGGACTCAGCTCCAGCTTCATTTCAGTCACCCTTCTTTGGAAAAGCGCCTGTCTTTAGGTTCTTCCTCTAAACCTCCACCTGTGACCATCTTTAGGGATAAGAGACTCATCAGAGATGACCTGCTGACCAGGATGTTGCTGTACGTCACTTCCTGTCTCTATGTAAAGAGTCTGTTCACACCTTCATGCTGTTTTCTGTGTATCACCTGCAAAGGTTGAGTAACAGCTGGGAGGAATCAGCAAATCCACCTTAAAGACAGCTCCATAGATAAGGTGAATTCCTCTAGACTCTGCTGAGACTCTTAATCTTACAATAACATTTTAACATCTGCCTGATATTCTTATGAAGTTTTCTTTAAGGTATTTTTATCTCTAAAATATTTAATTATCTTTCAGGGTATTTGGTCCAACTCCAGCCCGCCTTGATGTCTGAGGATCTTTCAACCGTCCCACATGAATACTTCCCCAACCCAACATCAAACTTTGTCTAATATTAGATTTTCCCACATTTGGTCTCGCCTTTTAATTTTTTTCTTAGACATAATCGTGAGTTTGCCAGAAATCTGTCAGAGGTTTTTGGCAAAGGTATTTTAATAAAGTTTTGTGATCTCTTTGACATCTGTGTTTAAATCAGAGACTAAAAATGACAAATGAAATACTTATATCTCAAAAATGTTTCCATAGTTGAATCACACCATCACTAAAAAGAAGCCTAAACACAAAAAACAGCTGTAGCTTTGATAAAGGAGGATTTTAGAGTGATAATTGTTAATATTTCTTTACCATAAGTCAATCAAAACAACACAAAACTAAAGAGGAATTCGAACTATCCAGAAAAAAACTGCAAAAGCACAACAAAGACACAAAACTACAAACATACCAAGTGATAAAGAAACAAAAAAGACTCAAATCAACTTGAGGAGGAGATAAGTCTGGACTAAATAGATAACCAAGAGACCAATATGATTGTAAAGAGACACAAAACTAAAAAGATGTGATGTGAAAAAAGGACAACAAAGACATATAAAAAGACAGAAGACTCAAAGGAAAACTACAAATCCCTGCAAAACGAGAGAATCACAACCCTCTTAAAGAGACACCAAACCACTGAAACAAACGCCAGTGAAAAAAAAACTGTGAAAACACTTCAAAGATTCATGAAACAACAGTAAAATAAAATGAGCACGGAGAGGAAAAAACAGCAACAAACAGATGTTTAACAAAAAGGTGGCTAAGAGGCAAAATGCAACAAGAGAGGGACATGAAATACATTAATAAAGAGACACAAAATGACCAAAAAGGGGCAAAATACAACAACAAATACACACAATACATATCAAAGAGACAAAACGCATCTCCAATAAGACACAAACAAGTTCATTCACAAGTAAAAACAAAAGACAAATACTGACCACAAAGACAGACAAAAGCACAACAAAGGGACTGGACACAGCTACAAAGAGCTGCAAAAAGACTGCAAAGGGATTGAACAAAAATGCCAATCGATGTAAACAGATGTAAAAAGACACAAAATCACAACAAAGAGGCAAACACTTAATGACCAAGGAGACTAAACACAACAACAACAAGATGAACATTAACTCCAAAAGGAAACACAAGGGCTGCAAAGAGATTCCAAACACAACCAGAAAAAAAAACACAATGTAGCACTAAACTACCAAACAAGGACCACAAAGAGACACCAAACGACTACAAAGAGACAAAACTGCTAAATTACAACAAAATTACTTTATAGAAAGACAAAAAATTTTAAGACTTGAGAATAGGTTTCAAACAAAAAAGAAACAACGCAGCAACAAAATCAACTGTACACAGAAAAATGGACAAAATAAACCAGAAACATCTCCATAAAGCTTTCTGTTCCTGTTAGGAAAAACTCATCTTTTCCACGTTAATCCAAATTTTTGCAGTTTTCATCCGTCTTTTTAGAAAGTCAGTGAAGAGTATACAGATTTTTTTGAGCTGGTTTAATGAGAAGAGTCATTTAAAGGTGTTACTTTGAACACTTTTCTGCATTGTGCAACTATTTTAAGCATTTTGGAGTCATCATGGCAGGAATAACGATAAGCAGCAGCTGGAGACATCAGTGTGTTTACAAACATTTTTCTATAAGGGTCTAGTACCTAAAAAAATCTGGCTTCAGTTTTTCTCTCCCTGAGGCAGGTAAGTGATGACATCTCCACAGTATACAGAGTTTACGTTGATTTTCCATTCAAAGAGAACAAAGTGTCTCTGTATGGAGATTGTAAACATATGCAGCTATAGGTAGCCAGCAGCATCATGGAAACACACCTTCCTCTCTTTTTTTAATGCTGAAGCGGAGAGTTTAGCTTCCAGGCACAAAACAAAGACAGAGAGAACTCAGGTCTCTGCCTGGTTTCTATGATTTCTATATTTTGCTTCAACTTCAGAACAAAGTCCTGAATTCTAGTGTAAATGATCCAGATCTGGTTGTTGAAGCTGCGCATAGACATAGGCGTGTATTTGGGATGTACTCTGAGGGGCAGAAGTCATCCAAAGAAGAAACTTAAAGTTAAAAGAACTACTTCTATAAATAAAAGAGATAAACTTCTAGAAAAGGTGTAAAAAGATAAACTTATGGGTTAAAACGAAACGGTAGAAAAAGAAAACCATCAGAGTGCGTAACTTTGGATCAAGTTGGAGCGCAAAGGCTGGCCTCAGATGAGGATGTTTCAGCAAATTTAGGGACCACAACTAAAAATTTAACTTAAATGAACAAATTAATCGTATGTCAGAGCAGCATTTGAGCTTTTTGAACAGTTTTATGGCTAAAACGGCGCAAAAAGTCACTTTCTGCTGCCAAAATGCGCTGAAACAACTCCTCGAAAATCTTTGCTTTACAAAGAAGTCTTCCTCCATCACCATAAAACTCATTTTTCTCTGTAAATATTCATGTTTGAGAGGCCTTGTACTCACATGTGTTCACTGGAGCGGCAGCTGGTCCCCCTGCAGGATCATTCTCCTTCTCCTCAAACTCTGAGCGAACTTTTCCTCTTCGGTCAAAAGTTTCTCCTGCGCTCCAACTTTTCAAACTCCAAACCAGAGAAATCCAAACTGCGCCTGACTGACGCGTAAAAGTCTCCAAAGTTTGCTGACGGACACACACACACACGAACACACTGTTTCAGAGGAAAGGTGTGTGTTTGCTTCACTCAGCCGGACTCCCCGGTGGAGCTGGCGGGGTGAGGATGCTTCACTGGAGGAGAAAACCAGCCGAGGGTCTGAGCGCAGAGTTTGGAGGAGAAATTGAGTCAAGCTGGACTCGTTACACGATGTACTTCCGGTCAGATGGGAAAACTGACACACCCGGATGAAAGTGGGGCAAAGTCTTCAAAATAAAATCCACCTCGTAAATGCAAATATCTACATTAGGCACAGTTTTGTTACTTATTAATTCATCACCAATATTACTGTTAGCACAGGAAGTCAAACAGGATTTATTTACAAAACAAAACAAAAAAAAACTTCCTCTTTTAACTCTTGACATTTCATATATACAAGTTTTTTCATGAGGTTATATTTTTAGGGACTTAGCTTTCAGAATGAATATATATTTTCAAATAGACCACAAACTTTGTTTTTTAAGCTTGTAAAATGTTTTTTAAATTCTGTTGGTAAAATCTAAAACACCGTCTGATACTCTTGAGCTGCTTTTGTAACTGAAGAAACTTCTCTGCTGAGAGCTAGATGACAATAACATCTGTGTAGAAGTGCAATTTTTACTTTGACACCGTTGTTTAGGTCCTTCTTCAAAATAGAATAGAGTAGGACCATAGACTGTATATAGAATGGACAGTCTGCCTCCTCGCTGGGTGAAGCCACTCCGAGAACAGCACACCCTGGTGACGGGCTGCAGTATAGGTCATAAACTCCGCCTCCTCCAGTGATCCCTATGGACCTGTGGACAAACTTTAGACATTAATTACACAGAACTGAACTTTTTCTCCCCCCTGCTTGCGATGTTGACATGTGGTTACAGTAAGACTGGTTTGTGCTCAAGTCCTCTTTTTTCTGTACAACTCCATTTTTAAAAGCTATTAGGGGGTTAATGTTTTCTTTGATTAACACTTGATACAGCCTATGGGTGAACGAAGATTGCATAGCTCACCCGGGGGATACGCTGTTTGAGCGGAGTGTCATCACAGCAACTTTTGGTGACTCTCCCGCCGAATGCGCACAATGCTGCTGCGCAAGTGGTGGAGTGCGTACAACGCAACTGCCAAGAGCTTTTTGGCTTCAAATCCATATACTGGCTGAAGGCAGAACCAAGCTGTTCATAGTATAAACAGTCTATGAGTAGGACCCAGGATAGAGCCCTGAGGGACACCAAAAGTGATCTCGAGAAACAGATTCCTGGTTCAACCTGCGAAACAATTGCTGAACAAATATACAGTTTTCTATACTAAAACAAGCAGTTTATAGTTTTATTACCATCAGTTTATGGTTCACTGATACAGCAAATGAATTTCCCTTTGGGGATAATTAAAGTTCTTGTGTTGTATTGTATTGCAAACAACATTAAATGTCATTAAATATGTTGTGATTGAATATGTGTTGCTTTTTAAGAATTAAGGTAGTTTGCTTTCTTTCTTTTTCTTTTTTTTTTTTGCTGTGTAATTCATTTAAGGGTTGTCTCTTCTCAGTTCGTGTCTCTGTTTAAGTCTTCGGGAGATTACTGAAGAAAAACAGTTAATGGATGTTTTATTTTATAGGAGTGTACATCTTTATTTAAGACATTAAACTGTTTTAAGGATTAACGAGGTTAAAAAAAAAGTAGGTCCTCGGGCTAGGCTGGCATCCTCTGCTTGTTTCACATCACAGAAACAACAGTGACATTAAACTCGTGAAGATGTTTAAAGATAAAGTCTGAGAACAAAAGAGAGACTGCAACGAGCAGGAAGAGAGAGCGCAGACTAATTTGAATGTAATGTTTTTATCTGAGAGGACAATCATCATGCTGACATTCAGGGAGGAGGAAGAGACTCTTCTTCATCACCCCATCAGAACTTTTTTCTTCTCATCCTAAAAGCTGAAACACAAGACCTAAACAGTAAATACAGTTCCTGAAACAGAAGACCTAAACAGTAAATACAGTTCCTGAAACAGAAGACCTAAACAGTAAATACAGTTCCTGAAACAGAAGACCTAAACAGTAAATACAGTTCCTGAAACAGAAGACCTAAACAGTAAATACAGTTCCTGAAACACAAGACCTAAACAGTAAATACAGTTCCTGATGTCACAGACTTCAGTTCATCCCTGTGTTTTGATCTGAGATGATTTTCTGAACATTTATTTTTACATTATTTAAGTTTAAAGTTGAATAGATTTAATTTCTCTCCTCGTTGAAATTCATGCAAAGACCAAAAGCACTAAAGATAGACCTCAATAAACTCATTCAAACAAACTTGTAAATATCATATTCCATTTCCACCAAATCTGTTTTGATAAATACTGCACACTCTCCCTATGAAATTACACTACACCCTACAAACAGAGTGAAACTGTACATATGTTTCATGAGTACATTCGGACTAATAGAGAGGAAACTAAACCAGCTTTCCTCTTTAACACCTTGAACACATTTCCATCTCTGCGGATTAAAATGGGCTGTGAATGTGATCTCCATCATTTCCAGTAACTCTGCACCAGTTTGAACCTCCTGCAGCTTTTTATTGAGGCTCAAACAGAAGGTGCGATTCAACCCCACTTTCAACAATCATTACTGAGAAAATATTCAGTCATGGATTGCATAATATTCATACTAAGCTAAACGCTCTGTCCCTGGAAGAAACTCTAATAAATCAGTTTTCTTTAATGGCTGGACAAGAAGTTACGGGACCGGAGCCAGACCACAGAAAGGTAAAAGAAAGAGGGAGAGTTTGACCGCCATCTCTGCTAAAAATAGAAGAAAAACTGGGGGAAAAGAGAGAGGAGGGACCTGGTTCTACCCAGGGAGATGGAAAAAAGGCTTTTAATTTGGAAAGCAGATAATGGAAAAGACAGAGAGAGAAGGAATGTGAAGGGAGAGAGAAAGAGAGAGAGAGAAGGAGAAAGAGGGAGAGATGCCCTAATTGGTTTTCCTCCAGCTTCAGATAACTTTTCCTCTGTAAACCCTGAAATAGGATGAAGAAAACCCATCATAAAGAAGTCTCTGGATGATTTGGCAATGAAAAAAAGTCATATACATTCTGAAATCAGCAGCTACACTTTAAAAAACCAACAACGTGGTCAGTTTCTGACAGTGCGACAGATGAGCCCAAGTGTTGTCCTCTCAGCGTTTTTCTAAACGAGTTCAGACTCTTTGAACCTCAGCTTTGTGAGCGTCTGTTTCCTCCTAATCATCAGCAGCTTTTCTTTAAGTCTGCTCAGAAAACAGCTTAAACCAGAACCATATGTATATGCTCACACTCCTCCATTATACACATTAACCCTGACACTGCTGCAGCAAGAACGACAGAGACAGACCGAGGTTTGAAACCAGTTTCAGTATCTGGATTTTAAAATTAGTAATTCAGCAAAAAGAGACACAAGACCTCCTTTTCTTAAGAGTTCTCCTCTGATAAACTGATTTCATGACAGTTCTGCTATTTGGTTCATAATACCCATATCAAACACTAAGTTAGGTTCAGTGAGCTGCAGCGTCCTATCAGTGACTGGTATTTAGTACATGGGCGTGTCTGTCAGTGAGAAGTCAGTAAGAAGTCAGTAAGTTTAGATGACACTCAAGAAAAACAAATTATTGCCTTACTCCGATTAAGACCAGACAACTGAAGTGCATGTAAACACCTTAGTCCGGCTATAATCAGAATTTGAGAACTCCGATTGGAGTCAGAAAGGTCCAAATTAAGACTCCCAGATAATGCGATTGGAATTTGATGTAACCAGCGTAGTCGGACTATGATTGGACAATACACCTGCGTGTGCGTCATGCCCCCGCAACCCCGGAACAAAAACACCAGAGAAGAGGAGTAGCGTGCACCTCATCTGCAGAAAAATTAGCGCGTACGTCATGTACGACAAAAACAACTCTGTACGATGCTCCATCTCCTTGCTCGAAAATGCCCAGCAGCAGTTGTAGCCATTTCTGACGTCTGGCTCAAACCTGCCGTTGTTGTTATTGACAGTTGTATGGAGTCAGAAACAGCGCTGCTGAAAAGTCCCATATTGCCCCCTAGTTTTGGGGAGGAGGACACGTTCACGTCTTTAATTCAATTTTCTCAGCTGCATGTACATGCGGACAAGGATAGAAGTCCGATTCGGTGAAAAAAAAAAATATATATATATGAGCTTAGTCTGATTAAGCTGTGCATGTAAACGCACAGACTGCTGAATCCTTCATCATTGCTCCTCTGATTTACCTCCTCTCTCTTCGGTCCTCTCTCCTCCAACCTTTGCAACCCCACTTAGCATGTCGGGTCTGTAAGCACTCCTGGTTCACTTGAGGACTGAGGACAGAGGAAACTGTAGGTAAAGGTTTTGGGATCCAAGACTGTCTGTCCACCTCCCATAACACTGAAAAAGCTTGTCTTGTTTTGTGGTTGCTCTGTCTGTTTTCTTCAATTTTGCGGATGTCTCTTTAACTCCACAGGCTCCGAAGCAACAAATGTCCTTGTGATTGAAACAAATATTGAAATCCTGACCTGTGTAAAGGTTAGAATCAGGTTTAATCAGCAAATACATAAAAACAGGAGATAATGATGAGTCAATTTGTTCTTCCATAAGTGTGATATAAATGAGGTACTGTGCCCTTAAATGTCTATTGTCAGGAATTCATGGACTCTAGAATCTGGCTGAAAGGTTCTGGCCTCCTCATGGTCCATGATTTCCTGGATAAGCTACTGTCTAAAGGGGTTTTTGGTTTAGAAGACCTTAATTCAAACTCTTCAGAATAAAAGTCCTGTATGATGATCAGACAGGACTTTTAATTATAGGGCTTGATGTTGAGAAAGTTCCGACAAAAATCACAGAAATCAGCTCCCATCTTTCCAAATATTTTATTCAAACTTTTGAATCAAACTGATTCGACAGATAATGACATCCTGCTGCTCTGAAGTGGAAGTCCTGTTCAGATAAACTCTAATAAACCTATAAGCAGCCAGAAAAAAACCACAGTCCCCCAGTCAGAAAGAATCAACATGTACAGAGAGAGAGAGAGAGAGAGAGAGAGAAAGAGAGAGAGAGAGAGAGAGAGAGAGAGAGGGAGAGGATTGTTTTTCTCCCTCTGTGTTACAAAGTAAAACAAATGAGACAAACAAGACGGTTTAATCTCAGAGTTTAAGATTAATTTTGGTAAATAAGTTCATTATAGAAAAAAAAATTCTGATCATAGCAGGAAATAAAAAGTGAATTGTGATTAAATGGATAGTTTTTATTCTGAATTGTTCTGGATTAAGATTTTGAGAAAGTTTTTAATCTACACAAACCGTCAAAGTGTTTTAGTGCTCGAGAGTCTGATTCTGGATGAAACTGCTTGTAAACGGTTTAAAGTCGATGCGTCAGTCCTAAAGTCATTTTTTTTTTAAGAGTTTCAGTCTGTCTTTGAGAGGATCAGCTGATTAGGTATCAATCATCCTACAGGAATAAATCAATATCTTTTGAATCCTGTTGAAGATTTCTGCAAATGGGACAAGTTGGGCTCCTCGCTCACACATGGGCAGACTAAAGGAGGGTTTTGCAGGTGACTTTCTGGAGTCTCTCTCAAATTCAAGAACCAGGAAAAATTTGCATAATTTAGCATGAACAGCTTAAGCAATGTGTCTCAACTGAAAAAAAACAAACACAAGCCTCTGAAACTTTCAAATCCCCACGGGGACAAATAAACAAGAATGATCCATATCCGTTAATGTTTCTTTTGCCTGTTTTATCTCTCGGATGTGAGCGTGATAAAGACAAACCTGGAGGGAGTCCTTGAGGAACTGTTTGAACCTTTGAACAAAGCCACATATTTCCCTCCAGCTTTCATTGAAATGCTCAGCTCAGTTTGTGATGTCCTGCTGCCTAAATATGGGATTGGAGTCCTCTTTTCAAAGTGTTTAAACCATAAGCAGAACAATTTTAGGTATTTTTGTTTTGTGCAAATATTCGTTCTTCCAGGGAGTCATCCACCAGAAAACACAGTTTCGTTTTTTTCCTCTCTGTCTCCATGAGCTCTAAACTTTCCTGCCAGTTTGACGACTTGTCAGCTTGGATTGGTATGAGGATTTCTCTCTGATTTAAACACAGTGATAAAGTTATAAGGACGCTGAAATAACACAATCATGATGCACATTTGTGAACGTCTGACCTCACACTTTTGTTATGTCTGCCTGCGAGAAGAGATAAAACAGACTGCTAAATCTGCATTTTTTTTAATGGGCTTTGGTTGCATTTCTGATGCAATCTGCAGAAATCAGGAAGACCTGAGGACTGGATGGTTTAAGCATGACTTCACTCAAAATTCAAGCTGTGAGAGTTAACAACTGTTGCATATTTGCATCTAAGTGTGATAAGTGGTGAGAAACAAATGTTCTGCTTTTAGTTTGAACACAACTTTTTTCTCAGTCCATAGCATCCAAGTTAAATCACTAGGAACTATCAGCTGACCCTTAATTAACCAAATTATGGAGGAGCTTTCAGAGTTTGAGTGACTAAAGTGTCAAAGTTTCATTTGAAGTTTCAGAAAAAAAAAACTAAATTGAAGGCCTGGATCCTGGCTTTTGCAATATTTTGCACTTAAAATGGATTTTAATTGAATACTTTGCATATTTTTTTACGCTCTGTAAACCTCCCAGATCCTCCTTGGTGTTTGAAAAACCTCTGGCCACAGTAAAAAGTCAGCATGTGAAGCTTTCATTGAGATTTTCTGTCAGTCAGGGTGACCAAAGTGATTGTTATTCATATCTGCGGATATTGATGAGTCCGTAATGAGCCCATAACGATCGGTAATGGAGCTTTGATGGACTCTGATAGTTCAAACTGAGTCAAAGAGTCGTGGTGTTGTGCCGTCAGTCAGTCACAGCGTCAGACACAGGCAGCCATTGTTACAGACTGATTTCCATCATGTCCTCTGACGGCGAGCTGAGCGTCTCCTCACAGGACAGCCTCAGTCTGTGTGTGTGTGTGTCTGTGTGTGTCAGTGTGTGTGAGATCAGTGCCAGATAGAGCGACGCTGCTGCTTCTGCTGCTGTGCAGAGAAAGAAGGAAGGAAGGAGGGAAGGATGGAGGGATGAGATGGAGGAAGAGGAGGAGGACAAAGGCTTCATTCTTTGCCGGTGGTGAGCAGCTTCAGGGCTTTCTGGAGGTTCTGGATGGCCGTGTTCACGTCCTCGTACTGCAGGGCGCTGCCCGCGTACTTACAGTACTTCTGCGCCTTGGTGAAGTCCTCCGGGGAGAGATGAACTCCGCCTAAAGGAGGGAAGGGGAGACAAAGAGGAGAGGATGGGAAGATAACAGGAGGACAGAGAAAAAAGAGGAAGTCAATGAGATCAGAGTCAGACATGGAGAGGGAACACAGGGACAGCTCAGTCTGTGAGCAGCAGCTCAACTCTGTCAGATATTAGAGACGGTGCCAAGACTTGAATGACTGAGCTTTAACTCTGCCCTCTCTGAATCAGAACAGGCCAAGAGAAGAGAAAGAGACAAGTACAGCTGGACCCTGAAGAAATGAGCTCGCCACAAAGTCCTCTCACCTTCACTCCTCTCTCCTCTGACTATCACTTTTCCACAACTCTCTCCCCTGAGTCTTTTCTGTTTGTCTCGTCCTCCTTTTGAAAACTAGAGGAACAAGAAATGAAGTGACAGAGACCAAAACTGTTTCTGTACCCTAACTTTACATAGTTTTACGTTTGAACACAAGGCTCTACAGGGACTCACACGTGCAAACAAGATCTATAAGATTTCATTTCTGATTGTTCTGATTAGACATTAGCTTGAGAAGTGGCACCATCAGAATCTTCAACTAGACCGTCCAAGAACTATCTTCTTGTTACATAAAGTGCTGATATTTAAGGAAATTTTCCCCCTTAAACACTTGAGAGTCGACTACGACCTGCGTCACGGAAAGTCTCCATCAGTCCATAATAAGCTGTCAGTACTGAGTGAATTCTGGGTAATTTACGATGAGGAGTACCTGCTGCAGTCGAGCTTAGAGGTCGTCCTCATGGGCTGCTTAAAGAAAGACTCCTCTGTAATCTGCCTGATGACAGCAGCTGTCAGTGAGTGTGCGCGCGCGTGTGTGCGTGTAGACTGTCTTTGATCAGCTCTCATTACTGCCATATTTAATAAGCAGAGACAGACCCCTCCCTGTGAGATCATCAGGTCCACCATATGTACCCCCAAACCTGTCTGTCTGTAAATCTACAGTCTGCACTTCATGACTTCAGCTTTACATCTCAGCCTTTCTATCCAAATCAAATTAGAGTAACAAATGAGGGAGTTTCCTCACGCACTGAGAGGAAACTCTGTTTTTGTTTAAACCCTTCAGTAGGATTCCTCAGTCCAGCAGCAGCCAAACAGCCGGTAATCGAGGATGCGCTGACATATCAGCTGAGACTGATGGTAATAAAAACCATGCATATGCAAAACAATGCATACATCACAGTGAGGTTTTTACTGCACCACATGAACAACACACAAGATGAGAGTCATGTGTGGCCCGGGGTATTTAGGGGTGGAGTGGGTGGTTGGTTTGGTTGGCGGGTGGTCGCGGGGCGGGGCCCTGTTAGGTGCCCCACAGTCCGGACTATGGTGCTGTATATCGTAGTGATGTTTGTTGTTTTGTATCCTCGTCGTGGTCATTATTACTATTATTGTTGTCGTCGTCGTTGTCATTCGTTTGTTGTCATTATTATTGCCGGTATTGCTATTGTTGTTATTATTGATGCTGTTGTTGTATTGTCGCTGTTGTGTCAGTGATTCAGGGGGATTGTACACAATGTGTGTGTGTATATGTATATGTATATATATATATACATATGTACATATGTGTATGTATATGTGTACATGTATATATATTGTTATTATTATATATATTTCATTGTAATCTAACTAAGATTTTTAAAATTCTCTATTATATGTATTCTTTCCCTCTCCCCTCCCTCACAAAAGTATTTTTGTTGTTGTTGTTGTTTTTGTTGTTGTTGTCACTCTGTTTTGTTGTTAAATAATAAAAAAAAGAATAATAAAATAAAATAAAAATAAAAACCATGTTGACATGATGACCCCTTAAAGGTGAAGCCCAAAATATTTGGAGCTCTCCCTCCTGGCTGGCTGTCGTATCAATCATAAAGCCCACCTTCTCCATGTTAACAGATGGGACCTTAAAGCCAAAGTACACCTTCAATAATGTTTTTAAGTGCAGAGATAAAAACAGAGAAAAAACGTTGTGTACTAACCTGTTGGTCTCCATCTAAGCGTGAACAGTAAAAACTTTGTAAGTGATGCAACAACCTCCCAATCTGTAGATCTTTGGAAACACTGTGATCTGGCTCTGCTTATTAAACTCTCTTTGGGGGAACGTTTCAGAATATTTATTTGCTTTCAGACATAATCAGATAAAGTTTGTCTTTCACTCCCAAAGAACATAAACTGCGACATGAATTTAAAACAACCTGACAGTCCTGACAGTGAGACTGATTCAGTGTCCTGTTTCTCAGTGTCTGAAATGATTCTGTTTGGTTAAATTATTTTGTTGTTTGGAGATAAAATTAATGAAAACACGTGCAGTCTTTGCTGTTTCTGGCTCTGTGTTGTCTGAAAATAACTTTTCTGTGAAGAGTTTCTTCTTTCTGTTTCTGCAGCTTGTTTCTCTCTCAGCCCTCCACCCTCAGAGTCCCCTGTGGGCTGTATTTAAGCCTATCCTCCATCTTCCTTATAGTGGGTGTAACACTATAGAATATATACACCCTCTATAACACAGAGGACCCCGGTGTATGATATAGGAAAGCAGGGATCATCATTATAAAGAGCAGAGACCCCATCGTAAAGCTGCTCAGAGATCCAGGCTGTAGAAACTATCCAACTTACTGATTGTCAGTGTTTCTTTGCTCCTCAGGTCGAAGTGAAAAACTCTGATTTCGTGGGAAACAAGAGTAAACTTGTGGAGCAGAGGGTGTACAGGAGAAAACCATTAAGATGATGTTTGTCCTTTGGTGTATTTGAGCATTAAGTCATGAAAAACTTGACTCTTCTTGCACACAGCTGGAGAAATAATTCTACAGAGCCACACAGACTCATCTTCTTAACTGAATTAATGTTGATCATATGAAATAATAACAATAATGACAGTCAATTATTCCTCTTATCCAGCGTTAGTATGATAGGACCTCACTTAGAGAGCCAGAGGAGCAGATAATGTCTCTCTTGGCTCAGGTTCACCCATAAAACACAGTCGTCTGCTTTTAAAGTGCCCAGGAGAAACAATGATTGAATAATGTGGCACCATAATCCTCCGATCCCTCGGCTGATTTCTCTGCTACAAAAAGATGGAAAAGACCTGAAATATGCTGACTGCAAAACTCCCAGAGATGGGACAGGCTTCAGAGGGGTGGAAAGAGAAAAAGAGACTAGAGAAGGTCTGAAATGATTGTAAGAGATCTGCTTCTGAGGGACCACACGGAGGGGAGTCACATGAAAGAACAATCATGAGTTTGATCAGAAACCACTCAGCTGTCTACGCTCTGTTCTGGTTTGACTCCTGAATCTCCAGACCAGTTCTGATCCAGCTTTGTTTGAACCTATTTGTCCTTCAGACCCTCAGATGTGTCAGCGTTAGTTTTACACCGGAATCAAACCTGTGGACATCCTCACTGACCACCTGAGCCGCTGCCGACCACTTTATTATATACTCATGTTCTCGCAGCTTTCCTCTCTCTCTGCGGTTAACCATCAGGAGCTGATGTCAGTCTAGACAGCGGTGAGGCGGCGGCGGTGTAGATGGTGTGGTTGTAATGACGGGTTTAAAGTCAGATGGATGACTGAATCAAAAATCTCCACCATGTCTCAGAATGTCGCCTTTTCAGCTGTTTCTCTGGTTATTTTAAATGTTTGAAATGATATTACACGGATTTAAAATCTCACAAAAGAAACACGATTCATGTGGTTTTAATGTGATAAAAAATCACAGTTAAACCACCTAAACAGACACAAAGAGAGCCGAATGCTTTGGATGGAGACTCATTAAAAACACCGACCGTATTTTTCGGACAAGGCGCACTTAAAATCCTTAAATTTTCTCAAAAATTGACAGTGCGCCTTATAATCCAGTGCTCCTATGTATGATTACTTATGCTTACAGACCGATTTTATGTGGTACCATGTGCTCAAAAATCTGTCGAAATGTGTAAGTACGACTTCGGTAAGCAACAAAGCCGCTCCACTCAATGGATATTCTGAGCATTACAGTAACTGTCGTCTGAGCTTTCACAAAAGCTGGAATCATCACTGAACAGCCAAGTACCGGTAACAGCAACGAGACTGACTTGGAAAATGACGAGAGGGATCCAAGCATGCTTGATGCTGAAATCGCACAGCTGTTAAACTCAGACACTGAAGATGAAGAATTTGATGGATTTGTGGAAGAGGAATGAATCAATAAATTAGCATATATTTCTGTATTGGTATTTGTTGTTACAACCGAGTTAAATAGTTTGATTTACCAGACTGCGTTGTTTTGCTTAATGCGCCTTACAATCCGGTGCGCCTTGCGTGTGAACATAGACACGTTAATTCATAGCGCCATATTGCCCAAAAAATATGGTAAATTAATTGAACATGAAACTTATTTCCTCCCTTTGAATATTTTTATGTTATTTATTGTGGTAAAGCTGCTAATTTAAATGAGTTTTATAGGGTTTGTGGGTTATAAACAATAGAAACAAGGCAATGATTTTGAAGTGGGATGAAGTATTTGAAATAAAAGAAACTATTCTGACCTAAAAATCTGAAAAGTTTTAAACTTTTCTTTTGTGCATTCATGCCTCATTTTATTTGATCTATTTTAAATGTTTTTTTGTTTTTTTTTGTCAGTTTAAAGATTAACTGACAGTTTTTAAAATATTGAATGTTAATTACATAAAGCTCTGGAGACCCATTGTGTGTGTTTTTATGTCGGCATCCTGTTTTATTTACTGTTATTTAGTTTTCCAGAGACAGTAATGTTTCTGAAATGTTGCCCTGAATGAAATAAATCTGTCTCCAGCAGAAAGATCCGTCTCGATGGTCAGAAATAGAAAAGTGTCTCTGCTTTTAAACATCTCGTAAATATACAGACTGAAACATCTTGATCTGCAATGAGGAAAACTTGTGAAAATACAGCTTTTTGTTTCTGCGTTTTTTCTGCTCTAACTGATTTTATATTAAAAGAGCACTGATATGTCTGATGGTTTAACATATGGGCATATAAGAACAGAGTTAATTGAAAAATGACTTAAAGAGCAGTGATAAAAAGTGTTCGACAGCCAACAGAGGACATATAGACATTAAATCTGGATTTACACGTCAGGGTCGGTCCCAGGATTTATTCCAGCTCTGAAAATCATTTTTATGTTTTGACTCTAATATCAGAGCGGTCCCACATAGACCACAGAGGCTTGAGGACTTATATGAAATGGTTTTTGGCCCTAAACTGAGGAGACACTTTTCACTAAGTAGAGTGTTTAAATCAAATTCATACTAAAGTGGAAACCTCAGCAGAGATCAGACGACTGGAGGAGAATATTAACTTTTATTAGTTTCTGAGTGAGCTGCAGCTGTCTGATCAGCTTCAGGGGATTACTGAGAGAGACAGCAAAGACACAACGTTCATCAAGTGTGGTCTGTGTGAGTGTGTTCTTGTGTATGCTCATGTGTATGTGTGTTCTTACCCTGCTGCTGTGCGTTGAGCAGTGTGGGGTCCACAGAGGGCAGAGATCGGGGGACAGGCACGGGTTTGACAGGTTCTGCTGGCCAACAAAAAAAAACTCTGGATTATGATAAATATTCAAATACACAGAACTCAACATCAATTTATGAGTGACTAAACTCTTAGAACACTTTTTCAGCTGGAGGATTATGATTATTTACGACTTCATCAGGGTAGAAGTAGGAAACCTGAAGCAACACAGCAGGAAAATAGAATTTAATAGATTAATAGACAGGTTTTAAAACAGCTGCAAAACTTAACAGCCTTTAGTTTGTGACTTCTGTGTTGTTACAAAACAAGATAAAGTTAAATTGTTTATTATTCCAGTTTAGTGGGTTGTCTTCAATCACTCAGTATCACTCCTGTTAAACTTGGAACTTTTGACCCTTTAAAGACATGGCGTCAAATTCATCAGGATTTTACCAAACACAGGATTTCAGGGTGAGACTGACGCCAACAAACTCAAGTAAAAACACACCAACTTTAAACTTTTTTAATGTTATATAACTCACATTATATAAATATTTCATGCTTTGTTCCGACTTCTCTTAATTGATTTGGTGACTTTAATACTTTGAAGTCCTTGCAGATGCCCTGTTGATGAATTTGAGAAAAGGTCCAACTTTACAGGTTAAAGAAAAAGAAGAGAGAAAGTGAACTGCAGAGATTTTTCAGTATAAAGGAGAGTGACTCATCTCCATGAGTGTTTTTGAACACCTTGTCTGGTTCATAGTCAGTTCATTAACAGTAAAAGAGAGTTTTTAACAGCCTTCAGATGAATTAATAGACTCTTGTTAAACACTCATTTTCACATATGGTGAAAAATGTAAAAGTAATTGGCAGACTGATCTGTTTGTTTCCCACACACTCAAACTATCACACTGTGATCACGCACACACCTAGTGTAGAATTGGACTTGAACCCCTGTCACTCTGTTCGCGTTATCACTTCCTCTTTTTGCTGATAAAATTCTGAACACAATATGAGTGTGTGTGGGAAAAGAGTGTGTTTGTGTTTGTGCTGCCAGCCAGTTTGTGTGACTTTAAACCACCTCAGCTGATTTCATGTTTGCGTGTAAATCACACACACACACACTGAAGCTTTGTTTCGTGCTCTGTGCCTGAACAAAAAGTAAACTTCCTCTCACCCTGAACACAATTCATTACATAACCATCTTTGTCTTTGTCACAGGGGAACAATTAAAAACACCGGAGAGTAAAAATAAAAATCCATACGTCCACATTTCGGTCATTATCGTAGGAGTTACATCTGCCTACAGATAAGATCGAACATCCTCATTTTGGAGGTTTTTGTACCCTCATGAGGACATCTGCAAATATTTACACAAGTTCAACGCCTCAAACTCTCTCTCTCTCACATACACACACACACAAACTCACTGCACTCATCGAGGAGTGAGGGAGGGAGTCTCTCAGGAAGGTGTGTTATTGAATACCAGAGAGCTGTAAGGCTGTCACGTACTGAGTGTTATCAGGGGAAATTAGCGAGAAAAGAGGGATGACAGACTGTGTGGTTGAGCTCAGGCGATTAATAAGCAGAGAACAATGAGGAGCTGGAAACGCGGTTAGACTGAGCCCTGGTCTAACAGCGTTATCACAGACACACCCGGATCTCCACAGAGTCTCAGATAGAGTCAGTAAATGAGTCACAGCTGGGACCCTTTTCTTGAGGAGGTACTGATCCAGATAGACAGAGTGTGAACTACAGGGTCCTCACAATGAGAGTTCAATCTCAAAATGAACCATCACTTTGATTTTTGATGATTCATGTACTGGAATTTAAACTTTGTGACTATTAATATTTAATTTAAAACCACTTACTGAAGGCGGTGATGTTTTAAAAAAGAAATCTGAAAATAAATGATGAGTGAATCGATGCCATTTCATTCCAGGAGGTACCATAGAGGAAGTCTGAGGAGATTTGTCTCATGAGTCACAATATTGGTGTTTAATTGGCAATCTGACTCAGTGCATAAAATGACCACAGCACCAGATCCAAGTCCTCTTTCCTGTACCTTCTAAAGTCTGTTGACATTTTTTTTTCACTTAACCAGTCCTTAACCTTCACTCAGCACCGTCTGACGTCTGTTTTCTTCAGTTTGGTTGATGCCTCTTTCACTCAGCTCTGAGTCTGTGAAGTCTCACTCATTTCTGCACTGATTTATTTTCTTTTCCCATTTTTTTTTTTTTTGCTGCTGTGTGGTGCAACAAAAGCTCCAAAAAATACACTCATTTGTTGATTTTAAAAAGAAGTGAATCTTTACTGTAACTTTTGTCCCGGGGGAGATAGAGAAAATGATGAAAACTAACGTCTTGGCAGCAGGTGGATTTTTACTATGCTTGGACAGCTCCAGCTCTGTATGTCTGAAAACACTGGTACATGGGGATATTAACAGCTCTCTCTTTAGGTCTCTATTTCACTGAGGGCTTTTTCATGATCACAGTACATGAGTTATTTGAGGCGCAAGTTTGTCACAAACAGACCACCAGTGTTTCTCACCTGAGGGTGGAGGCACCTCAGCTGGAGTGTTGGCTGGTGCATGGGCTCCTGGTGGGATATGGATGTTGTTATAGTTGGTGTTGGGGGGTCCAGATGCTCCTGGTCCTGGACTGGGGGTGAACCCTATCCCTGGGGCAGAACCCGGACCCAGACTTTGGTCGTTGCTCTCATAGGTGTCTGAAGGAGGTCCTGCTCTGATGGAGCCTCCATGGGAGAAGCCCTGATTTGAGAACCCTTCAGCTCTGAACTCATCTGTGGAAAAGATCAAGGATGTTAGTTGATGGAAGATTACAAAAACCAAAACTAAAGGATGTTTTTTTTATATTTACAACCAGTTCAAAAGCTCAATTAAACACTTTGAAGGACCGGGACTTTGGGAAAAGGAGAAAACTTCGAACAAGTCACATGAATGCAGTTTGGGCCAGAACCCTTGAATCATACAAAGCTGAGGTATTTTGGTATGTAAGACATCCATATGTGAGGAAGCAAGTAGGCCTCAAAAACTGCTTACAGATCCAGTCTTCAGGGTAGTCCCTGTGCCTCACTATAGATCAAAGATGTAAATTACTGAGAGACATTTGGGTTTTCAGGCTGTGTTTTGAGAGAAATCTAATCCGCTGACTTAACTTCTATAAACTACAAATGATAGTGATAAATTCCCTCAGGAAATAAAAGAGGCTGATGTTTGAGTCTTTATTGCCGTTTTCTGATTCATTCAAATTTAAAACACAGGAGACTTCAGGGCTTTAAACTAAATGAGATATTAATCTGTGTAAATGAAACAGTGCTTCTGCAGAATCAGATTTTTAGTGAAAGTGGGACCCTAAATCTGTTAGCCTCACTGCGTCTCAATCACAAAGCCCATCAGGTGATGGGGGAACTCAGAATGAGTTTAGATGGAGCGATCAGGATTCATGAGACTGAGATTGGACTGTAAGGTCAGAAATGGAATAAATCACATTCAGAGGTTTTCAATCAGATATTGGTTTGGATGGAAAAATACATCAGGTGTTTTCACTGAGTCCAGCAGGACTGATGGTGACCGGATCAGCGGTGAAGGACACTTTCACTCAGTTAAATCTTCTTTTTGTGAACTGTAAATTACTATGATCAAATCTTCTGAGTGGAGGTCAGATCTGTCATTTCTGCCGCATTCAAGGGAGTCAGGCAATCTAAAAGCTGACGGTCTTTACTGCAATATGCATCTATTGTTGGATTGGGAACAAAGTACACTGTTTTTCCTGAAAACACAAACGCCTGATTATACCTGATTAGTCAATACTACTTAGACTGCAAATAAGCTACACATTGAAATCTTGATATTTAGGAAAATAACAGTACAGGTTAAAAGATTCAAACTTGAAGCCTGTAACGAATGAAAAAGCAGAGAACAAAAGATAACCTCTGCAGTGTTTTTTTTTTCCTGAACATGAGCCTTGTGTTGAAATCTTGGCCTCTCTCAGCAACCACACCTAAGCATAAAGAAAACACATCTTCACAGCCAGAGAGTCTTTGGACACATTAGAGCCATTAGTCTGGATGTGCAGACACCCGCTATATCTGACACCGTGTTCGACTCAAACCTCATGTCATTACGGCATCATAGACAGGAAGAGATCTGACACCTCACTAATATCAGCCTGGAACATTTGACTTTCATTAAACTGTCCAAATCTGTCTGGCCAGAGAGGGTTAAGAAACGATTATGTTCATTTCCCTGAGTACACATCTGAGCCACAAACCACCACTTCATTTTTAGGTTAGAAACACAATCAGGGCACTTCAGAAAACTAGACATTAGGCAGTGATTTCAGTGACATCATGGGCATCAAACAGCTGATTACACAATTTAAAATTAATGTCATTGGCTGAATGGTATTAATTCAGTTTGAAAAATGTTTGTTTGGGAGAGTTTGGTAATGGATTTGGATTATGGTTCTGACATAATCCTGCTGAGTCGTTCTTAAAACAGCCAGAGAAACTGGCCCTTAGAGATATTAATCTGCTGTTTATGGGAGCTTTTAATTTAAATATCTTTATTTTTATTGTGTTTTTTTCCTCCTTTGTCATGATGCTTTCAACGTCTTGTTTAAAACATTTAGTGTATATGTTCATGACACCATTGTGCTATAGCTAATGTTAAACCAAGACCACAAGTAGGGCTGGGTGATAAACAGAAAATTTACTAATACCGGAATTTACGGCAATAACCGACGTCATTTTGCCCATGCCAAAATAATTGGTGTCAAAATAAATAAATAAACAAAAGTTGGTTTCAGATGTGTGTAGGTAGGCTATGGTCTCATGTCCCTTTAAGACGCTGTCCTACGTCAGAGACGTAACACCACCCCATCCAGTCTGTAGCAAAGAGGGAAAGACAGGTGAGGAGATGGAGGACGGTTCAAAAGTTGCAGCTGCTGGAGCGGCGTCTGAAGTAGACAAAGTTAATGTGGCAGGGGGTGAGCAGCTTGTGGAGTAGTTATTGTCCATTTATCGTTATCGAAGTGAACTGCTCAATGTATCGTGATATTGATTTGAGGCCATATTGCCAAGCCCTAGCCACAAGTATAGGAGGTAAGGACAAATGTCTCTTTGCATTATGCTGTTCAAATTAAGGATTGCAATTACGGTGGACAACAAATGATATGACAAATAGTGTTCTCTGCCCACTCCCTTGGTTATCAAAGCAAATGCATGGATTATTGGAAGTTTTAAAGCCTCTATCTAACATTACATAACACAAAAACCTTTCCTTCGTCATGTTTCTAAGATGTCAGCTAGACATCAGACACTGTGAGGGTTTGGGAGGAGGTGTCACATGTTGGCAGGTATCTCGACAGTTCAGGTCAGCACAGTTATCCTTGACTCTGAGGACATGTTGGAAATGTGCATATTAATAAGAGCTTAACCAGACCCATGGAAAACTGACTAAAGGCCCTGTTACACTGGGATGTTTTCCAGCTGAAGGAAAACTTAAAGAGCAGCTGGATGTTTCCTGACAGACACAGACTGTCTGACTGACTGAAAGCAGAACTGTGCAGGGCTCAGAAGTCATTGTCAAAAGTGCCCTTTGGCAGGACACTCTCACTAATGGTCCCAGCGGAGCATCGGCAGAGTACTCTGAATCATCCTGCCTGCTGCTGGAAACAAGGATGACTTCTTCAGAATGACAGGAAGTAGTTTCAAGTATTAACCGCTTAAAGTGTCTGCTCAACTGTACTATTTAACGGACACTTTGGGTGTGAAACCAATCAAATATAACAAATAGTAATGCCAACAAAACAAAAAAAAAAACCTCTCAGAATGATGGCTTTTATGATTTTAGGGTTTTTAGGGTAAGCCTAAAAGATGATTTGAAGCCTTTTAAAACTTGTAATATTTGCGCTTTAATCATCGGGTAACCAGGGTTAGGGTTAGGATTCTAGAAAAAGACACATTGGGAGTCTTATGTCTAGGACTAGAAGCCCAGATCTGCTGTCAGATGTGCAATTCTCTATGAACTTTCTCCAACATATACGAAAAAAGAAAGACCTGCCAGTCCATCACCACATCAGTTATTAGATAGCCGGTCTTCATGAATTGGAGTTTCTGTCAAAGTTTTTTGTTGAACTGTTTTATTGTCACTCTCTGGACTAAAGTATAGACTGGACTCTTTCTGTCCATCTTTCCTCTCAGAACCAGGTCACATCCTCGATATTTTTACATCTCAGAGCTGAATATTTTTTTCTCTCTCTGCCCCCCAAACCCCCTCTTTCCATTCTCCCCTCCCTCCATTCCTTTCCTCTTGCTAAACACGGCCCCCCTCCCAGCCAATGGAAAGTCGGACTACAGCTGCTGGGAGACAATGGTCTTTCTGTAAGCACCACTGCTATATGTCTATGTGTCTATGAGTGTGTGTGTGTCACAGTCATTCTGTTCTCCAGAGGTTAATTAACCCACTTTAACTGGTTCAGATGACTGCAGGGTGTAAGGCCTGCTGTTACTCAGCTAACAGGGGACGGTCCATCACAACACAGAGACTAAATTAAAGGGCAAATGGACTTTTCACCTGTGGAGAGCTGAACATCATCAGAAGCCTTACTTATATTAGAAAACTACACGTACAGAGAAGCATGACCCAATTATGAAATAATCTATTGTTAGGCCTTGGTGGTGTTAAACCTGTGGCCTTAAAGAGACTTAAAGGGATATTCCGGCGTAAAATTTAAGTAATAATCACCATATTAATCATTTTGAACTGCAGATGCAGTAGTTCCTCTGCATTAGCGTCTCGGTCTGATTGCATTTCCATGAAAAAATGATCATAAATGTTCTTCCTTGAGCTGCGTCACCCCGCAGCAGTCTGTAATGGACTGGCCTGAGGTCTCCGTACAAACAAGCGGCTGCTGGAAGAGAGTAGGTGAGTTGTGTTAAGTCTCTTTGCTAAAGAAATTGGGCAAAGTTAAAAGGATGTTTGGTGGCTAGTGCTATGGCTGGGACCTTGTATGTACTGTTGATGAAGTTAGGTGCTGTTCTGAGCATTATTTGTGGCTATAGAGTGGCATTTTGGTTGAGGTTTGTTTATGGCTCTTCAGACCGCTGTGTATCACTATCCTGTGGTTGTTACTAAAGTTGGTATAAGTGGAGAAGCAAGCGGGAGAAGCAAGTGTTTGGCAACATTCATCTCTCGAGGGGGTGTCTAACTCTGTGTTATGGTTTGTTTGAGCTTAAATTAATTTTACGCCGGAATATCCCTTTAAGGGAAAGCTTTTGTCATAGCATCCCCATCCATTCAGATCAGTGCCATGATCATTTGTACTTATTTTTAGCAACTGAATTTTAAACCTTGTTTAAAACACAATTAGGACTTGTTGAAAGCTGCTCAAAATATCATGATACAAGATAAGAATTAATCACTCGATTCTTGCCTTGTGCTTGTTAACAGAGACAAGGACAGTAGTCTAATTAAATCGCCTAATTTAGCTATGATCATAGTTAGACAAAGTTCAGCACACATTAGCACAAAGAAACTACAAAGTGCAACAGTGCAGGCAGTATGAGCATTTGAGAACTGCAGAAAGTTAAGTGAGACAACCCAAAGCTAAAACAATGAATGTCAAGATTTGTGACTTTCCAGAACTCAATGAGAAGACCACAGATTTCACCAGCTGATGACACTGGTTTCTTTTCTGTGCGTGCAGCTGTCTGTTTACATTTGCTGTTGCTATGCACTATGTCATTCGCTCTTCTACATTGGGTCACTGCTGACGCCTCCCCCCCTGGAAAAAGGAAACAAATTGAATAGATACAGATCCATTCACCGAGGCGCATTTGTTGGGCAAGACCTGACCAGTTTTACTCAGCAGGAGAGGGTTTATACTGGTCATCGGTTTCCAAATGATGTACCCTTTGGCTTAGAAAGTACTTGCAGCTGTGATGAAACACTGTGTGAGTAGAAAAATGATCTCCACCTAACATAATCATTTAGTTTGGGCAGGATTTATGACAGTGACCCTTCTTGGTGATTATGTCAGAGAGGAATGCTCTCTGATGGAGATACAGATGTGTCACAGTAACACACACCGGCTCAAACTCTCAAACACAATCCTGCAGCGGCACACACACACATGCTGGGTGGGTGATATCAGCTGTGAGCCGGCGGTGTTATCCATCATTGTGGAGAAGTTATCATGATGTCGTCACTGACACACAAACCTGAAGCATCCTGGGAGACGAGGAATGATCAGAGGGTGTGATTGTTTTTGAAAGACGTACGAAGACGAGGATTAAAAAAGTTATAAAAGAAACTGTCCTGTGTGTGTGTGTACGTGTGTACATTTACTGTACATGTGCAGCTGTGTATTCCCTGAAGTGATGTCATGGGCCGGCAGGTGATGTCGGGGTCAAACACACACACACGTATGAGGTGTTAGAGGGTGTGTTTGAGCAGATGGTCTTTATTTAAATGAGGAATTCATCAACATGAGTTCACTGACATGAGGAGCACGTTTAGAGTTCCCTCTACGGAGAGGAGAAACGTCTGGAAGCCCGGAGGGGTTCGTGTCAACATGTGTTACAGTCCGGCCCGCCTGAGGGGAACCTGACGCAATCTCAGCCCTCAAAGTGAAATCTAAAAATGAGTCCAGATGCTGGAGGTTCCCAGGTGACCCTGTATAAATCTACTCGTGGTTTGAGTCACAGGAATCGAGGAATTATCTTAAAATTCGCCAAACAGAGAGCAGCGCAAGAGGAGGTGTGCTGTCCGTCAAAGTCTGCTAATTATACTACAAGCTACAACTCAGTGGTTTTAAAGGTTAAAACTCATCTGGTTCTCTTTAGAGCTTCTATGACCAACAGATTAAGCAAATTAATCACTATTATCCTGGTAATTGATAACTGTTCATGTTTGCTTGAGCACAAAAGTGAGAGGTGAACTGGTTCCAGCTTGTAAAACACTGGTTTGCTTCTTTTTGACTTTGCAACAGCAAAACCTAGATTTAGTTTTTTGTTTTAAAGATGCAGTTAGAGCTCAAGAGATTTGCCGTTGGTTTGTTTTATTACTTTTGGACATCCAATAGGTGATATGTAATCAGTAAATGATGGTAATGTTTTGCACTATGTGGTTTAGATGTTTTTTTAATTGTGTGATCAGTATTTAGTCGTGTTTGTTTGACTCATTTGCGCTCAGTTTTATTGCTTGTATTTGGATGTGTCTTTGTATCTGGGCTGTGGAGTTTAGTCTAACCCTGGTTCTTGGTATCATGGTTTTCTGTGAGCCTCAGTCTGTGTGTTCCCACCCTGTGTGTTAATGTGTGAGACTGTGCTGGTATTTGTTTTATTATTCTCTGCTCTCCTCATATCCAGCCTGAATCGACTGAGTCTCTGACCTTTTTCCCATTGAAAAGCTCTGGCCCTCCGATGTCAGACTTCCACCATAGAACTTAACCTTTAGGAGAAAGAAAGCTCCGGAAAACACCTCCAGATCCTTAACAGATTGACCCAGTGAATTGGACAACAAAACGGCTAAAGTTCAAGAAGTCTCAACTTGAACTGTGGGGAAAGTAGGACAGGAATCTAACCTTTTTCTCTGGCTGTGAAGGGAGCTGTTCCTTCCTATAGTTCAATATTTTAGCAGCAGGAGATATGTGACAGATTAGAGGCTCTTAATTAAAGTGTCTGCTGTTGGAGCATTTTTCTCAAAGCTTTTGTCTCTTGGCAGGTTGTAATTTATCTTGGTGTCTGCTTTGAGTTTGATTTGACCAAAACAAACAGCAAATATCCTTCAGCTGACCTCAGTGTCTTTTATTCCCACGTAATTACACACACTGGTAAATGCAACATCAAAGAAATGCTGAAAATGGCTTTTAACAGCTTATGCAAATTACTTCCCAGCTTTTGAAGTTTTTCCTGAATACTGCCGCTTTTTAAAACACCTCTTTCAGAAACTTTATATCGTCACCCATCAGAGTTCAGGCTAAGACTAGGGATACTCAGGGAACTTTTACATCATTTCACTCTGGGGATATGAACCATTTGGGTTTATCCATATTAGTCAAACATCAAATCCAAATACTGCTCATTTCAGGTGCATATAATAAACTTAAAACCAATCATGTTTGGGTTGATAACATTGGGTGTCCCCCAAGGCACCATCCTGGGGCCTCTTCTGTTAAACATCTACATGTTGCAGCAAAAAAGGATAGTCAGCAGTTTGAGACATTACAGTTGAAAAGGACTGACTAAGCAAGAAATCTGGGTGTAGTTATGGACTCAGACCTGAATTATCAAAACCAAATAAAGATGATTACAGAGTTGACCTACTGTCACCTAAAGAACATTTCTAAGATTACAGGACTTCAGTACCAGCCAGATCTGGAAAAACTGGTTCATTTTAATTTTGATTTCTATTTTTTGCAGCTTTCAGAATCTTTTTCTATATTGCCTATTATAATTCTATTTTATTCACACAAACCCGAGTCTAATTCCGACAAGGGAACACATTACATGACTAATCTTCTCTCTGGACACTTCTTATCTCCTGAGTCTCTGGTTTTGTACTCCAGGGCTTTCCTGTAACACTCTGGGATTTGATAAGGAACACAATACAGACCGCAACTTGGTTTATGCACACACAGCCACCCTTACACACACCTAGACAAAGACCAAACCATGCCAGTAAAGGAAGTTCACCTCAGTGTTCTTTAAAGAGCAAACTCAGGGACTGGGAAAATGGTTTCATAACACAGAGCTCAGAGAGGGGTGTGTTTATGTAGGTGTGTGTCCCAATGGGATATCAGTGTGTCCCACCTGCTTCCTCATCCTCGCCCATGCCCACAGGCCCAGACTCAGGCGTCTCTCCGTTCTTCAGACAGTTGTGGATGTAGGTGGCCTTCCAGCGGGCGTACTTCCTGTGCTGGATGTTCTTGTGGAAGTTGATTAAGAGAGAGAGACATTTGGGTTATTGGTCATTTTACAAGCTAGGTTAAGAGGAGAAAGGGTCAAAATATGTAGGTAATGATGGTTGGCTGACTCTAGGGGGTTAGGGCTTAGAAGTGGAGGTTTGGTCTCTGGTGAATAGTTATGGAACACAGTCAAGGTTATGATGGGCGTTAGGGACACACTGATGTCTTTCTATAAAAAATGGAGGACATGTTCAGTCAATGTTATGACACCTGAGAGCACCTGATGGAGGTGAACAAGGACAGGTCTATATGTTGGCTCTGTATGTCAGATTGATTGAATAATCTGAGGTTGGAGAAAGTGGAAGGACTTGGTTTATGAGCAGCACACTGTAGTTTTGGAGCCAGAGATGTGGCCCAAAACAATGAACCCACTGCACTTTTGAGTGGCATGTTTTACATAAAAAAAAGACATTGATAAGTCGAAAAGTAATCTGCACTTTTTAGTCAAACCAGTTAAAATATCGCCAGAACACTTCAAGGTCTAAGTACGCCTTTGAGCTAAGCATACATGTGCAGTCAATCAGACTAACCATAAGATTAACCAGGGATGAAAATGAAAATGAAATTCCAAATGAAGACACTAATAAAAACTGCTTACAAACTTTTTTTCGAATTCTTTATGGTTTCAAGTGTGATTAAAAATATGACCTAAAGATATGGACTTTTGAAACTCGCATACACAGTGAGAAGGTTGTGGTATCAGTGGGTTAATTGGGGTTGAGAAGGATGTTGAAGGGTGAAAATGCTGAAGAGGCAGAGTGAGGGGAGGGCAGCTGATAAGAATGAATGGAGAAGTCCCTGCTTTTTCCAGATAAGTGCCATGTTTTCAGAAACAATGGCATATTGGAGCGCAGGCTGTTTGTTTAGCCCCAGTCCCGCCATTAAAAAAACGAGTGACTAATGGAGGTCAATCCCGATCACTGGAAAAACACGTCTGTGATATTCTATCACGCCATGGAGGACCATACCCCTTGAAGTCACAGTGAAAACATTTCACTGTAAAACTGACTCACCAAGAGGTATTTTCACAAAAAAACTTAGTAAAACATCAAATTACGAGGGAAGAGAGGCCCCTGATGACCCAAATCTGGGACTGAGGATTCCACTTTGTTAAAAATATTACACTCTTAACAATTTAAATGTAAATTAAAATGCTAAAAAGGGATACAACACTTGAATTTGACATCTGCACATAAGGAATATTTGTGTTAGATTTGGGTTTACAAGCTGTTTTTAAACTGGATCCATTAGACTAGGGTCAAAAGGTTTGTTGAATCGATCTTGTAGGATTTTAAATGTGTTGAGTTGTAATAGTATTCAACAAGTTAAACATAATGGATCTGCCTTTAGCGACAAGTTACACCCCAAGGCTGGGGGCAGATGGCACTGCTGTTACTATGGGAACAGAGGTGGTAGTTTGGCATTTGATGTAAATACTATGAAAAGACTGGTTGCGTTGCTGGTGTATTTAACTTCACCTCGACATACTCTGAAAACAGCTCCTCATTTATCAAGGACACCTCCACTTTAACAAAAGCCAAAATGTGTCCACACTTAAAGACTCAAAAATTATGTTGCCATCAGCCATCACACACAGAATGTGGCCATTAATATCAAACCACAGTCTCTCAGCATTGACAAAATTGAAGAAATGCAAGACAATTATGGCTCATTGACATCATACAGGGGTGTCTTGGGGCTGTTTGCTCATACAGGTGGATTATGGGAATCAAAAATGACATGAATGAATTGTTAAACCCCCAGAATCTAGGGTTTCTTTCATTACGATCACAGATTCTCGATAATGATGGGCGATTTGCTGCACTTCACCAGTATCTGACCTTTCCTTGGGCTGTTTACCATCAAGACAAAACCCGTGTCGAGTCAGACATTGTCCCTGTCAGGGCTGACTGACTCATGGCGGAGAGAGATAGTACCAATTGTAGCAATGAGACAGATGGTGAACTCCGCTATTGTCTGCAGTGATTCAGAGCAGGACAGTCTTGGTAAACAATTCATCAATCCATACATGTCTTTCTGCTGGAACACAGGGTTGATAACATGGTACTGTGGGCTACAGCCAGAAATAAACGGACAATTTAACCACTGAAGGAGCAAATGTGTTCCTACCTGTTTTAATGCTGCAGCAAGCCTGTGTGGGTGGTGTAATGTTCATCAAATGTTTACTCGAGTACTGCAGTGTTAAAAATCATATTGTCAGGAATGAGCTGCTTTTCCCCAAGGCCAGACAGAACAAAGTGGACGAAACCATACTTAGGATATCAGGGTTTAAACTCCTGTAAGGAAATCTACATCTCTCCCTCTAGCAGGTGGGTCAGAGGTCAGGATCAGGGATTTAGTTTGTTATTCAGAGAGTCTCCTATAAGCTGGTTTCTCCTCCTCTCTCTGACTGAGAACAAGAGCTCTTGATGGGCGACAGTCTTATGTAACAGAGCGCCAACACGCCCGATCACTGACTGCTCTCCGCTCGGTCAGAAGCTGCTGAAAACCTCCTTTTTACTGCCTGAAACTCAATCACTGCTGACTGACTGTCCGCAGGCCGCTCTGAGGACTCTTTGTGTGACACTGAGTGTGTCTGTGAGTGTGTGTGAGTGCGTGTCCGTCAAGCCACACTCAGAGCGACGGCTAACTGTAAGTGTTCTGTTGATGTTTTAATGGCTTCTGGTGACTCGCGCACAATGTGGGGACAGATCTGCAGAGTGTCAGACGATTATATAGACATGAGTGAGTGAGTGTGCGTGCGTGCGTGTGTGTACCAAAAACATCCTTTTAATAATCTTTTTAACATATTTAAAGGCAGATAAAATGTTCTTCTTGTCTCCTGATGTTGCTGCATTTGTTGCATCTGCATTTCACTGCTAACTGCTGTGTTTTAATCAGCACTGTTTAAGAAGCAAAAATATCTAATTTTGTTTTTTTTGTGTTGGTTTGTCAAGGTTTAAACTTCCAATCCGTCATTGTGACTCTGTGTAAAAGTGCTGTATTAGTTTAATGTCAAGTGCTAAAATAGAAAGCTCACCAACACTAATTCCTTGTACACTTTAACCCATCAAACAATAAACTAGATTTTGAGTTTGATTTTGATTGTATACCTTTAAGGAGAGTTTGCAGACGTTGTTTTCTGGCATATTCTTTGTCTTACCTCCTCTGACAGCTCCCCAAAGACAGACAGGACCTCCAACAGCAGGCTGGCCGTGTAGAAAGACTTGATCATGTTCCTGGACAAAGAAATGAATAGAAAAGATGAAAAAAATAGACGTCATGAGAGGATTGAAGGGCAGAGAGAGAAAGGAAGTAAGTAAGGAAATAAAGAGAGATAGAGGAGACAGAAAATAAACTATTAGTTTTCTATTTCTGCACTTCTGATGAAAATCAGGATGTAATTTTACAGGTTATATTACGACACGGTGTCTCACTCAAGGATCCGGTCGGGAGAAAAACTAATTTACAGGAAAATCTGCTGATATTAAAGTTGGAGAACTAGCTTTTTCAGAGGTTCTTAACCAGATTTTAGATGTGTTTCCCCAAATATGACCTAATAAAAAAACTCAATATGTGGTCGACTTGGATAGATGATGATTTCCATGACAACAGAAAAAAGGCGACAGGCTGAGAGCGCTGAAACATCTGGCAGATGGGATTTTTTCTCCAAATACTTGCAGTTTATATCTGTGGACTTTAAAGTTACAAGATGATCCATATTGCTCATTTTAGCACAGGCAGGCAGCTGCTCCTCCAGTACCGAAATGATGTTATTATAATGGAGTTATTGAAATGTGTATTTTGAACATCTAACATCTTAAACCTTCATGGTATAAATGCTGCAACAGCACAGGTTTCAGAGAAGAGATTAAACTCATGTCTTTACATATCGGAGTTGTGATTTTAGGTTCTGGTTTCTTTGATTTTTAAAGCGGACAAACCGGGCAGCCAAAGCCCAGATTTACCGGCACTTGTTGAGGAGTGATTTCCCATAACGACACACAAACACACACACACACACACACACACACACACACACACACACACACACACACCGATTCAAGGTGGGGAACATGAATAGGGTCCTTGTAGTGAAGTGTGTGAGCTCCTGATCAGCAGCCTCCACATGTTAGAGGAAGTTTCTTATTCCAGTAGAGTTCCATAAACATTCACCCCAACATGAATGTGTGTGTGTGTGTGTGTGTGTGTGTGTGTGTGTGTATGTGTGAACATGTGTTTTTCTTCCTACATGCTTGGATGCACTGTAAACCTGTTTGTATTTACATGTGGCAGTGGTGCTCCGGTTGGTGTGTGTGTATCCGGTGGTGATGTCACACACACACACACACACACACACACACACACACACACACACACACACACACACACACACACACACACACACACACACACACACACGTTGGCACAGACCCCTGCAGCTCGTAAAGCAGCGGCTGTTTGTGTTCCCTCTTCAGCAGAACAGAAATATGAAGCCATGCTGATGGAGACAGAGAGCCTGTGAAGGTTTGTTTACAGCACAAACATCCAGAGGAGCCGTCACCTTCATCCATTCATCCTCACTAACCCTGCTGCCCTCACCCCCCCACTGACAGGAGGGGAGCTGACTTCCTGTTGTGGTGTTCTGTTTATCGGGAAAAGAATGTTTGCCCTGATATTAAGCTGCTTTTTTTTTAACTTCACTCCCTTTAACCTCAAACCCTTATTAAACTGAGAAGTTGATTATTTCTAATGTTTCATTTGGTCCATGTTTTTTTTAAGCCCAGGTTCTGATACTTCTGGACCTTGTAGGGGTGAAACTTTGGTCCAGGACAGGGACAACTTTTTGTTCTTCATCGACTGTTTGTACTCTGACTACAGTAAAGACACTCCACTCTTTCTGATGATCTGGAAAGATTAGCCTGTTATCTATGTTGATGTTGGGGCAGTAGAGGGATTGTAGATGGGCAATCCACATTGACTTAACTGAAGAAAGAGAAAGAAACTGGTGCTTTGCATGGACAATCAACCTGGACATGTCTCACTTTCACCTAAAAGTTGAGTCTCTGTCTTTACCTTTAGTCCTGATTAGGGCTGGGCGATAAAACAATCAAAAATTAAATTCCCTATATAATTCCCTAGATATCAATATGAAACATGGTCAAAATGCTTTTTGATAGCCGGCATTCTGCCATGTTTTGGTAGACTATACAAATAGCTAATGAAAAGGGGAGTTGCTCCAGGTCTGCGCCGCAATGAACTGACCATTCAGTCCACTTTCTCTAGCGCAACGCCTTACGACAAAACGTCGAGGAGACCCAAAGACCTCACAGATGCAGTAGCTTATTGTATAACAAAAGACATGTTACCAGCAAGGACTGTTAAATTTCATTTGAGAGTAACAGGGAACATTTCAGATTGACAAGTGATTTATTTATTTTTCTATATCGTGATATATATCGATATCGACTTATATGAAAAAAACATATCATGATAAACTTTATTCCATACCGCCCAGCCCTAGTCCTGATCCATCATAAGTGCCCTCTGTTCAGCACAGATCCACCTGATGTTGATGCAATAGTGATCTTATGTTACACTAGAAATTCAGCCTGAAAGTTAGGAAAACTAAACTCAAACTGGAAACAAAAAGACAAAATGCAAAAAGAATAAAATCACAGGCTTGGAGCAGCACCAGCAGCACAGGAGGCATGGGGCTGAACCTTTGAGGTGAAACCTGTTTCCAAAACTTTTCATACTTTTTACGTCACTCTGATCCAAACTAAACTGAAAAGTGATGCCAAATTTAACAGACTGTTTTTCAATCCCACTCACATTTTCTACAAATAGATTGTGTAATTTTGTAATTCATTTCTAATATTTTTTTGGGTGTTGGGAGTAAATCCCAGGGTTCAGAGAGATAACCTATGGGGTAAAAGTGAAGAGTCACACAGACAGACTCCATCCCTATGGGAGAAATAAAAAAGCTTATTATATTCCCAGATATTTCCGGTCAGGAGGAGACTTCTTGACGTCTCCACATGTTATCTTCCTGATTAAACGTGAAAGGAAAAGACTGACAGAGGAGAGGGAGTTTAAAGTCTCCTAACTCATACTTTCTCTTCTTGGAGTGTACCCACTTTTCTGTGGAAGGGAGGAGTTGATATAGGAGAAATTATCACTAAAAAGGTCAATTGTTTTGGTATTTCAGACCTGAATGTTTTTGACTACACCCAGTCAACGAAAAAAACACACACCAAAACAATCCCATCATGTTTTCTTCATGCTCACACTTCGAGGTCACTTCCTGACCTACATTAGCAGCAGTTCTGCAGATACAGCAAAATGTCAGACTTCCACGGATGGAAAAGTGACCTGCTGCTTTCCAGCTGTCTGGAACTGCTTGTGCAGATTGTTTCGGCCGCTGAGACAAATATGTGACTTTTTTTTTTCTAGCTATATTAAAAAATGTACTCAATCTGACCCCAGAGATTAGAAAACCACGGTTTATTTAGCTGGGTTGTCTGGGAAAACCTGGTATGAGGGGCATAAGGAGTCCATAAATACAAAGTTACCCTGTAGACTTTTCTCTCTAACAACAACACAAACATCTGAAAACAACTGGGACTTCACTGTCAAAAAAGTGACAGTTAATAACTTCTTCATCATCATCATCATTCAGTCTGAAAGGTCAGAGAACTTTTCTCTCCAAGTTTGAGATGGATATGTTCATCCAGCTTGTAGGGTGATATATAAGAGGCCTGTATGATGGTAAAACATGCAGAACTTGGGGCAGATTGAATACTAAATATGAAAGTTGCATGTTTTCCACTTTTTAACGTCAAAAATGTCAAAATCAGGCCTGCGCAATGACAATGCTCTGCACACCCTCAATCAAAAATGAATATTTTGCTCGGGCAAAAATGCTGCGAGTGATTCTGATATTTTTAAAAGGGGAGGATAGGATCAGAAAAAGAGGTCTCTTCATCATCAGTTTGACTACATTTGGACACCTTTCGTTAAAAACTGCTCCCTGGTGCTTCAAACTGGCTCTGAAGTTCACCACCTGACCCTCAAACACAGCCTCAGGTTTTCTCCTTACTTGTGGAAACGTCCTGACCGGTCCTCGTTGTCAGCGTACAGGAACATCTTTAAGGCGTAGTTTTCGATGTGGGCGTTACCCACAACCTCCTGAGTGATGGAGTCGTTGTCACTCAGCTCCTTCTTCATCTGGGAAACAACAAACAAGCACATTAGATCAAAAATAACCAATAAAACATTCAATCACCGGAACAGAAGCTTCACTTAGTGAGGCCGCATCTAGTTCTGGATTTTACTGTGAAAGGCCAAAGAAGAAGAAGAATGATACAGTGGAAATCTTTTCTAGGGGATAGAGTTTTATAAGCAGGTGTTACAGGAACTAGAGTATTGCCAGAGAGTGAGGAGACCACAATAAAAAGTGGAGGGGTCTTTTTGTAGCTGTAAGTAATTGAAACCCCAAAATAATCAAAACAGAATCATCCTTTAAGCTTTCCCAGTTTCTTTAAAACATATTTGCTGATTTGATTCGATAAACCAACTACTGCGCCTCCATCTCCCTCCATCAGCTGCATATCCTGTACCTGTAATTCCTCTCTTACATAAAACACTGGGCTCTCCAGAGCTCTCTGCTTCTTTCTGTCCTCCTCTCTCCCTCCATTACAGCCTCCAACATGTTTCAGGTTTCTTTTAAAACCACTAAAGAAAACACGCTGGTTCCCTCCAGCAGGTGGACCCTGACCAGGCTGAATAGACACTCTGTTCACTGACATAATCAAACCGTGTGTGTGTGTGTGTGTGTGTGTGTGTGTGTGTGTGTGTGTGTGTGTGTGTGTGTGTGTGTGTGTGTGTGAAGTCAAGGAATGTAAAACCAGCGGGCTGAGAGCAGAATGAAAAGAGGACAACTGGTCAGGGAATAAAAAGAGTCTGGGATCAAAGTGAGCTCGCTGCTCTCATCGCTTTTCTCTCAGGCGTGTTCCTGCTCGGGGGTTTCGATCTGACCATTACCTAATTTACAGTGAATTTCAAGCACTTAAGGGCCGTTTACAAATGTCAAACCCACAAAAACTACATGTGGATTAGTACAGCCAGGATAGCAGACTCAGAGGAAAGTCTTATAACTCTCAGTAAATAAATGGATTTTATATGTATATAGAGAATGGCTCCACATGCTGTTTATAACACAAGCAGGACTGGTTTATTAGCTTTGCAGCAATGAAACAAAGTCTCAGACTGCAGATCTTTCTGTGTTTACTGCACACATTTGGAGATGCATAACCTGTCTAGGTGTGAACACACCGAGTATGTTAACAGTTTATTCTAAGTTGAGCTACGGAGATTTAACTGGACTGCTGTTCTTGTCCCAGTTACTGAGGTTTCGCTGCTTTTTCTGTCCGTGTCTTCAATCCCTCTTCTTACAGTGTATCATATCATACAAGGGTCTTCTTTTCGAAGTCCCCATTCCTTTCACTATATTCAATATTTAAACATTTAATCATCCAATTATAAAGCATGTCAAACTTTGCAGCTGCAGGTTTCCTGATGTCTGAACACTTTATGGACCTCAGAGCGCACAGAGAGCAAACTTCAAACTGGAGCAATAGCGAACAGAAACACATCAAAGCAGAGGATGTGAGGAACATCCTGAGTGTGTGACAGTAATGACCATCCCTGGAGCCTCTGTAAAACCTGCCTCCTGGGGCTGCTGTATGTGTATGTGTGTCTGTCTGTGTGTGCGCGCGCGCGTGTGTGTGTGTGTGTTTGCATGAGCATGTGTGTGTCCTTGTCCATTTCTTCCTTTAATTGGCTCTGAGAGATCAATGAAGCATCGCCGTGGGATTTCCCACCTCCTCATGTCTCATCTTCACTTTAACCCCTTGAAAACAACTTTCTGCAACCACTTTTATCATCCTTTTTTGAAACTGTAAAATGATCTACCTCAGTCTTTAGTCTCTTTAATGCATAGAACTACATCTTCTGTTTCTCATTTCATCACAGTTTTAAGCCTAGATGAGATAATTCCTCAGGGATTGTAAAATTTTACTAAGAAACCTTTTCAAACCAGCAAAATGCTCCTCTCTAAATGCTTCAGAATCTCGCATTTGTTTGGGTGCTTTTGATCAGGAATAAAAAGAACAAAAAACTGAGGACGTCCCCCAGACTATCAGCCCATTTGTCATCATAAATAAGAACCCAGAGAATCAAACTTTTAAACAAATTCAAACTGGAACCCTGAGGATATTGAGCGTTGAGATGGTTTTTCCGCAGCTCCATCGCCTCTTCTGTTCCTCTACGATAAAAGGCTCATTTGTTTGACCCCCACTGGGACCCCAGAGCATGTTTACCTCCTCTTCCTCCTCTCACCTCCTCCCTCTTCTTCATAACAGCTCTATAAAATCTAATAAGCTGGGCTCCTGTTGACAACCAGACAGCAGACTCTCTTATGTAAATGCTGGAGAGCTCGTACCACATGACGAGAACAAATAGATAAACTTGTTGAGTGAAATTATTACAACATGACGACTGAAATGGCTAAAACAAAAAAAAAAAAACATTTTTCAAAAAACTGAAAAGTTTGGTGTTATTTTAAACTTGATACCAGAAGCATGTTACATCAGCCCTTCTTACACCAACACTCTGAAAACTTAGTGAACCCAGCAGACCAGGTTCTGGAGTCTAAACGTCAAATGTTGTTGAAATATGAAGGTCTTCCTTGAAAAAGTCATTTTCTAGATGGCAGTAGATGTTGCTCCTAAACCTGTTTATACTGCTCAGCTTTAATGGAGCCTTCACAGATGTGGAAGCTACTAATGACATGGACTTTGATGATTCTCATACCATCAGGGATGCTGGATTTGGACTGGGAGCTGAGAGCAAGCCTGGTGCAATGACCGGGGTTAATATGCAATAATTTTTGGAAGTGATTTTGAGTCCATGGAGTGATTTCCACAGCAGAGTCACAGCTGTTTAACTCAGGAACATTAGCTCACACTCATAGCATGATCCCAACTCTTTCTTCGAACCTGGGGTCTTAGTTTCCAGGTCAACTGCTCCATGACCTATATATCTACTTTAACACCTTGAACAGGTTTCAAGAGGCAGGTGGGGGTTGAATTGGGAAGTCTATTTAACAAAAACAAGGAAGTGGTGGGTTAGGATGGAGGGAACAAGGGAAAAGGATCTCCCAACATCTTTCTTCCAACATTAACATGTTATAAAATCCTCCCTGTGCTCAGGAGGAAAATAAATCTGAATATTCAACCCCCTGGTAACCCAGAAAACTACGACTACAACAGGAGATGTAAAAAGCAGAAATGTTTGGAGATAAATTTAACACTATAAACTGTCTTGTTAACGGGAATCACAGGATCCCACCCAGGTAGAAACCGAGCTGAGGGAGGTGTAACTTACCGACTCCAGCTGGTCCATGAGTTTGATGAGGAACTTTCTGCACTCTGGAGTTTTACTGTCCAGCTTCATGCCGGTCTGCATGGCATACAGGCGACCTGCAGAGAGAGAAGAAATATTTACAGCTCGGTGAATTCCTCTGCAGCTTCCATCAAAGCCGTCTCTCCTCTGACACCATTCAAACACATACGACATCCAAGCAGAGGTTAAAAAGATTTATACAGAGGTCAGGAGAGACCTGTTCCTGCAGAGGAGAATCTTTGTATAAGAACTCCAACTCCCACAATCCCTCATCTGTCAATTAGATCTACAGTCAGACTCCTCTTTTTTAATGTGATTCAACATCTCAGAGCAGCAGGAGAAAAGCTTTGGATACGTAAAATTGACTGAAAAGTTTTCCTTTTTACGAGTTTGGAGATTGAGCAGTAACACTGACGTCATTCAGAACCACATTAAGTATAAACTACTATCAATCTGTTCATATTTCTTCTTTTGTTGATTCTTTGAACACGTCATTTTGGCCAGTATGTGAATTCGTAAGCTCCTTGTGGTAGAATGAAGTCCTCCTGTTGATCTAAATCAGTGTTTCAGCCTGATACACACGCACACAGATCTACACACTGAGGTAACCACAGCAAAATCTCAGAGCAAATTTACAGAGCTGCCAGCCAAACAAACAGAGCAGGTATCAGCTGTGATCCACAGAAAGTGTGTGAGTTTGTGTAGTTAGAGAGTGTAAATAAACAGCTGAGTCAGCAGGTTCAGTCTGAGAGGACTGGAGCAGTCTGAGGTTCAGAGAGGATGCTGGGAGGATTATCAGATGACACAGAGTCAGATTAGACCAGTGGTTCTCAAGTCCAGTCCTCGAGCCCCCACTGTCCTGCATGTTTTGGATGTTTCCCTGCTCCAACACACCTGATTCAAATGATCAGCTCGTTATTAAGCCATTACAGAGCTTGATAACGAGCTGATCATTTGAATCAGGTGTGTGGAGGACTGGACTTGAGAACCACTGGATGAGATTAACTCCACAGCTCACCTTTCACAGCAGGAGGAACAGAACTGAGAGTGGAGGGCCTGAGCATGTCATTTAACAAAACACCATCTCTTCTGTGATCAAATCCTTTTTCTAATCATTTTGACTGAACTGATTTTTTACCAAAATAAGTCCAGAATTTCGCTCTGCCTGTTTTCACTTTTTTTAATTGTGCAACACTTGCATGCAGCGTGCACAGATTGATTTGCAAAAAAAACATAAATACTGAGTAGTTTTGAGCGGAGGAAATTGTAACTGGGGCTACTGATGTTGCAAAAATGTAAAACATCTTGCACTGCAAAAAAATTTGGGATGCACCGATCCGATATTTGATATAGGTATCAGTTCTGATACTGAAGAAAATTCTAGAACAGGAATTGTGACTATGGGCCCAATGCATAGGTTGCTGATCTAATCAGTCTAACTCTATGTTATGCCGTTTGTGGCATCCACAAGTAAACACGCTGAGTGGATGCCCACACTGTTTTCAAAATGGAGTGAGCAAAGGGGTCGGCTATCTTGAACTTTATTACAACAGCTCAGCCTTCAAGCTTGATGGCCACTTGCAACACCTGCCCAGTAAATGTTCTGAGGGGCAGTGGGAAAACTGCAGGTTACAACAAAGGAGAGCTGTTCATATGTGCAGGAAGATGTTGATTCACAATGCAACAAAGTGAAGTATGTTAATAAATCAATCAGATTATTCCTGTGATTTGAAATCACAGCAGAGAGTGTTTTGCTGAGCTGGACACTGAACTGTAAACGTCCTGTCGCCACCTCATGTTAGTGTTTCAGTCCCTCACAGTGTCACTGTCCTCCACCACCACCCAACTAGAGCCTCTTACGTCAATCCTTCCTAAAAAGGACAGAGCGATACACATCTGTAAAAGAGGAATCAGTGCAGAGACACACACACACACACACATAGCCACCAGCTCCTCAGCTGCTGAAGCAGCCAGTAACCAAGACGTCCAGTTCGCCCGTCAGTGAGCGACAAAGACGGGCTTTGTGCTGCTCGGCCCGGACAGAGTAACACTCACTGAGGCCGTTCAGACAATGAGCTGCACACACACAGAGGGCTTTGACAGCAGAGAGGATGTGAGGCCACAGAAACTGAAGATCGACATCCAGACAGGCTCACCCTTACAGATGTGCTGTAGCAGACCAACAGCCCCCTGGTGGACAAGAAAAGAACTGGCTGGTTGTTTCATCGTAGACGAACATAAAAGTAAAATTATTTTTCTCTTGAAACTGACCATGTTGAATCATTTTCTTTCTACTTAATCACAGCAATTTGACCTTTTTGACAAGTCAGAATGATGCTGCAGTAACTACACGTGGATGCAGGTTTGCAAAAGGTCTGAATTCAATCTTTGCAGGTCTGTTCCACAGTGAAGAGAAGCAAATAACTTTTAATGTTTCTTTTTTTAATGAGAAATGTAATAACGAAGCACAAGCTGGCACAACACAGCATCAAATCGATGGCTGTTATTTCCTCAGATCTTCAGGCTGACATTAGAATAAAAACAAAACCCTCTGGTGTTGAAATTTGCTGTTCTGTTTGAATATTTTTCATCTCTCTGAAACAATAAGCAGTAGATGATGAACTGCTCCTGCTGTTGCCAACACAAACACAGCAAAGCAGCCAAGTGTGTATGTGTTCTGGTAAACTAGGACGTGAAAAAGTGAACTTTCAGCACTTAAACGTGATACATGGAGCATTTTTTCTTCAAACTTAAAAGGTCCCATCCCACGACCTTTAACCCCCAAATCAACAGCTGAGGACAGCAAACACACAAACATTATAAACCTGGAAAAAAGCCACTTCCACACATTCACTCCTGACGTTTTCCAGTAATTTTTGACAGCTCTTCCTCTAAAATTTTACAAAGTTGCTCGTTCACACATGTTGTTCCTAAGAGTTTTGAAATCTTCGCTGTTGGGTGAGGGGGGTAGTGTGCTGTGGGGGCTATGTCTCAGGTTGTCATAACTGGCACCAAACATTGACTTCTTGCAGAAATTTACGGCAGAATTGGCAGAAAAAAATGTGTAAAAATTCTTATCAATTTGTGTTCACACATGCAGCTCACCTTGCAAATTTGCTGATTGTTTTCAGTTTTCTGCATGAATAAATATGACTAGAGACTTGCATTTCAATATCAGTCAGAATCAAAAATAGATAAATAATTTCTCGGGGTGGGAGAAAAAAAATCAATTCACATAAGTATCGTAAATTTTTGTTTTACAATTTTTCAATGGATTTTTTTTTTTTAATTTAAGAATAAATTTTTAAAAATTACTTTCATGTGATGTGTTTTTTGAGGGAAATATGGCTTGACGTGTATGGTCAGGCGCATCAAAATTCTCCTCTGAATATTTCGTAATTTCGGGTTCTATATCCATGTTGGCCACAGTGTGTAAGGACCTTAAAAATCGAGAAAATCCACAATATCATAGAATCGCAATTTTAATCGAAGTGGCATTCAAAAAATCGTGGAAGAATTGAATTGGGAGAAAAGCACATTTCTAATAATTTCTATATCTTTTTAGACTTTAATTTGATCACTCTCCCCTCAATCCTCCTTTTTCAGGGTGTTTCCTGAGATTAAGACCCATCCTTGCAGTACAGGAGACTGTCGCTTCTTTGTTATTGAGTCTCAGGAAGGTTTCTAAGTGGCTGATAAATTTTAGCACAACAGCAGGAAGCTTTGCAGCTGATTTTTTTGGCTCATTGGTTTGCACAGCTCATATCTGAGCATGGCAAATACAGTCTAAAGCTATCACTGCAAATAAGAGAGGAAACAAGTCTTTTTAATGGTGTCTGCAGAGACGTACTGAAATCACAGTGATCCATCATCCTTATTCAAAGTGATAACTCTAATTCATTTTAATTAAAGAGTTTGAAATGCCCAGAACAGAAAACTGAAGCGCTGCCAGAGTTATAGAAATGAAAACTTAAACCCTGATCCCGATAGACGACAATGTTTGATGGATTTTATCTCCCTGACATTCAGACGGGGATGCTAAAAAGTACGTTGATCAGGAAGAATTAACTCCAGGATGAAGTGCTCTGGCAGAGAGCCACAGCCTCCGCTCAGCTCTGACGTTGGTCATGGAGAATCTGAGCCAATCTGAATCTGGGCCAACGTGGTCCCTCCGTCACAGGGATGACAAGGACGTTATTATGGAGCGTGGTGTGTCGCTGTGTGTGTCTGTCAGAGTGAGTGAGAAGGGGACATGCTCAGAGTGAAAAGAGAGAGACGATTACAGAGAGGAGGCTGTCAGCTGAAGATGGAACAGATGCTTTTCAGGCAGCACAAGTTCCTCCTCCTCTCAGCGCAACATGGGACCATATTTCAGCACAAAAAAGACCGTCTCAGCCAAAACTTTCATTCACTTTAGTCAGTTTTGAGCACATGATTCTGTTCTAGTAATCTTTTATCTATACCATACCAGTTCATATTTCACTTTACTGAAATGTTAATCATTTTGTAAGTTTTCTTTAAGAGCAACAGTTGCACACTTTTGTCAATATTGGAGAAAAACTAACTCTAACCCTAACCCTAACTCTGTTGTTCAACACACAATGATTTGTCTCATTAACTCGTTTAGTATGTTTATTACACTATTTTCAAACTCATCCCCTGGCTGTATTGAATGCTTGATTCAGATTGGGCAGAACCCTACAACAACAGTGATTACTCCTCAATAATCAAAGTGACACGACAGACCACCTGATCACCTGTCATATCTAGTCAGTCCACTTGAGTATGCTGTCACTCTGCCTGTTGACACTGCGGAGAAAGCGTTAAGTGTCCATCTCAGGCTGGTCTTCAGATCAGGGAAATAAGACAGACAGGAGTGGAGCAACATCCTGTCCTGCAATCCGTGCACCAGCAGCACAGCAGGTAAGAGCATCTTTAAGCTGCTGATCTCTGATGGGTAACTTGAACCTTAAAAGCTCTTCATATTAGCATCAATGTTAAGTTGTTTGATTTTTCTGTTTAGACTTGGGTCAGATACTAAGTTCTGGGTCATGAGTATCCTGCTTGTCTTGTCAGGTTTCTAATCTGTCCAGCCTCCCACTTACCCAGGGATTCCACAGGATCTGGAACGGCTCCGCTCCGGAACGGCAGGCGGCTCAAACACGCAAGCATACAGCGCCCACCGGATCCGTACCACTGCTCCATTGGAGAAGAAGCGCTTGCAATATTTCTCACAAGACTCGACGAGATCTCATGAGATCTTGCATGTTTCCCCGTTAACACTGAATAAGATCGGCAGTGTATATAAAACACCCACATCGCACAACCCTGGCCTCTCCTATTATCACGAAGAACAGTTCAACATATTGACTTTATTTTATTTTGAAATTAACCAGATATTTACTCTGTAGCCGCATACAACTTCTGCGCTGCACTGAGTTGATGCGCTGTGCTGTGGCGTCTGGCAGAAATAGAAGCCATGCGTATCTGATCCGGCCGCCGGAGACGATCTGCAGCGGAGCCGGTCAGTGGACAGCTTATGTGGAATCACACACATTGATTATAATGCTTGCGTATTTGATCCACCCGCCATTCCAGATTGGAGCGCAGCTGTTCTGGATCCTATTGGTTTTAGCCGTTACATACTTTACATTAACCCTTATATATTCAAGCTTTTATATCACAGTTTTAAGAAACTTTTACCTCATTAATTTTCCTCCTTCCTTCCCCAACCCACACGAGTATTCACCAGGAGCCAGGTTCTGCTTTTTATTTGAATAATGACCCAAAATTTCCTCCTGCTAAATATCTAAACACTGTTATTCTGATCCCTCACAGGTCACAGAAAATAGTGTCATTGGAGTTCGAGAGGTACTGAGCTAATCAAGTAAAAACACTTTAAGCTCTAATAAATTGCTTTTCAACAAACTTACAACGACATAAATTTTGAATTAAAGTAAACAGAACTCAGACAGAGGTAAATGTTTGTGTTCAGTTTCAGCCCGTTTATAATGTCAATGATCCAATCAGTGAGAGAGAACAGCTGAACTCCAGCCAATCGCTGTCAGCCGGGGAGCTGCGGGTGAGTTATACCGCTTCATTACAGCTAAACAAATCACAGCTCTGACTGGACCTGATATTGATCGCCCTGTTCTGGGCTGGAGGTGAGTTAAATATTGGCTGGCATTAGCAGGCTAATTTAAAGAGAGCTGCTGATGAGGAGCCAGAGGAGCTGGAGTGGTCAAATATAAATGATGAAGGTAGAAAGAGAGGGATCCAGCTGTGTAAAGGACTGTTTCTAATACTCAGAGATCACAGTCAGCTGTGCAATAAACCAACAACACTAAAACCAGGAAGTCTTCCTCTCCTCATGATAACACACAGCTTCCCTCTCTGTCTACACTTGGACTCTCACACACTGAGTCCCAGTCAGGCTCAGAGGCCTGGAAACAAGCTGCTGCTGACCTCCAGTGGTCTTCCTGGATCACTGGAGGCCGACAGTCCACATCCAGAACCCAGAAAAGACTTCTCACAGAACAGCTACAGGAATAAAATAGTGGTACGAGACCCCTTTACAAGTAAAACTTCCTGAAAATAATCAAAATGAATTTTCCTCGCCTTCCCTAAAGCCCTGTCAATCACTCCTATCTCACCACATCAGAGATCAATGAAGCAGCTTGTTCTCACTTCAAGATAAAGTTAATCTGCTTATCTGGAGCCAACTCAGCCCACACACTGTTCACTTTAGAAGCAGCAGCCTGAGTGTTCTCAATGAAACAGCCCAAATCCCTGTTTCTTATATTCCACAGATGAAGTGCTTTATACAAAAACAAAGCGGTTAGGTCACTCTGTTTGATTTGCATTAAGTCTACTTGAATAACCTGCAGATTAAGACCCTCCCCACTACAAAGGGCGATCTATACAGACCATAAAATATAAAATAGCCTAAAGTGTCTTCATGCGATGCACAATAATTCACCTTAGGTGCACAACATAAACAAAGTAAGCATTCAGGTATGTTAAATAATGGATATCTTTCAGCAGCACATAAGGAGCGCTGCACAGTAGGCGTTTGTATATTCCTTCGCAGTAAGTGGTGCATACTGTACAGTATGGTAGAAAATGAATATTTCATGATGGATAATGACGGTTAAGTAATGTATATTTCATGGTAGATTGGCAAATTGCATGGAAGATAATATCATTGCACCAAACATACAGCATGGTTGATCCAGTTTCATGGTAGATAATAACACTGTACATAAAGTTAAAGAGAGAAAGTGTATATTGTATAGATAATGCTCAGTAAGTGATTCAGACTCTACAGTAGCTATTATATGTAGTGCATTAAAGTTGCGTAAGCACATTGCACTGGGAAATGAGTGTGCGTTTGTGTTTTTGTTTGTATGGAAGGTTTGGCAGTTAAGGATGAGGGCTGGGGGATCAGTGCTACTGAAGCTAAGAGTTGTTCTGGCTCTGAAGATGAGACTCTGCCTTTTGTTTCTCCATTTCAGACGCCCATTGGTCATTCTGATGTGCAAACAGTGCAACTTTGAGCCAGCTGCACGAACAAAAATGCCTCACGGTAAATTTTTGCTCTAATTTATGGTGTTTGTAATCAATTCTTCAGTTCAGTAAGTAGAAAAAGTCAGCACTCTATTCGGGTCCCTGCATGAAATATTTTCTCACCTCTTTCGTCCGAGAGATTCAATCAGAAACATTAAATGCCTGTTCAGCTAAATGGAGGATGTGTTTTAAAAGAATGAAATCAAAGAGTTATGGACTGACTGTAATTGAGGGAGAAAAACCCATTACTGCGCCCAAATTTCCTTTTCATGCTCAATATTTAAGGGCTTGTTTCCAGCTATTGATTTATACCCTCACTGTCAGCTTCTCTCTCACACGTTCCTAAAACAACACAAATTGTCTAATAAACTAAATAAATGCAGCAGCAGGTTGGCTTCTACCTTTGTTTGATTTAAGAGCATTTCTATATTCTTCTGAAACAATCTGAGAGAATAAAGGAACACTTGTGGCTTTGGCACAGCCAAGTTAATACCGGATATAGTTATTGCACCTTTACATCACAGGGCTTGACACTAACTTTTTTAACAAGGAACACATGTGCTCAAAATTTGAACAAGTAAGGAGCACGCAAAGTACTTTAGGGGCACAATGAAAATTGATCAAATAATGTTAACTGATAATGTCTTATTAGTCGACATCAGTACTATTATTTGAAATCAATTTTAGATCTTTTGGTCACATGACTTGGCAGCTATTGAAGCAAATGTTTGAAATTTGCCTTCAAATTTAACACAAAAAACTTTTGAGGACAAATTAGGGAAATAAAGAGGTGTGTCTTATTGATCGACATAAGTATTACTATTTGAAATCAATTTTAGGTCAATTGGTCACATGACATGGAAGCTATTAAAGGAAAACAGCCTTTTCTGAGAACATCAACCAGCAATTTATTGATGGTCCCTTATTCAGCACCCGATGTTGACAGTGAGGATGCCGAGTGGATTTAATCGCACTGTTGTCATTCCCGGTAGATCCACAGTGAATGTTCATCAGCTATCCAACCTAAAACTAACTTCACTGCGGTATTTACATGAAAAAACATTTGTTGCTTCCACTGATTTTTTTTATGCGCACATGTGCCCCGAAATACATTTTACAATTTGCACACATCTATTTTTAGTCGTGAATATGAGTGAAATGGTCAAGCCCTGCATCACACTTGAAGCATATCCGTCTGTGTGTAATGAAACTATACTATATAAGAGTTTCACCTTTTTGAATTTAATTAGTGAAATAAATAAACTTTTTGATGATATTATAGTCAATTGAAATGCACCTGAGTTTTGATTTTTGTGTGCTCCTCTACTTTCTACAAATCCATCATTTTATCCCATTAGACATTCATAAGAAATAGAAAACACTGAGTCAAAGCCAAACAGGTTTTTAGGAGATTACAGCAACCTTAGACCTGTGGATCACACTCTAATCAGTTAATCCAAACAGGGTTCACAAGAAGCTTCAGAGAAAGTCAAAACCCTCAAACTTTTATATCTTATATCTCGATGCAACTTATAAACTAATGGAAAGTGTCCAACCATAAACACTGAGGTTGAATCCTTTCAAAACAAAACATGAATCCTTACTCGACATGCCGCCAAGATCGTGTTCTTATTTATGACAACCACTTCAAACAGAACCAAAAAGCTCAAAGAAAATAAACCGTCTTTTACAGTGTTTGCTTTTAGCCCTGAGGTTAAAAGCAAACACTGCCATCACGCCACTGAAAACAAGATTTATACAGGAAATATGAAAATCACCTCCCTGCCAAGTCCTCCTCACTTTAGGATGAAGCTTTAATGTGTTTCTCTTTGAGCTTCAAGTCTTTAGGGATGAATGTTTGACAGTGAAAATGAAACTCAGAGAAAGAGACAGTACAGCTCGTTCTGAGGATGCATATTGTTGAGCTTGTCATGACGGACAATTTTAATGACAAGTTCTCAAAAAAATGTCCTAGCATGCTTTCAGAAATACATTCAAATAGTGTTCAAAGCAAATAAAAAAGATAGATGGCCTCCTCTAAAAAAAACATGTGCAGCAGAGAGTGCTCGCTTGGTTCGCTCCAGAACAGAGACGTTTCCAAAAGCATCATTACTGAGTCCATCAGTGCTGTCATTTCAATCTCATCCACCTCCCCTCTGCTCCTTTGCCCTTCCTTTACTCTGTCACTTTCACCCTCAGTCATCTGGAGCCAATCAGGGATCAGTAATGAGCCATGAGGAGTCTCTGATTGGTTGTGATTCCACAGGAAGGTTGAATCAAGCTTTCCAGGGACAAAACCGCAAATTAACCACTGATACATGGCAGCGATACTCCGGCAGAGTCCTCTGAAACGAATCGCAACGCATGTTTTTAATTAGAGTTAAGATGAATTAAAAACAGTGGAACAGTGAAGAGATAAGAGAGTGAAAATCCTTCAACCAAAAACAAGCTGCAAACAGAACCAGAAGCCTGACTTCAGGACTGTTCCCTGGAGTCTTTGTCCCGTCAAGAGGCTGATAATGCAGCTCAGAACTAAACTCCTGTATCAGCTGAAGAGAGGCTTGAGTTTTTACCCATAATCCACTCTTCATCCAAAGACTTGTCCAGCACACTACTTTACCCCGTTAAAAAAGGGACACCACTTCAAGCAATCCAAGTAAAATTGGAATACCACAGCTGTTTGATCCACTTTAAAAAAGCCAAGCCTCACACCTCTGACAGTTCCGCTTGTTTGGAGTGATCAGATAGCTGATACCAACTCTGGTGTGGACCAACAGATAAAGTGTGGTCTGTTTGAAAACTTGGGAGGTTTGATAGAGGCATGAAAGCAAAGCCAATCAACTCACAAGCTAAAGGCAGGATGCTGCATAAAGGACGGAGCACCCAGGGTCTTTACCTGTGCCCATATCTCGCTCAGCTCAGTCAAAGTTTCTGCAATGATTCATCTAAGAACATCATGACAAACAGCTCGCTGCCTCACCTGCTGCTCATACTGGGCACCCTCTTGTCAAACACATTTCTGAAATAAACACCAATGCAAAAGCATGCTGCGGAAATTTGATGTTGCTCCATTATCCATATGGTGAATAAGCCAGAGGAAGGGGAAGGATCGCCCAAAAGCTTAATGGTTGTTCAAAGCAACCAACTCAACCAGACTCAAAAATGGAGTTGAAAAAGTTTGGCAGATTTCTGCATTTTTCCAACTTTTAATAAAAAAAACTATCCCACCTGAATAACTTTGTTGACAAGGAGAGCAGAGCTGCAAAACTGTGCACTAAGATGGACAAAACACCGTAAGTTCTTGAATCTGACTGCATTTAGCAAATTCTGATGAAGATCTCCTTGTTGCTGTACTTCATGTACAGTAGGGTATCAAACAAAACCCAAACTAACACGCTGAGTTTCACTGACTTTCATTGACTGAGCAGCTTGACTCGTAGCCGGCTGTCACTCACACTGCAGGGAGCCACAAAGAGCAGCTGAGGGGTGGTGCTTCTGAACTCTTCTACAATAATCATCGTAATAATACATAACTACAAAGAGTCGCCAGCTCCTTTAAAAGCACAATCACAGTCCATGTGCACTTAAGAAATGAAGGTGTACTGCAGAGTGAAGTGGAGGGGAGGAGCCACTCTGAGTTCACCCCCCACCCCGTACCTCCAATATTCAGATAGAGGAGTCTGAGAAAGTAAAACAGCAGCTTTTATCAGCTGTACATTTCTGGTGATATCAAAAAATAACATCTGTGTTTGTTTACATCTGGGTGGTAGATCATTATAATACTAAAGCAGTGAACATTAACCAAACCCACGGCTGAGGAAAATCATGTATATTTTGATGAAAACTGATATCACAATAATCCTGCATCCTCCTACTACACTACATACTGAATACTGAAAGTGAGAGCTGTTTGAGGGGAGGGGTCGTTCCCACACTCTACAGTTAAAGGGATATTCCGGTGTAAAATTAACTTAAGGTCAAACACACTACGACACCGAGTTAGACACCCCCTCGAGAGATGAATGTTGCCGACCGCTTGCTTCTCTAGTTTTACCAACTTTACTAACGACCGCACAATAGCAATACACAGCGGTCTATGGCTCCATGCACACACCTCAACCAAAAAACCACTCTATAGACACAAATAATGCTCAGAACAGCACCTAACATAGGGTCCAGGCCATAATGCTAGCCACCAAACATCTTTCTAGCTATGCCTGGTTTCTTTAGCAAAGAGACCAACCACAACTCACCCACTCTCCTCCAGCAGCCTGACGAGGTGATCACTGAGTGCAGCGGAGTTTTGCAGCCCAAGGAAGAACATTTATGATTATTACTTCATGGAAATACAATCAGAGTTCTTGTGTATCTTGTATGTCAGTTTATAACTATTATTATCAAGTGCTGGCCGGGAAATGAGCGCAGATGAGCGTTTTTAACTTTACGTATTTGCAGAGGAGATTCATGTAAAGAAATACGAGATTTTACGTCATGATAAACAATCACAAACATGATTGTTTATATCATGAAGAGTGAGGCGACAGCACGGAAGTGAAGAAGGGAACTTAAAAATGTTATGCTCATCTGCACTCATTTTCCAGCAATCGGTTAGTCGGTTTTTGGTTGAAAATGTTACGGTTTTGCTCAACCAAGAATTTCTTTGGTTGATTACAGCCCTACTGTTTACTCTGACAAGTGAAGAGTAGCTGCCCTCCAGCTTAGACATAAAGGGCGTACAATGATGACGCTCTAATTTATTACTTTAGCTGGCTAGTAATTCTGCTCCTGACTACTAGTGAGCATGTACAAACACTCATCCCACATGCGTCCTTGACCCAGCATCACGTGTATTTCTATCACAAGTCTCTGCTTGTATGTGACTCTTGCAATCAAACAAGTGTTTTTGAATCCATACATGCTCTGAATTATCCAAATCATCTGTCTTTCTCCCCACCTTGTGTTACCTTCTGATTGCATGATGCATGTGTTGAATCACATTACATTTTACATCCATGCTTGTTATAGCCAGTACGAAAACTGCATCATGTTAATGCCTAAAATCAGCCTATAGTATTGTGGTGTGTTTTGTCTATTTAAGGTTAAGCAAGTTTAGTTTGTCTTGCTGTCTAATCACAGCACATGTCACAGAGTAAGACACCACATAATACACTCATTAAAACCTGAAACCAAAAGGCAAAGCAGTGTCACTGAAGAGAGACTTTCTCCCAGCTGTCACAGGAAATGGCTCGCAGCTTTGTCGCTACAGTGGACATACATCATTTTCGTCTGAGAGCTTTCCATTTTGTGTTTTTCTGCCTTTTCACACCTCACCATCTCGCCTCCAGCAGCTGCTCCCAGGCCCCTGTGTCAGAGCTCAAGTAGGTCAGACTCAGACCCCTGCTGAACTGAAGCCTGTGTGCTCTCTATTATCAACCAAAAGTCTGATCAGATAGTCTGTCGCACTCCACCATAGACCGGGCTATGCTGCAGGAAACTCAATGCAGAATAAACATTATCAGGATCCAGCAGACATGACGGTAAAAATCACTTATCAGTCATTCTGGGTAAATGTAAAAATGGGAATTCACGTAAATCATTGAGAAAGCAGTTGCTAACTTCCTTTCTGTTTCTGGCTGTAAATGACATGAGCTATTTCTGGTAAATTAATGTATTGAAGCATTTCCATCTGCTTTCTTTGATCATAAAGGACAGCTGTCTCCCCTGTTGCTTTTACTGACCTCTTCCCTTTGTCTGTTCCTATTTTATTTATGTCAGTCACCCCTCTGTATTCTTTTGTACCCTATCAATACATTTCAAAGTGTGAAGCATGTAGTTTATAATCAGAATAAAGCTGAATTCATCTGTTCTGATATTAGAGAGAAACTGAACAGATGCTGTGATAAAGTCTTTAAATCTAGGAACAAAATCTGTAATTTCCTTTCACGTAGAGAAACAGTTAAATAAAAAAGATAAACCCTCAGCAGAACACATGTGCTTTGCTTCAGTCTGTAGGGGACGGCCTGAACAATGGTCGGACTCACTGTGAATGACAGCCATTGTGTGAAATAACACCTTTGCTTCCCCTCTAATGGATACCAGAATATTTCATTAGAGAGGATTCTTTTCTTGCTGTTAGCTCAAGTGACCCTTCTGACTGAAAGGAGGTGGTTTGAGTCACAATAGGCAAATCTAACAGATGACAAGCACCATTTCAGCCCATTTTAAAACACCTTTGATTAGACTAATCCCATCTGCAGCTTCCTACTTGTTGCTCTTGGTTAGGAGTTCCTCTTGAATTTAATCTGGTAGATTGTAGCTTGTGAATCTTTACTATTTATAAGTTAAATACTGCTTTCATGTGTGTGTGTGTGTGTGTGTATGTGTTTTTTTTTATAGTATATCTTCTTAAAATCAAAGTTAATGTGCCGTTTTTTTCAAAGAGGGACCCCACTAACACTTCGCCCTTTTAAGTTAAGGCTCGCATGACATGCCTGCAGATTTTAAAACAAAGGGTCTTTTCGGTTCCTTTTATGAACAGATTTCTAAGGTTATTTTTCCATTAATCATTTCTTTAACTGGGCATATGATAAAAGTTACTGCTGTTCAATCACAGCTTAAGTTATAATTATGATCATTTTCATTAATACTGAGATAACAATTATTTAACAAGATTATTCATGGATTGGCATCTGCATTACATTCGGCTCAGACCTTTGAAACTCTAAAAACTAAATCATTCTGAGCTCTGTATAAAAATCTAATGGAAATAAAAGGAGTAAAAGTAAGTGGACAAAGTGTTTATTTTTTTGTTTACCAGAGCCTGTCTGTCTGTCTATCGAACTACTTCATACATTTTTTTTTTACGTAACCGTATAAAAAGGTCACATGCTTCAATTCTTTCATTCACTAAGAGATTTGAGAAGGTTGGTCGGACTGGATGATTCAAAATGGTGAAGATAAAACCCTTTTCTTTTGTTTTTCTACAGCAAATATAAACAGAGTGACTGTCAAAAAGAAGTAATTTTATGACAGGAATAGCAGCAATATAAAAGTTATCACTTTGTCCACAGGGGGTGACAGAGTTGACAAAAACAAAAAAGTTCATCATGGGGGCTTTCTCGAGGAAAGGGAGTGTGCAGTCATTTTCCTGCTGGAGGTACAAGATTGCGCAGTCTCAGTCCCAATATTAAACTGTAATATTCTACACAGAACAGATTTTTTTCTTTCACAATACACAGTATCTGTTTTAAATTTGATCTGCAGACATTTATGGTGTGAAAACATGTGTTATCATTTAAAAAGGTTTGTAAAATCAGCTTAAAAGGAGGGTCAATGTCGATATGATGGTGATTATTCAAAATGTTTGTCAATTGGTGTAGTTAATCAGCAGTGGATACATCCCCATACTTTGTAAGATTTTTCATTGGTTGGCAGTAGGGCTGGGCAACGAAACGATAAGGATATAATATCGAAAATTAATTTCCCTCAATATAGTCAGCATTCTGCAATGTTTTAGTACACTATACAAATATGAAGCAGAGGAATGTGCACTGCAAATTATTTTGAGTACATGTTCTCGCAAAGTCAGGGAATACCTCAAATCTTTTTAACCACCTGAAGCAGTGTCATGTAGGGTTGGGCATCAAGTCTCGAGCATCGATGGGGACCGGGACTAAAAGTCAGATTCTCCCAGAACCGTTCAAATTTTAAAATTTCAATTCCAAGTTTCGATGCCGGAGTGTGCCGACTGGAAGAAATAGCCGATGAATTTTATGAATTTGATGAATTTTAGTAGGAAGAATGAACTCTTATCTCAGTGCAACATTAGCAACACAACACGACCAACATGATTAAACACCTCAGGATTCATGGAGGAGAAATACCTGAGTGCCCGTCTTTGACGCGCTTCACCAGTCTTCCACTAACCAGCCAGAATCAGATAAGTGAAACAATGAATTACTTCTGTCCTCTGCTAACATTGGCGCGGCAAACAAATTGAACTGTGTACGGTGGGTCAACTTAAATATCAAACTAACGTTAGCCCTTGTACATTTTCATAGACAAACAACCTGACAACAAAAATATATATTTATATACTGGTTGAAAATAGCCCTGTGAGAAATTCATGGTAAAGTTCCTAGAAATTTCATATAATTTAAAAATTCATGGAGAAGTAAGCAAGGAGCCCATGGTGTCTGTGCAGCCGAAACAGCCAACCATTCAGTCCGCTTTCTCTAGCGCAACGACATGCCACCAATAAGCACTGTTAAATTGTCATTTTTTATATCATGATATTTACACCGATATCGACTGATATGAAAAAAATATATTGTGATAAACGTTTTCCCATATCGCCCAGCCCTAGCTGGCAGTTTTACTCGTGATCAAAGTTTTCTGTAAATCCTTTACATTCAGACTGATCCATATTTCCCAGTCTAATCTGACTAGAAGTGGTAATATAACCCACCTGATGTGTATTATCCAGAGTCCCTGATTTTGCTCCTATTGTGGCTCTGTGACTCAGCCTTAATCTGACTCTGCAGGTCTGCAGGGTGGAGCTCATTCTTGACAGCTGAGCCACACGTCTCACTGCAGGGACTGAGTGTTAGCTAACAACCAAGTCATCCAGAAACAAGCTGGACGAGGAGTTCCCGGCAGCCCTATAATTGTGTTACTGAACTCTCAGACTCTCTGACTGTGGGCTCCACGTTCAGGCTCACAGCCAGGACTAACCTGCTGAAACTCAGCACACATGAGTCCAGGTTTCAGCTGGAGAAAGCAGGCTGGAAAAAGCCTCTGAAAAGCCCTCTCAAGTATGAAACCCTACCTGTTTGAATGGGATTGATAGATAAACGGGAATACCTTGACGCTAGGAGCTGCCATGACGTCAGAGTAACGTTAATGAAGTTTCAACTGTCAGAGCTAGCATGGATGCTAACAGACTTATAACCGCTAACACGGCCGTCCAAATGATTCAAACCCGCGTTTCTCCGACTGTATAATGATTTTAAACAGCTGTTATCTCTACACACTCTGTCTCATGTTATACCTAACTGAAAGTTACAGCTCCAAACGAACACACAGGTAAACAAAGCTGAAACACTGACGCTGCTAGCCACAGTTATTAGCCCACAAACTTACAGTAATAAGCGACGACCGGGTCCCGTTTTTCATGCTCCTGAGCGGTCCTCATGTGGTGCTGGATGGATTTGAGTTGAGGCGGTAGAGCCATGTCGGCTTAAAAGTCCTCCAGGACTCAAAAGACCCAAATTAAAGAGTAAAAGAGCCTCCTTGTTGTTAGCAAGTTATCTCCTTCACTTCCGCGTCTGCGTCCAATAAGATCAGCAGACTCCGCGGGACGGATGACGTCACCCGGCTCCCCTCCCTGAGATCAGACAGGTGTGTTTCATACAACCGAAAGAAATCTATTAAAATACGTGCAGGACCAGATGTAATCTGTTTTTGTGATTTCTGATTCTGATTTAGAGCAAAATATAGTTTTCGATTTTTATATAAAATTTGACATAAAATCTTCAAAATTAGGAAATAATGCTGACTATGAGTATTCATGTTCTGTGTGTGCATTATATGTCAATGTCAATCTCAGCTTTATTAATATAGCACATTTAAAAACAGCCAGTGGCCTACCAAAGTGCTTTACAATAAAATAGCCAGAGACAGTAAAAACAATAAAAACTATAAAAACATAAAACATATAAAAAACATAAAACAACAAAATACATAAACATAGCACATAAATAAAATAGATAATAAAAGTAGCTATACTTCCCCAAAAGCTAAAGTGAACAGGCACGTCTTCAGAAGTGTTTTAAAAGTGGAAAGGCTGTTAGCAGTGTGTACTGTAAGGGGTAAAGCGTTCCACACAGTGGGAGCCACAACAGAAAATGCTCTATCTCCTCTAGATTTTAAAAAAGGATCGAGGAATGTCTAAAACCACCTGATTAGCTGACCTCAGGGCTCTGGAGGGCTGGCGCAGTTTAACAAGGTCAGAGAGAAATTCTGGGGCCAGCCCATTCAGAGACTTAAAAACAAATAAAAGAATCTTAAAATCGATCCTGTACCTAACAGGGAGCCAGTGAAGAGAGGAAAGCACCACAGTTATGTGCTCCCGTTTCATGGTCCCAGTTAGGAGACGAGCTGCAGCATTCTGAATGAGCTGCAAGTGGTTGAGCTCTGATTTGCCAATGCCGAAATACAGGGAATTACAATAATCTAAACGAGATGTGATAAAAACATGGATAACTACATGGATAACTATATCTTGTCTTAAACTTTAGGTGGCATTAAAGAGGAAAAATATCAAAGTAAATTTTATTTATACAGTGCCAATTCACAACAGTCATTATCCCAAGACGCTTTCCAGAAAAAATGGACAGGTCTAGACCACGGTCATTGTTAAAATAGTATATATAGTATATAGTATATCCTCAGTTCTAAAGAGGGTGGGACACAGTAAAATGTGAACAAAATACAATGATTTAAAAAGCATTTAAAGTTTATATGTAGTTGAAAATAGTTCCAAACAACATATCAGATGTTGAAACTCAAAAAAGTATATATTCACTCTAAATTTCATGCCAGCAACAAGTATCAAAATAGTTATATTCAGGGTCATGTTCGCCCTCAGCTCTTCCAGGGCGGCAGTATCTCAGGAGGTAGAGCAGTCATCCAATAACCGGAAGGTTGTGTCCTTGGGCAAGACAATTGACCCACCTTCAAGTTCCTCCCAGTGTGTGTCCTCCACTGGTGTCTGAATGTGAGTGTTGTGTGGTGGTGGTCAGAAAGGCTGTAGGTGCAAACTGGCAGCCATGTTTCTGTCAGTCTGCCACCGGGCAGCTGTGACTACTAAGGTAGTTTACCACCACCAAGGTGTAACTGTGTGAGCGAATGAATGATGTATCTAGTGTAAAGCGCTTTGAGGGTCTCTGATAAAGCACTATATGAAATCTGATGCATTATTAATATTGTTATTATTCTTTTCCCAACCCTCTGTAAACCCTCTGTACACTCAGTTAACGCAGCAGACAGGATTCTGGAGTTTGGAATGTCAACAGTTGTCCCATTCATGCCCGATAGAGGATTTTAGCTACTCAACAGTTCAGGGTCTCTTTCGTCCTATTTTCGGTGTCATGATGCTTCAAATGTTAATAATGTATGATAAGTCAGGAATGCGGGCAGGCCAGTTTTAGCGGCAAAACTCTTCTACTACAGAGCCATGCTGTTGTAATACCTGCAGAAAAACTTTTCTCCAAAGATGATTGGTGGTTGGTTACTGCACTTTCTCACAATGTGGTATTGTTATCAGCCAACACATGTGTCAAAATAATAAAAGCAACATTTTTATTCACAGTTGAGTCTTAACCATAGATTCTATTCCACCATAAGGATTCACTGACTGTGAAGCAAAAAGGTTTGGTGCTCCCCCTGCTGACTGGCTGCAGTGTAGGTTATAAATCCTTTCACCTTTTTGTGAACAGAAGGAACACTAAAACTCTAAAAATGAAAATGCACATTGTAACAACTTGGTTGTAGAGTGTTAAAGCTTTGAAAACAGATTATGAGCCCAAACTGGACAATCACACATACCTTGGGTTTCTACAGTACATGCATGATCCATTATAAACTACACATCAACCTTACAAAGCTCAGTAGTACAGCTAAACTAACCCCCCACCCTAAAACACTGAGACACATTCCACCATTTTTGAACGACACCACTCTGTAGTTGGTTTTTTAGCAACTGCAGTTAAGTAATGAACATGTTCAACACACACTGGCTGGTTCACACAGAGGCTGAGAATCCACAGCAGAGTGGGATTGATGGGCTTATCTTCTGCCCACACCTGCACACAGACCTTTACTTTGTGTGGATTCATTCAGCATATCACTAAATGTCCAGGTTTCCTCCACAACTCCCACGCTGTGGACACACAGCCTCTAATCCTGCATGTTTCTCTGGCAAAGGGATAAAGAGGAGAAAACCACAGAAACAAATAAAAACCACAAGAGCTTGTGTTTAGAAATGTGTTTCATTTTGTTTTTAAGGTGTATGCATCTCAGATCCGATCTGCACACAAGCTGAGAAACTCTCATTGTCTGACAAAATACAGGATAAGATCTTCTAGGAGCAGGAACCAACTTTTGATGATTCAAGTGAAACAAAAACTTACTGTAACACAACTATCAGACAAGACTTTCCTTTGAATGCCCTCAAATCTTGCTTTGATTATTTTTGCTGCAATAACATCATAATTCAGTTTAGCAAAAAAGCAAAAAGTCAAGCTTTGTCAGGTTTTATCCCCATGAGGAAAGGAGGAGAACATTGTTAAAAAACCTCCTCATGTTTGAATCAGGCTCCTGAAAATAGATCACACAATTCTTTTCGTAGAAATTGTACATAAAGATTATTTCTGACTGGATTTTAGCTGACTCTCTTTTCCACCATACACCAACATCACTCATTAAAATATGAAAAAGTAAGTATCTAAGTATCGAGAGGTTGGAGACGCTGGGGACAGTATTCAAGCTTAGCAGGAAAATCTCAGTAAATTGGATCATAAATTTTAAAATCCTCCACTGACTGGCTTGAATTGCAGGGATCTGTGGACTGATGCAGCCTCATTTCTATCTTCATTCTTATTGATTTTTGATTCAGGCATCATTTTGAATTCTCTGGTTGCTCATTACTTTGGAGCTACAGCTGTTAAAAACCACAGAGTCTTGTATTTTGATGCCACATGTCCTAAAACCCTGGTCATCTCTGGTCTCCATCAGCAGGTTCACTTTTTAGTAAAGCATGAGAAGAAAGCTCTTAATGACAGCTAACAGGTGGAGCAGGTGGGGGCTAAAGTCACTCTTACACAGCTCTAACAGCTTGGAGGTCAGCTCTTTCCTCAGAGGAGCTTTTAGGTGACTAACGCCTGGTCTGAATTAAAGAAAGTAAGCAGAAACATCCTGTGAATACTCGGATGGTCAGAGGATGATAAAGCTGGCTCACAGTAAACTCAGACCATGATTGACGGGGTTTTAGTTGATTTTTTTCTTGCTTTCACTTCCCTCCCTTGGTAGTGAGGTTTTAACATTAAAGTTGCCATCTGGAGCGTTTGATTCTGGCACCTCAAGAGGCACAAGTGGACCAAGAAAGTTCACTTGAACTGGCAGACTTTGTTTCTCTACATGTTTTTATGTCACAGATGGCAGAGTTTTCAAGAAAAAAAGGAAACTAATTAAGAGTTTGATCATGAAGATTATAAATAACACAATCTGGAGCTTTTGGCCCTATGAATTTACAGAGTGAAGAGAGACAGCAACAAGACTGACAGTCCTTAACTGTGAGTCCACTTCTGAAACTGTGATGTTTGAGTTTCAGACAAAAATAAACAAATAAATAAATAAATAAATAAATAAAAGCATACAAAGGGGAAAAAAAGGAAACTCAATGCGAAAAAAATAAGAATTTTATGATACGTTTATTTGATGAAGCATAGAAATGAAGGTGGAAATTTGTTTTTATGTGAAGTGACTCTAGTAAAAGTTCACCTGCAGACATGCGCATTTGGCTCTTTACGTTGAGCTGCTGGACATTTATCCTTCTTCTTTTACTGCAGTGTCTAACCCCTTCGGCATGTCAACACTAAGACCTGATCCTGGACCTGTTCATTCCTGTCACTCATGATCGATTTATGACGTCAACACTTTTTTTTCCTCCTGAGTCAAGCCGCTTTTACGCACAGGGTTGGTGGTCCTGGGCTATGGCGCACCGTCAGCTTGAGCCAGCAAAAGTTGGCTGCAACAATTATAACAAGCCCGACACAGTCAGTGCAGGCATAACCGGAAGTTAAGGGACTGCACCTTCAAAATAAAAATATATAATATATTCATAGTGTGATGTAACTCATTAAGACTGTCAATGAAAAGTAGCCCGTAATACTGAACTTTGAAAATCAAACATGATTAAACAAAGACTTTGGATGATTTTAACCTGTTTAATAGTCTGACATCTGTGCATGTACTATAGTATCACAGCATATGTATATTTTAATAACTGGGCTTCCCAGCAAAAGAATGCCAAAAAAGATGTTTTGGCTTGTACATGTGAAGTGACAACAAACGTTTTGAATCGGAACCAATCCTTCCAATTTGTCTCATGTTGTCCAAAGCACTTCTAAGAATTAAACTACTAAATTGAATTAAAAGTACAGTCACCTTTTTAACATAAAAACAATCAGTCTGTTAGTTTACTCTGGTAAAAGGAAAACAAATTCAAAATGTATTTTAAATACTTGTGCTGACTTTCAACCATTTACAGTGGGAGTGTGTGAGTCTGATGAGCCCCCTAAACTATGTAAAAGCAGGTTTTTCAAACTAATTGTTGCTATAGCCTGTTAAGTTATTTTCACCCTGCGTATATCCAGTTACCATTATTCTGAAGTTATTGGATATTTTTGCTGCATCTATTGTCAGTATTACACTTGGCAGATGCTCCCTGTACTTTCCACAAAATACGGATTTTGTTCAATAAATGAAACAAGACACAGAACTGATCAAAAATGGGTTAACATGACAGTTTTAGTTTGAAATATTTTGAAATAACAATTTTATTTGGACCTGCCATGCCACTAGAACTTAAACTAAGTGTAATGAGATGTTTTGACAGAAAATGAAGCCAACTATTTGGTAAATGTGAGTTTTTTGTAGTGTACTTCATCCAATCAGTTGACTGTCAAACATTACATTGAGTTGTTGTTTTTTTTTCAATTTTATCCTGTAACTCTTGCAAAGTAAATGTATCAAAGTGCAATGCTTCCCACAGAAATACTTCAATAAAAATAAACATACTGATTTTTAAAATTACTCAAACAAGAAGGGGAAACAGCTAGAGTGTGTCTGCAGAGTATGTGATGATAAATTCATTGATACTTTTCTCCATCCTGTCAGTGTTCACACCTGCACCACCATGTCCCCATCCGGGCTCATTTCTCGTGTGTCTCTCTTGGTTCATTTTTCGCTCTTGTCGTCCAGCGGCTGCTTATTGTGAAAGCACTGACCGGAAAAACCTCGAGTTAATTCCGTCTGACTTGACACTGCTCTCTGTCCCCGCAAGGTCCCGCAACTGGCATGAGTTTAGGATCCGTGAGTGGAAAAAAGAGGGGGGAATGAACAACACGCCGCCTGGATTACGGTTGGTGTGTGGACTTCCATTTTATTTGACTTTGTCCAGTTTTGACTCTTGGAGTTTAAAGTTTGCTCGGGGTTCTTTCTTTCTGTCGCTGGGACTGTGTTTGGGACAACAGCAGCTCCATCAATGCTCTTCCAGAAGTATTTGCAGTGCAGGGTGTGTTGTCATCACTCTTGTTTTTTTTTGTTTTTTTTTACTTTTACCTGTTAAAGCGATTTAGCCCTGTTGATTTCCAGTCTAACAAAGCAGAGTGAAAGCTTTGTGTCTGCATGACTAAAACTACAGTTTTTAGGCTGTTCACTACAAGTAAAACTCTGCACAGAGTTTGGACTTTAAGCAGATGTCCAGATCTTTAGGATGAGCCAAAAATTGTCAGAAAAGTTCAGTAGAGCTCCTTTTCCTGGCTGGCTGCATTGTATTTTGTTGCATGTTTGCCATCTCTGTCTCTGCATTGTGTGTGGCAGGAGGTTGTTTTTTTCGCTGACATAGTTCTATAGGGATTATAATGCAGGGACCACATGCCCTCCACGGCCATTGTTGGCCCCTCTGTCTCTGTTGTGCTTTTTCTACTGAGCGAGTCAATTGATGGAGGGATAAAGGGAAAAAAATATGCATTGACACGGGCTTTCAGTGCAGGAGAGAGAGAGAGGGAGAGGGGTCAGTTAGAGAGTTTTAGCCCTGCTGTTGGTGGCCTTTGACTGGCAGCGTCAAACCGGCCATGAGGGCCCAGAGCAGCCCTGGAGTTACACCTACAGGCAAACCATGTCCTTAAACTACATCAAAAACTTCTATGAAGGATGCGTAAGTACCCCACATCCTTTCATGTACTTCTATCTCTCAGGATTTGACAGGAGCAGCATTGAACAATGATCCCCAAGGAGGCTTCACGTGCAGAGACACTGTTTGGTTTTCATCCTCCGCTGTTTAGTCCATCTCCTTTAATTTCCGCCTTGTGTAGCACAGTGACATATGTTTGTGAGGGAGTCATTAAGGCCTGTTAGAGAGTCAGTGTGTCAGGAGAGAGCAGGTAAAGATGGGATATGTTTCCTCTGAATGGGTTTTGTTTTAGCTCTCACAGCTCAGGGCCTCAGTGTTGCTGTTGCATTTATCTGGCTGACAAAAGCTATTTTCGCTTTGTCTCTCACTGTGTGTGCGTTTGTGTGCATGCATCTGTGTGTCTCATGTTTGTGACATGAAAACCTGAATGCATGTTGTGAATCTGCTTTTTGGCCTGTGTGCACGATTATGTCTGTATGTGGTTCTGTTGATGAGAAATCTCTTCCTGGTGTCTGCCCTCCTGTCTATATAACCAGGCTGATGTGTGTAGCATTACATAACTGGGCCTGTGTGTGCCAGTCAAGCTCCTTACCTGAACGTGTGTGTGTGTTTCAGCTCAGGCCTCCGACGGTGATAGGCCAGTTCCACACCTTGTTCTTTGGCTCGGTGCGGATGTTCTTCCTGGGCGTCCTTGGCTTTGCTGTCTATGGGAATGAGGCGCTGCACTTCAGCTGCGACCCTGATCGCAGAGAACTCAACCTGTATTGCTACAACCAGTTTAGACCCATAACACCTCAGGTAAGACTCAAACATCCCAAATATACAACCTAAAATCACCAAAGTCAGGACGAGATATGAAAAATTGGCAGGTTGTGAATGTTGTTCCTTATGACATATCAAAAACAGACATGGCTGTGTGGTGGAACTAACCGCATGGGCTCCAGAGTTCTTCTAAAAGCCATCTGTAAACTCAGTTTGTTGCTGCTTACTCAAAAACTGTATCATACAAAGGGAAAACTCTATATGAACATGATCCACAAGATACAGATGATTTGTCTTGGCCCAAGCCCATCTAAGATGGACTTAGGTGAATTTATGTTGGTATGTATGGCTGCTCTGTGTTGGTTGGAATCTTGACTATGCTGCTGCCTGTCTTGGTCAGGACATTCTTGAAAAAGAAATTTTTGATCTCTGAGATTTACCCGCTTAAATAAAGTAAATACTCTAGACTCTAACTGGCCTCCTTGGTTCCCAAGCATTAACGGTTATGTTTATAGAAATTGTGTTGGTAATCATGACCCATTCTGCCTTTTTTAAAGTGTAGCTGGCATTAGATTCAAACAATTATTTATCTTGGAACTTATTTGCTGCACAAAAACAAGTGCCTCAAGCAGTGCACAAGCAAATAGTCCTTAAGCTAAGGACCCCCCATCTCTTATGCCCTGTTCCCAACAACAACTTTAAACAACTTTAAAACTTTCTTTTGAACCCTAAAATATTGAAATTCTGCTCCTGACTCAAGAATTGTTGGACTTAATAATTCAGAGCTGTGACTGTATCAGATGCCAACCCTACATGAGTGACAGGATGTGATTCTAAAAGAAGTAAACCAACAAAGGCATACTGATCAATCCAGAAAGAGGCTTAGCATGTGGACTGCAAAAAGGTTTGGTCATACAAGTGATAATGCACAGAAGGGAAATGAAGGATTTCAGTATATTAAGTTTCTGCAAACCTTAGTGTTGAAGACACAGATATTTTTAATTCACCAGGAATATCTAGAAGGCCAAAAGAAAACCAGTAACACTTCTTTCACCTACTCCATGTAAGGTTTCTCCTTCTTGTTGCCCTCATCAGCTCTTCTCACTCCTGCCCTCCCTCCCTCTGTCCACTCCAGGTATTTTGGGCATTACAGCTGGTGACAGTGCTGGTTCCTGGGGCGGTGTTTCACCTTTATGCAGCCTGTAAAAACATTGACCAGGAGGAGATACTTGAACGACCCATCTACACCGTCTTCTACATCATTTCTGTTCTTCTACGCATCATTCTGGAAGTCATCGCCTTCTGGCTACAAAGCCACCTCTTTGGTTTCCAGGTCAGTTCATTTCTGATGATTTAGACCTTTACCCACTCAGTGCTAGAAAATGTCACAGTTATGAAGTCATCCAGAGATTTTCAAGTTGCTTTTTACAGCTGTAGTGATACAGTGTGAAGAGCACTCAACAATCGATACGTTTACATGCAAAGTTAAGCCAAGCTTTGTTGTGACTCTTTTAGGTGATTTAACTTGACTACTGTCCTTGTCCCTGTCTACAAGCATTAGTCTGTCTGCCTAAGTTGCAGTGGGTGGTGACAAGTCTCTTTGAAGACATGTTACTTTCCTTAAAAATCAAACATACATAGTAGATTTGGCAAACTGGGATGCTGACACATGGAAGAGTCCTTCAAGTACTATATAGATCAATGCTCAAAGCTGCAGTCACCCCAAAGTTCCTCTCCACTAAGAAAGTACTACCCCAATAGCAGGGACCCTCTGGAGGGTGAAGTCTTAATCTGGAACCATGTTCCTGTCATTGAAAAGAACTGGGTACCTCCTGAAGTGCCTAGTCCGTGGGGAAAAGTCCTACAGAAGAAATGCTAACAGGATTTTGTCCATGGTCCTAATCAGTAACTCTACTACCATGCAAGAGATTGCTTTTGTGCATGGGGTGCCATGGAGCTCTAAATGTGACACTTTTAGTACAAGTTGGAATAAATTGCAATTTCTGGAGGACAATTTGTTCTGTACTTTGCAGGTACACTGAGCAAACATTGGCTTAACCTAACTGGAATATCAGTATTCAAAAAAGGGTTATACAACCAACGCCTCAACATTTGGATCACAAGAATTACTGCCTCATGTTTCTTTCTTTTTTCCCCAGGTCCACCCACTGTACATGTGTGATGCCAGTGCTTTGGAAAAGGCCTTCAATGTGACTAAATGCATGGTTCCTGAACACTTTGAAAAAACTATTTTCCTCAGTGCCATGTACACCTTCACTGTGATCACCATACTCCTTTGTATTGCTGAGATATTTGAGATACTCTGCCGGCGGCTTGGCTATCTCAACAACCAATGACACGTACATCCAAGCACACATTGAATTACCAAGGTTGAAAGTCTATGAAGCTATTTCTGCCAGTTTTATAAAGCTCTTGATTAGCTACTGTTGGACTTAGACAAAACAGGAAGCTAATGAACAAGCAGAACCTCACCTGTGGTCGGTTGTGAGTGAGTTGCATCAAGAAATTCAAGATGTGCAACAGTTTCATGGCTGGAAGGTCTGAAATATTTTCTAGGTGTTATTTGCTGCAAACTAAAGAGTGATCAATCCTAGTTGTATTTCAGATATCAGTGGGTCTGTGCTGGCTGTGTCAAAGGGAGTTGTATGGATGTGATGACCAGAACTTAAGCACCTCTCGCCCTCGCCCTCTTGGTGGATGACAGAAAAATCTGGTTTTCTTTTTCACACAAGAAGACAAAAAAACAGACATCAAACCTGTGGCCCAGTGACCATCCCAGTATTATAGCACAAGGACTTTGTCCAAACCTGGTGGCCCTTTACCACTCAAGTGTCCCTGAAACACTGGACTTGGAGTTGTACCCAGCTGTACCTCAGATCTGGTGCCCTTACAGAAGAAACTTTTTGAAAGCATTAGCCTCACCCTTTTGCCAATTGTCTAAGAGTCTGAAGTGCACTCAATACATCAAGATTCTTTAAAGGATCTTGAGGCATCTTCTTTGGGCTTTTTCCATCAGGTGCTGCCAACAACTGACCAGAAGAGCTCTAGATTTCCAAAGGTGCAGAAAAGGGCCTTGGCTAAAGTCTTGTTGTCATTTAATAGCAAAAAGCAATCATACCATTAAGCTAATCATATAACTGTGTATAAAAGTGCAGACAGGAACTGTAGTCTGGCTCGTCTCTCAAGTGCTGGTCAAATAAGACAGTCAGAATTTACCACTGGTGATGGATTATCACTTGCATCATCCTGAAGATCAGTAACCCTGAGTCATAGGTGCTATTGCACCTGACACTTCCATGTGTGACAGTTTTCACTTTCGATAAGTGTCTGTTACTGCTTCCAGCTTATTCTGACCTTAACCTCCATCAACATGGGCACCACATCTTTAGTGTGGACTCATTGAGGAGATTCCTGCCTCTACTGGCACCTGTTCCAGCCAGTTGGGTCTTACCAACCTTCAAAGGCATCTGTGAAAAATGCACTTTGAAAATGACACCACTGCTAAAATTGGTTGGATGAAGCGATTTACTCTCTGGGGTTCAGGGTATGCTGATGCAGAATGAACTTCAAATTGGAAAAAGATTGACCACTGTAAAGTATCTGGACAGAATCAACAACTGCCAATCCAAAGAATTACTGCACAATTCTGGAGCCTAGATTTTAATTCAATTGTGCCAACAGATTAGCTTGTGGTATTATGCAGTTATGTAATTTTACCTTTGGTGTAAGTGTCAATGTATTTTGAAAATGATTACCTCTACTGTTTTGTAATGCTTTTTTTTTTAATCAGATATCCATCCAACTTTTGTTATTAAGTTTTCAGCACTCTGTTCATCATCTCAGGTACAAAATTGCATTACCATACAAAGTGGATCAAACCCTCATTTCAAACCCTTTTCAACCCTTAGATATTCTTTAAAGGATCACTCCAGTGATTTCCAGTGACTATACCAAAGAGTTGTTTGGTCTTATTGGGTTTAAGAGGGTTTGAAACAGGTTGTTGCTCCTGTGGTCTGGGTTTATCCATGATCTGGTAACTGTTAGTAAAGGATGGTTTTCAAAGTTGCCTCTATAAGTGCTATCACCAAGACTATTGCCTAGTTTTAATGGAAAAGGAAGTCAGAGTCCTACTGAGCACCGTTCAGTTTTAGACTGGGAACAAGGCAAGAAAATCAACTTAATAAAATCTGGGACCATTTTGTGGAAGATGCTTTTACAGCCCTAAATAATCAGCTCCCTGGTGTTTGGGAGCAGCTCCTGAAGAGATCGTCTTTAATTTTTGTTTCCTTGAGCAAAAAAGTTCAAGACTAAAGAGCCACAGGACTTATTTATTACCATGTCTTCCATCCTTGATGCCTTGCCCAAGATATTTCTAGGTGCTGTAGCCTGGTCACATCAGAAATAAGAATAGCATCCTTCAAAGTGATATTTAATAATTTCAATGAGCTGGCACTAAGTGCAAATATTGGGCGAAATGTTTCAGCTCTAGAGTCGGCATGAAGGTAAAGTTGGGTTATGGACCACAAAGTATGGACATAGTTCCTATGACATTACTTATTGGTCTTTTCAGCAACATTATTAAGTTCAGCAATTGTGTCTTCTTGATTTTGGGCAAAGTAGCTGCAGTACATTCTCACTGCGAGTTGGCCTCTACCAGGGTTTCCCCATATCACCAACTCTGTTTGTGATTGCTTTTGACAGGATCTCAAGCTGTAGTCAGGAAGAGGAGGGTCTGCAGTTCAGGGGCCTTAGAGTTCCATCTCTGGATTTTGCTAATGAGGTGATATTTTGGCCTCTTCAGGCTGGTATCTCCAGCCAGCACCATCGCAGTTCTTTGCTCTCTTTGACTGGGGAGTGGTCTTTGCCTCAAGTGAAGGAGTTCAAGTGCCTTGCTCACATGTGAAAGTAAAATAGTTTGGTCAACTTGCCTTGACTGCTGCCCCCATGACCTGATCTTGTATGAAGCTTGCCACTTTGGAAACGTGTATTTCTCACTTCTGTAAACACAGGGGAAAAGGTGCCGGCCTCAAGTGGTCAATCATGGAACAGCAATTTTTTGCAGCAGCAGAGGTTTTACCTTGGGTGAACCCCAAACAGAGAAATCTAGCTCCCATTTTGGAGTCAGATTATTATTGCCTCCTGGCATTTCGGTTTTTTTTTTTTTTTTTTAAAGTTGTCCATTCTAATCCTTCTACTTCCTGCAGGGCTTGTCAAACCAAAAACAATGCCGAAGCATGTAAAAGGACATGACTGTCCTTGATCACTCACCAGTTAGTGACTGAAATTTGGCCACTGCTCTAACAGTTTTATTGTCAGTTGATTGTCAGGTTCTCATGTTGTTACTCTGGCAACAAAGATAGCTTGCTAGTCTGCTAATTAAGTGATTAGGAAGCCAAGTATAATTGAGTTTGGGTCCGACCATTGCAGGCCTGTTTATGGCTAGCTAGCAGGTTAGCAGCTACCTTAACAGCTTGAGTAGTTTCCCAACCAGATGGTCACCACACCTTTTCGCTCATGCCCCCATTGTTCTCTGATGTGACCAGGCTATGTTAGTACCAGGACCATCCTTAATACTAACTCTCTATTCAAACCTGCAGAGGGTAATACTTTGCTCAGGTTTCCCAAGTTAGAAGATTTTTTGTATTTATGACAAACATTTTAACAGAGGCTTAAACTCACAGGCTGGTCTTGGAGAAGAACTTGTTTAAAATTGTACATCTGTGTCAGCTGTCTTGGAATGATTGATTCTTAGTTAGCAACTTGAAAAGCAGATGGGTATAATACTAAAGTTTGAGTCATTGATAATATTTTGGTGAATAAGTGTAGAGACTGGATTTTTTTTTTAATGAAGATTAAAAGTTTTTATTATTTGCATAACCAAACACTGAATATTGGAAAAATTAGAGGGAAAAGTAAAAGGTACATTCGTGCATTTGGGGGTTTGAATTCATATTAAGAACTATTTTCAAAATAAGGGAGTGTATATTTAATGAGTCTTGATGCTTTTTTTGACCTCGTATCAGCTGCGATTGGAGAAATTCTTGAACAATAATGCATCTGAGACTAAAACACATGAAACAATCCTTTGAAATTTGATCTATTAGATTTGGACTGATGTACGTTACAGGTTAGCTGTGAAATGGTGCTAAGACCTATTCATCTGTCTCTGTTTGTGTCCTTTGTTTTACAGCTATTTCAAAGTAAAGAGGCACACTTTATAACCAATGCAAACATATGGAAACAAAACGGTCTTGTTTGTCTCAAAGCTGTCCAAGTGACCAGTTATCCTCAGTGTTTTGTCTTGAGATGATTGATTAAAAATGTTCTACAACTGTTTTTGTTTCATTTTTGACCAAATTTTGACTTCATATTTGTAAAATATTTTCTTTGATAAATGGTTTTGAAAAGAACTTCCATATCATGTAGCAATAATAAATTTCCTGGATCTAAAACATCAGATGTCTTATTATTCAGTCAACCCCAATACCAAACATGATTGGACACTGTGACATGTTGATAAAAATCAATGTGATGGTTTGCAAAAATAGGTCTTGAAAATGAGAAGTCTTGTTTGATGTAAGAAAAAAAGAAAAAGAAAGGATGATTCAAACATGTCTAAGAGGGGACCCCTGTCTGTCTGCATGTCCACTGTTGGTAAATGGCGGAAGTCAATGATCATTTCTTTTGTCTTTGCGGTGTTGAGTAGGAGGCAGTTTTTGTCACTCCAGTCATTGAAGTCTCTTATCAGATCCCTGTATTCAGCATCTTTTTTCATTTCTGATAATGATGAGCCTGAACTCTTCAGTAAACATTTTAAACCTAATGTCTTTGACATGACTAGGCAGATTTGCCAGATTAGACTTGGTGTCATTCCATCAGTGTTTAATTTTCTGACTCATCTTGGAAGAGTAGTTGCATCATTGCAGCAACTAGTTTTTTATAGAGTTTCATTGTTTATTTACTTATTTCTCAACCTACCAGCGTTTGTATCGTTGCTTTCATGCTATTAG